TGCGAGCAACTGCTATTCCGCAGAATGATCCCATCTATACTCTTGGCCGTTTCCAAACAAGCAGGTCGCCAACTGCAATCCTCTACATATTGTCTGAAGCACCACCTTACTATACTTGCGGCGGGACAGATGATTGACCCAGGCCCCATTACTCACGATCTGGTGCGGCCAATTCACAACCAAAACAAACAGAACTTACAGTACCCAGCTGATGATCCAAGCATGTTGAGCACCGATATTTCGAATCAGTCTGGAGACAGCAATATTGACAAGGCGTTGAAGCCAGCGATATTGAAGCTCGCGAACGGCACTCCTCGACACGGAGGATCGAGCCATGCCAAGATATAATGCGTGATAAGCGCCACGCACCAAAGCTTAACCTCCTGCCGTTCTCGATAAGTTCCGATCCTTGGTGGCTTGGCAACCACCACGCCCGGATCTCTCAAAGTGGATGGTATCCCGACCTGCTGTACTTGACTACCGCATAAGGCACAGTGCTTGAGCTTATACCTGTTCTATCACAACCTGACTTCCAACTTCATTGTCGGGGTCTACGCCACCAACGTGCCTTTCTATCGCAAACCTATCATGGCTACAGCTGCATTCAAAACCACTGGGCGGTTGGCGTCGGTCAGAGCTAGTTCTTACTTTTGAATCCTCTTGTAGCTTTGAGTGGTTGACCGACATCTGGTTGTTGCTGGACCTGCTCCTTTTGGCCATTCGTATTCTTATCAAGAAACTCATAAGATCAGATCACGAGATTGGGCTTTCACCGTGTCTCTGGAGTTCAAGATCGCACACATTAAAGTGTCTGAAATCTCAACAGCTCCTTGCAAAGAAACACGAACTGGCAGTCGTCTTTCCAGCCACTACCTATACCTATGTTCATAGGTACTTACTCGTCACTCTCCTGGGCCGCGATCGGCACCGGATGGGATGGGATGGGACGGGCTCAGGCCTCCTCGAGATTTCCATGCTGACCTCCGCAGTAGCTCCAGTTTCACCACGTGCCGATACACAGGGAGTGCCGGTAACCCCGGGTGCGGGAAAGCCAGAATATCATACACTACATATCAAAGTGACTCTGCCGCAGTCTCAAGCACTCCCTCCCCATCGGATATCAGAGTGTTACCGTGTCCCTGCTAAAGAAGTTGGTTAACACGCAGTCACGCACATCTCACCGAGGACCCAGGGAGGTGAGGTGGTATGGCATGTATCGGTCTGATCATGCGAGGGCCTCTCTTCCCGTCACACATCCTACCTACCTACATACCTAGACTGCCTAGGCAGGCCTTCTAGGGCTGCATCGTCTCGATCATCGTCCGAGAGATCCTGGACCAGGCTATCGGGAGGCGACTCAATGTTGCGGGCTGTGTGAGTTTCGCGACCTCTATCGAGAAAGCCTAGGCTATAGGCAGTGCCATGAGTTGCGGACCAACTTCATAGGCAGTTTTGTCTTGTATATCTTGCCGCTGGGCCGAGTTGGTGGACGCCACTGCGGTTGATACCTTTGGTCCACGCACTGGAAGAGCGGTAACATTGGACAGGCTTACTCACTCGATATATATGTACGAGGGCGAGCAGCAAAACTACAAAGTCGCATTATACACTAACGACAGACACTCCTCGAAGGCTTTCACCAAAGCTGACATGATAAGAGTTGGTCTACTACAAGTTCCACGGTGCCCCAAACAATACTCAATCACTGAACCGCTCAGCTCCATTCACTCGTCAATATAATGCCGAACACAGTGTTCCTGTTCGTTGGCGTTCCGGGGATACCTCATCCACCTCCGGATATACCAGACACATACCTTAACAAACGGCTCCCTCCTCCTCGCCACATACGTACTTTCGACGTATGTGGCCCAGATCGCTCAGTCACTAACAGCAACCCGCCCACCTCCACGGTTGAGACCGAACTCCGTGCCAACATACCTTCCTTCCATTCTACTTTATGCACATCATTCAGCGGCAATATTGCCAGCGATTTTCGTTCACGCCACACCCTTGATTAGCCAATCCGGGCTGCCTGCTGAGGAGAGTGCTATCAGTTACGAAGCGTAGGTATATGCACGTCGGTCTATCGAGACAGCACCGTATCTTCTACCACCAAAATACATGTATCACTGCTAGAAGAGATGTGTGTTGTGGTTGTTGGGGGCCATTTGGGGGCGTGCTATCCGCTCGGAGTAAGCAAGTCGCCTCTTCGTTTTTGGTAGTATTTGGTGTGAGTGGCCGAGAATTAAACCGAACACGATAGGTATGATATGCCCCGGGTATGCTTTGGTGCGTATCACCTACCTCGTTTTCGATATGCCTTCTCTCGAGCGGTCCACACTCGATTTATTCCCAATTGGACTGGCCGCCCTCTACCTACTTCCGCTCGCATCTCAGTTACATGCGTCGGCGAGTCGAAAAGAGAATGTAGCATTGGGTGTAGGTAAGCACATTTGAGTATCAGTTTTCTCATCCCACCAATCGATGCTTATCTCCCTATACATGTACGGTTCGCCGAGTTGGGACGCCCGCTGCTTTTCTTCACTTACATACCTAAGGGGGACAAGACCTAGTAAGGTATACAGCACAAAGCTGAAGTCAGCGATGGGCAGGGTGGTTTACTTCACACATTATCTCTTGTCAAAGTGAATGCGCAGACCACAGAACTGATGAACACTGTTGGTTACTTCCGAACAGAAGCCACGAAGTAAAAAAAAAAGAAGAAAAAAAGGTCAATGGGCCTGACGCCCGCGGGCTTCTCTCGGGTTTGTTACATCACCTTTGCACCTTCTCATGTGACTGAACTGACCTTATTGCCTCTCTTCGGCATACCTCTATTGTTGGACTATGTCATCCACTTCAAGGCAGTGGGTGTTCTGGAATCACCAACACAAACCCTTTAGCCTTCTCTTCTCCTGACGATTAGGAGCGTGATTATTGTCCGATTCTTCGGGCGGGTCTTCTTACCACGCCCTGAGATGTTTATCATGTCCTATTTCACTGGGAAATATCACTCTGGGATAGCCGTCATACGGAAAAATGGTCTTCATTGTCTGGGTTCTTTTCTTTGTCTGAAGTCTCTTTGTGTAACTGAGTTGCACGATGGCGCGTCTGTTTTTTTGTGTTGTCCGTGCTTGAATGACCGGATGTCGTTAGCTCCGCTGTGCGCTACCAGACGCGTGGATTGTGTTGCGAGTGTCGGGGATATTCTGGGTAGAGTATAGTGCAACAAGAGCACGCGAAGCGCAGGTGATGAGTGACTGGTGAGTCGGGTCTTCCGAGTGCGTGTATTCGCAATAGTTGTAGGAGTCCCGGTTATTTCGGTGAGGACGATGTGCTACCTGGCGGCCTGGAGAGAAGAGAATGACAAGAAAGAGGTTGTCCATGGGTTGTCAGCAGTTGAAGGCATGCGACGTGTATATAACTCTTTGTGCAGCATGTACCTACATATGCCGGATATAGCGGCTCAAAGTTGAGGACGGAAGGATTACATTTATAATATGTCATCCTTGGTCAATTAAGTATCATTATAGGGCGCGCATTCGAAGTAGGATCACCGCATGTTCCTGACGAAATACCCCTTCTACATGCGCTGCGGGATGTGATGAGGTGAGGTACATGGCATCGGGGATGTCAGGCTCAGGCTTGTCAAATGTCTGAAGCCGCACAAGTCTGATCAGTTGACGTTAGTGACACTGGATCACAACTTTATATTCCCAGGATAAAGGTGTTGGACAAAAGTTATGGCGAGAATACCCAGTGACGCAAACATTGAAAAGACCAAGTTCAATTCAAGCTTTGTTTGGCATCAGTTGCCTGCGCTGGGCATTCGTGGTGTTGCAGAACTGAATGTTGAAGATGGAGGAAATTGTGAGGCGTTCGACGGCAGAAGAACGTGTGGGGACGAGGAAATGGAATTGGCCAGTAAGAGTGCTCAGTTCAGAGCTTCTTGCTCCACTGGTTCGAGAGATCGCGGCAGCTGCCGCACAGAGCGCCAAGACAGACGGCAACTTCACCTCAGGGGAAAACTGCCCCTGGCAGCTGTCAGCCTGCAGCTCATCTCGGCAAAGACGCCAAGCAGCGGATAGCGGGAGCGGGCGCTGGCGCTGATGTGAGGTGAGCGACTGCTGTAGGTTCACCTCCTCCCGCTCGCAACATCAGACTGTGACGTTTCTAGTTATAACGATCCAAATCCTCGACTAGCAATGCGCCAGATGTACTCATGGACAAACCCAGTGTCTAATGTGTGAAATCGCCAAGTCACAATTCGTCATGCTTCGGCAAGCCCAGGTCTATGGCTTCACAATGAATTCAGGGTGATCCTCCGACGACGTGGTAGCTCCCACAGAGGACGGGATGTTTGCTATAGTATAACAACGACATCACGTATCATGACAAGTACAAGAAGCGCCGGCGAACACCGATCGCGGCTTTCCATTGGTTTTGAGGAAACAATAGTTCTTTCCCCCAGGGAGTGGTTGATGTCTTGGCCACATGTCAGTCGCGGCTCCCAAAGTCCGATTCAAGGACCGCCTGACTCTTCCACTCAATCGAAATTTCAGAATCTTGGACAGTTTCTGACTACCGACCACTCGGTTGTGTCTTGGCCACGATTAGACTTTATTTAGACTGCGTGACTAAAGGCAACACCCCAGCACACATGGTATCCGGGGATGATCTCTTGGGAGGCCCTGTACTTCAAGTGTCACCTCGCCTATCCGGCTTGAAGTCAGACGGGATCTGCCAGATGAGCATGATGCAGAACTAGGGGGAAGCTACCTCTACATGTCTCTGAAAGCGAGTTGGTATAGTACACGCAGTCACTAGTGCAAAGCACCTCCCATCCTCCAGTGATTCTTCTGAGGAGTGAGCTGAGGTGAACTGAGGTGTTCTTTCCATTACGAAAATCTTACCGTGGGTCGGGAAAAGGGGCAAGAACGCCTCACCGCCCTATGGAGCATATCACACCTTCGCTTCAAGTGATGTTCTGATATTTAGTTGGGGAAAGAACTTCCCATAATGGCATCAAAGTCTACTGGCTTGGGTGAGCCCACCCCAGACATCCTCACCCAACAGCGATCCCGATTCCTTTTCCCCATGAATTATCCACTTTTCTTCTCTCTCCCCCTTGTCCGAGCTGTATCCGGAACTCATTTTCACCTTCAAGCCCGCGATCTCCAAAGCCTTCACTGGTGGCGGCCTGCAGCACCTCAAAGAACGTGCAGTTAGCCATCGTTGGGGTTTTACCTCCTCGTTTGGTTCGCGGCTTTTCACTCAACTCCTACGCTCCTTACTTGGCCCTTGATCTGCCAAACGACGCTCTTTTGCCTAACCTCTCATTATCCAAGTCTTTCTCTATTCTAACTTCGAGATGCTGCTATTCCCTGCCCTCCTTACCGCCGCTCTTGCGGCCACCGGCATAGCGGCTGCTATCCCTAGCCGTGACGACACTACGGGCAACAAAGGCACCGCTTCACTGCTGCAAGTCCGCAATCCGAGCTTCGAGTTCAGGCATGGCCCCCTTGCGTTGGCAAAAGCATACCAGAAGTTTGGCGCCCCGATGCCAGAGGATCTCAGGGCCGCCATCGCTAGGTTCCGCCTGAACCAGAAGCGAACGACCGGCACTATTGCAACGGATCCTGAGAAGCACGACGTCGAATATCTGACACCCATTTCCATTGGTACCCCATCGCAAAATCTCATTGTTGATTTCGACACAGGGTCTAGCGACCTCTGGGTCTTCAGCACGGAGATGTCCAAGAGTGATATCAAGGGCCAGAGTGTGTACGATCCGAACAACAGCTCCACATCTGAGAAGCTCCAGGGCTCAACTTGGGAGATCACTTACGGCGACGGCAGCTCCTCGAGTGGCGACGTCTACCTCGACACGGTCACGGTTGGCAGCTTGACTGTCCCTAACCAAGCCGTAGAGGCGGCCAAGAAGGTTTCAGACGAGTTCACCGACGACGCACACAATGATGGCTTGTTGGGTTTGGCCTTTACTTCTATCAACACAGTTCAGCCTACCCCACAGAACACTTTCTTTGACAACATCAAGGGCAGCCTTGACGCTCCTCTGTTTACCGTCGATCTGAAGCATGGGGCCCGTAAGCTGTCCCCCTGCCAAAGACCAATTCATGACAAGAAACTAACTCTTCTAACAAATAGCGGGCAGCTATAATTTCGGCTACATTGATCCCGCAGCATATATCGGCAACATCACTTGGACGCCTGTTGACAATAGCCAGGGCTTTTGGGGCTTCACCTCCCCAGGATATGCGGTTGGCACTGGAAGATTCCGCAATCACTCTATGAGTGGCATTGCCGACACCGGGACTACGCTACTGCTTCTACCCAAGTCTGTCGTCAGTGCATACTATAAGGAGGTCCAGGGCGCCCAGTATGACAGTAGCCAGGGCGGTTATATTTTCCCTTGCAGCCCTACTCCACCGGACTTTGTCTTTGCTGTCAACAACGGCAATGTTACTGTTCCAGGAGACATGCTCTCGTATGCACCAGTTGATAGTGCCAACCAAAACTGTTTTGGTGGCATCCAAAAGGATACAGGCATCGGCTTCTCGATTTTCGGCGACGTCGCGCTCAAGACTAGCTTTGTCGTGTTTGATGCTGGCGGCTTGCAGCTTGGTTGGGCGGCAAAGAATCTATGATTCGGGAGGATGGGTATGGTTGGACCATCCAGGAAGACTCATTTCCTCTTCGATGATCAGGAACGTTGAGTTCCTCTTTTGGCTCGAGTATATTTGTAATCTTAGTTGGGTGGCTTTCGTGTTACTTCCAGGTGGATAATACTTAATTTACAACTTTGAACAACTGCGAGATTCTGTTAAGGGCAATCGCGCAAGCCTCCGTTTGAACACAAGAAAGACATATGTTGAACCGTAAGAATATTTCCAACTCACATTCATTGTCGAGACGGGGTTTACATGGCAGTGTAATTCCCGGTCACTGTGTCGATTGCAACATGCAATTTAACCGAATGCTACAAAGGTATGTCAGGAACCAGCCTGAGCCTGTAGCATTAATCTACAACATTCAGCCGTAGAGTGCTCAAGTTAAGATAAGCTTTCCAAGATGTTATTTAAATATCTGAACATTAGCGTACCTTGGTTGGGTGAAATGATTAGTTGGTGAACTCCGCGTCTTCTGTTCCGCTATAGATAGGGTTAACTATAGACAACTTGTGATCTCGGATCACCTTGGATCCTGGATATCCTGTTAAGGCACCGGGCTCCCTTTGAGAGTCAACGGTATATAGGTACCATGCGATGATACGGGAACGGGTCGGCCCAAGAGTATAGCACGGCCCAGGGTTCCGGCTGGGATTCTTGTTATTCCTACCGTACTTGAGAACCGGGCATATGTGGACAGAATCGTGTTTCCGAATACCACACTCCATAGCATCCAGAGGAGAGGGGGGTAAACAGCGTAAAATAGAGAGAAAATACACATCCTCAAAAGCATATTAAGATGGGAGTCGTGTCTCTCTCGTTCATAGAGGAGTACCTCAACCATCCTCCTCCCGGTTTAACATGCTCTCCCACAGCACTGTGGTTCACGACTCGTGGTTCAAGATGTTCGGAATCGCAGCCCTTCTGCTATTGCTCCTAGCAACAACATTTGCAACAGCAGCGCCCAACTGCCCACCCCTCGGCCCCGTCTTCGAAAAGCCGCGAAACTTCAAGTCCAGCGCCGCCATCCGCGCCGCCCTCGCCAACCTGACCGAGACCTTCCAGGCCCGCGACGCCGACAACTCGGCCGCCGTCCGCGCCAACATTACGAGCTACAGCCTTGAGGTGTTCAGCATCAGCGACACCGACCCGGTCGTCTTCAGCTGGCACCACACCGCGCCCGCGCACGCCTCGAGCAATGTCACCAATGGCGGAGTCAAGGAGACGGACGCCGACACGGTCTATCGCCTGGGCAGCTTGACCAAGATCTTTACGGTTTATACGTGGCTGGCGCAGGACGGGGATGTGAGGTGGAATGAGCCGATTACCAAGTATGTGCCGGAGCTGGCGAAGGCGGCGGATAAGGCGAAGGATGATCCGGTCGGGAACGTGGCGTGGGGGGAGGTGACGGTGGGGAGTTTGGCTGGACAGCTTTCGGGGGCTGTGAGGGATTGTAAGTGCAGTGGTTCTCTTATGAGCAGAAGAAGATGTTTTGAGGGTGTCGAGGACTGACAGTGAGGATGGGACAACAAAAGATGGCCTGATGGGCGAACTTACTCAGACGGTGGACCAGAACACCGCGGTTCAGCTTGGGTTTCCGGCTCTGAATAGCTCGGATCCGACTCTGCCCAAGTGCGGCGTTTGGCCTCATTGTAACAGGACTGGTAAGTCCTGCGGCTTTTCCCAGTCAAGAGCTTTGAGGATCTAACCACTTGGCAGAATTCTTCTCCGGCCTCCTCTAAATCTACCCCTCCTACGCCCCCTTCACCACCCCAGCCTACACCAACACCGGCTTCCAAATCCTCGCCTACGCGCTCGAGTCCATCAAGGGCAAACCCTTCCAGACACTCATGGAGGAATCCATCCTCCACCCGCTCAACCTCTCCCACACCTTCTACAACAAGGCCCCCTCGAACCTCGGCATCATCCCCGGCCCCGGCACCCCCTCCGACGCCCAATGGGACTACCAACTCGGCGACGAAAACCCCGCCGGCAACATGTACTCCTCCGTCCGGGACATCTCCGCCCTCGGACGCTCCATCATGCGCTCCACGCTGCTGGCTCCCGTGCTCACCAACCGCTGGCTCAAGCCGGCCGCCTTGACTTCCGAACCCAACGCCGGCGTCGGCTACCCCTGGGGCATCCGGCGCATCGTTTTGTCCAGTGTAACCAACGGCAAGCGCGTCGTGGACGCGTACAACAAGGCCGGGAGAATCGGGTACTACAACTCGCTGCTGAACCTGCTGCCGGACTACGGCGTCGGCTTTTCCGTTTTGCTGGCTGGCCCGAACCTGCCCGCCAACGCGAACTTCAACCTCGCGGATGTGCTGGGCGAGCAGTTGTTGCCGGCGTTGGAGGCGGCGGCGCGGGAGCAGGCGCAGGATACCTATGGCGGGAGTTACTACTCAAACGGCGGCGGGAACTCGTCACTGAAAATCACCACCCAGCCTGACCGCCCGGGCCTGGGCATCGAGAACTGGGTGTCCAACGGGACGGACATGCAGTATGTTGCTGTGGTGCTGGCGGCGGGGTACGCGCCCGTGAATCCCTCGATTAGACTGTACCCGACGGGTTTGGAGACGACGGTGATCCCGGGGGAGATGGATCGGGAGAATGGACGGGCGGCGACAAAGGGGAAGAGGGTGGCGTATAAGGCCGTGTTTGAGGACTTGAACGTGCCGAGCAGGACGCCCCCGAGTATGTTCTCGACGGACTGTGGGAGCTGGGTCAGCTTGACGGGGGTCACGTATGGGAGTATGCCGCTGGATCAGTTCTTTTTTGAGGTGGATGGGAGTGGGAGGGTGGTGAGTATTGAGAATGCGGCGTTGAGGATGGTGATGAGGAAGGGGTGAAGGGAGGATATAAGGGGGTCTGTGAAGTGGAAGTCCGGGGCTGGTTGGGGGAGGGAGGGTAGCAGAGGTTGGAAAATGATTTGGATGATGAACTCCAGGAGATGGACGTGGATGCTTTGCTCCAGGGACACTTGTTGGGGACAAAATGCGCAGAGGGCAGAAGGATGCAGACGATAAAAGAGACCGATGCACTCAATTTCCGCTGTTTGATAGTGTTCCTGAAAGTGACACCCGCATCGGCATCGCAAATGCATTGAATTCGTACCGACGACAAATGAGGTTGAGAAAGCAAAGTCGAGCTCGTCGAGCGCGAAGCATGATGGTTGTGTTGTTGGTTGTGTTGTAATGAGAAATTACGTCACTGTAACTTGTTGTACATAATGCAAAGATCCGACGCTGTATGTCAACAAATCCCAAAGGTTGTGTAGTGTAGTGGTTATCACTCTGGATTTTGAAACTTCAAAACTTTCAATTCTTCCAGTAACCCCGGTTCGAACCCGGGCACGACCTCAATTTTTTCACTTTTTTTTCCTTTTTGCTTTTACCACGCATATTACCAGCGTCGGCGACCGGCGTTTCCTTTGGTTTCCGATGACTTCGATGCCTCACAGCGCCAAGCTATGCCAGATGATGACATGGCGTGAACCCCACTTGGCCCCTTTTTTTGAGCTGGAGCTTCCCGAGCTACGGTGTAGATCTCCACCGTCGGAGACATCGGGTGGGAGACAAGAGGGGAGCTCTTAAGCGCTTCCACCGACGCTCCACCTCAACAATCAAATCGGACCTTATCCGTTCAATCGGGTATGGTGTAGCGGTAACATCGTTGACTCTCACTTCCCAGGAGTGACTGCTCTCTCAACAGCCCCGGGTTCGACTCCCGGTATCCGAGTCTCAAACAACATCTTTTTTTTTCATCTTTTTTTTCTCCGTCACCACTTATTCTTTTTGCCAATGACGCAATCATTCATGTTTTTCTTCGTACACAGTCAATGACATGACTGAATGCCCGGGTCATCGTCTCATTATTCATTAGCATCAGAATTATACCAAAAACATATCCATGCAATCTTCCCTTCTTCTTCTTCTTCCTCCTCTCTTACACAAACACCCCAAAATCATTGACTTCCCTCCCCCGCAACCGAGCATGAACGCCTATCTGTCCTTGATCACCTGCATCAATCGTCCGTACCACCCACATCGTTCGCCTTTTTACCTTTCGCCATGAACCAAAGTCTATAACATACGCTTATTGTCAGCAACACTTTCTTGAGATTCATCAACATCAAAATCAACGCCGAAAAAAATGACTTACCCTCAGCCGGACTCCCCAAAGGAAATGGATCCGTCATCGACCTCGGCATCCCCATCGTTGTCGTCGGCATAGGTGGCGACGCTCTCCCTCTCTTGTTGTTTTCATTCGCAGTAGCCAGGTAATAACTCTCGGGCTCATCCGTCATCTCCAAGTACGATGCTGGGTTCTCCGACCACGATGACGACGTGCAATGGCTGGGCGCTGCTGCTGCTTGAAATTGGAACTGGAAGTGGGCGTGTGGTGTGTCATGGTATGGTGGCATGACGGGAATGAGCGTCGGCTCGACGGTGGGCGGAGGAGGAGTAGGTGGTGGATCTTCCCAGTAGGGCGGGTTTCGGTCTTGGTCTAGGAGGTCGTCGTCTTTTGCTTCTGCTGGTGACCTGGTGGCGGTGGAAGATGAAGACTGTCGTCTTTGGCAATCGCAACCGGAGGACTTGCTTGGGGAGCTTGATGATGATGATGATGGTGATGACGAGGAGGCTGGCTTCGGTTGTTGTGGTTCTTGTGAAGAACCTGTCGAGGTCGAGGCCTTCTCGGCGATGCTATCAACCCAGATGCGCGACTCCATTTCGTTCCACCTGCTGATCGCCGTGTCGATGATGAGCTGCTCCAGGTCCGTTGTTCCCTCGAGGTTGATTCCGAGCTTGGTGGATCCTAGAAAGACAAGATCTTGGGCGAGCGTGCGGACCAGTTGGTTCTTCGTGGACAGCCATAGTGTTGGACTCTGCTGGAACTCGGAGCTGAGGAGATTCGAAGGGGAAGTACTCGACGACGAGGAGTTGAAGGTGGTGATGGTGGTGGTAGGCGATGGTGAATATCCCATTCCCAGAACAGCTCCAAGCACCAGATGGAAGAGGACCTGGCATGGCTCTGGGGAGAGATTAGAGAGATATTGGGGGGTTAGGATGCCATCCAGCCTCCTGATCAGATGAGATCGGGACTCGTGGCGTGCGGGATACGCCTGCTTTTGGCGTGAGCTGCTGCCCTTGCTGTTCCTCCGTCCACGGTGTGCTAGAGATGCTGCTAGTACGAAACTGCGGAACTCGGGGATGATGTCGTTGCCTCTGGACTCGTCTGGGAACTGGATGGACAGAAGGCTTGAGCAGCAAAGGCCGGTAATGTGACCGTTGGGTAGGCTGGAGTCGGGGTCCTTGAGCCATGAGACCAGGGCCCGGTTGAAAGTGGCCTGATCGGACTTGAGTGAGAAGCTGGCGGAAGCTGCTATCCGAGAGAGCAGGCCGCTCGTTCTCGTTACGAAGGCGTCGAGTTGCATGTTGCTGGATTCGGAAGGGTGGTTGATGTTGACGATGTTGTCCTCGATATTCAGGATGGATGGAAGACTGGGCGGGCACGGAGTTTCGTGGTCGGGACACTTGGCTTATATGAGCTCATGGTTCAAGATCAGGTGGGGTGAGAGATGGGTAAGGGGAGTAGAAGAGGGAAGAAAGACTAGGCTGGGCTTGGTAGGTATGTATAAGTCATACCTGGATGATGTGACACTTGGAGCAAGCCCTCTGACGTCGAAGAAGCTCTTGGTCCTCCCGTGATTCTTGCGGTGTGGAGCTGGGTCTAGACCATTCGTGATGTACGGGTCGGTCAGTTGCCCGGAAGCAGTGAGTAGACCGAACTGGGAAAGGGAGATCTGGTCTGCAGCGGCTTTGATCGTTCACGACGCCCGGCATTTATGAGTGTGGCTGCCGTGGGTACTTATTTAGAAGTGGTGGCGGCGGGACTAGTGTGCCTTTGTGAGCACGCTAGAGGGTGACGGGAGAGGAACACAGCTCAATACAATTTCAGGTTGGCAGTAGCACGTATAATAGCTTGGAGCATTGCCAAATAAAGAGCGGGATGCCGGTAGTTTGGACAAAGCAGCAGACAGAGGCTGGCTGAGAAGAGGAGTCGGGTGGCACAAGCTGCTTGAAACTTGGACGACAAGCACGACCGAGAGTTCCGTATCTGGTTAGCTCTTATAGGGGATGGCTTCCATGGTGGAAGAAGGGCATGGTCCAGGGATGGTGGATTGATATTGGAATGGGATGGAGGTGGAATGGAAGACCGGAGAGGAACCATGGTTCTCGCTGTTGTCCAACTGTGGATAGAGTCACGGTGTGTTGAGCCTGTAGGGTGCCGAGACACATGAGCCGGGCAACGTTCAGTTAAGGGCAAACCAGGCGTTCGGGTCAGGGGAGCAGGGTTCCATTGCTGAGCTTCATCATGGGGCCCAGGAGATTTGGAGGAGTGATGTGGTGAAAGTGAAAGGATTCGTAGCCACATCGCCATCGTGAGCAGGTAGGTGTTTGCAAGGGTTCAATTTTAGAAACCTGTCTGGATGAGTGAGGAGCAAGTAACAACAAGGCACGCGGAGACCACGCCACCGCAGATGGGCTTCAGCATCCTTCTGACTCTGCTTGTACAAACATGGAATCCAGACAAGACCTGAAAGATGGAGTTGTTTCGCGTATCGTGAGTCTTTCCTCTAGCGTTGGGTTCCACTCGCTTTTGCCTCGCTTCCACCGTTCCACGCCCTTGTTGGCAAGTATCGTCGCCGTATTCCGCAGTCGGTGTCGTTTCGGAGAGTTGTTGGGATGTCGAATTCTGGAAGTGGAAGAAAAGGCCCATGCTGGATGGAGCAAAAAGGGTCGCTGATCAGGGTTCTCACCGGCGCCATCGTAATGAGGGTTGGCAAGGTTGGCTCGTGGCCCATGGATTGCTGTATGAAATGGGCTGGCGGCCGCGGCCTCTCAGTGGTCAGTGCGGTGCCAAAACCTTGAAGAGCACTCCTGCCAAGCCTCGACCCAGAGCCTGCCCGTATCCACTTGCAGCGCTAGCGACCCAATCAGGGACGTGGGGTCAGCCATGGCAAGCTGAAGGCTCCCGCGGCTGCGCACCAGGCCAGCTGAAAACACTGCAACTTGGCTCCCGATTTGGAAACCCAATCTTGAACCTTGCAACTCCACGCCAACTCCTGCCGCGACAAGCTGCACCGCAACTCAACTGCCTCCTCCATCACGCTCCGTCATCGCGATCATGTCATGCCTTGTTCCCTGCCAGTCCGTTTCGTCCTTCCATCCATCTAATCAGAAGAAATGAATAAGCCGAACAGCATCGTCAATCCCACCGACCCCGCCTCACCGTTCCCTGACGAGCTTGGTTGAGCCGCATGCGCACAGTTCTCCCGCCCTTCCATCGAGGACAACTGTCCAACAAGTCGTTGTCCTGCTGTTCCAGATTGACGTGGCACTGGCAGCAGATCGTGCTTTTGTCCGACCGACGGGACCCACGAGCCATCTACACTCTACCATGCCGCGCTGAATTGGAACTACAAACTGCCAACTAGTCCATCGACGAAGCTCTGCGACGGGTACCCGACGAGGTGTGATGACGGCATTCACCATGTCTACACCAATTGTCTGAACCGGACAGACGGCGCTAAGCATAGTCTTTAGCTTCCCTTGACGATGACTTGTCGCATCTCAGAACCCCATCGACGTTGTTGCTGCTGGCTTCAAGCACACAATGAAGCTGGTGGGATGTTGGGAGCATCAGCAGGCACACCGCAATCGTCACATGGAAGCGTGTCGAGCGAGGTGTGTGTGTGCTATGGGACGACGGCCCACGGTTCAGCATAATGATCGGGGCAAACCCCACGGGCCGCGACAGATGGAAGACACGCATCATGTTACACGGCATCAACAATCACTATAGCATCCTCTACATACTGCGCAGGCTTAATGCCTGGAGGATATCAGTGCTCCATCAAGTCGAGATGTCCTGATAACAGCCCAGCTGACCACGAGCACAGCATACTGCTCCAGGTCATCCACCGAGACCACTGAAAGCCTTGACCAATGGCAACAGTCCATATTGTCTCTCCCTCGGGTGGCTTTCCGGACGTCCTCACTCAGTGTCATCACCTCGGCCTTGGAGATGCGTGTCCTCTGGGCTGGCACGGCTGGGTAGATTTAGACCTAAAACGATATGCACGGCTTCCCGACGACGCCTCAATCACTTCCTTGCACGCCTTGCACCATGTGCTCAAAAGGCCAGAACGCTCCATGAGAGCTCCTCGTTCTGGACCTCTTGTTGACATGTGCACAAACTGTTCCATCTGTCCGTTCGAGCAAATCCCCGGACTCTGCTCCGAATGCTGTCCCGAGTACCGTTGATTTTTACCGCGTTACGAGCGCATCTATTCTCGGGAGCTTCAAGAGCTTCAGGGACATAGCCGGAATTAGCTATCTGACGTGTTAAGCTAGCGCAGCCCATCCGCTTTTGACCTTATTCCGAAACCTCGGCAAGGGCCGTTCCAGATGCTTGTTTTCTTGCCAGTCTTCGCTTCTTAGGCGCTTGAGAGATGGGCTGACCATCGACGTCACTTGGATCACTTGTGTCTCTCATGGAATCTTCGTCCGCCTTGGGATCCTTGTCTTCCATGGGCAGCTCAAAGTCAAGGATGGCGACAGCTTGACCCTCCGCCGGATGCTCAGCCGGGTCGACGGGATCGTTGCGAGCAAAGACTGACAGAACGTTGTCATACTCCAGCCTGGCTGAGTCTACCAGCGGTTCGCCGCCAAGGCCGTCTCCTTTCCAAACTTGTCGGTAATCGGCGTATCCACCAGCTTTGGTGGCCCTCAGGATCCGCATGCTCTTCGTGGTCGAGTCTGGAAGGATTGCGTATAAATCGCCGGTTTTGCTGATGGCTACTTGACCACGTTTGCTGCCTTCGGTGATGACTTGCAGTGCCCGCTGCGTCCACGTCCCTAGTCACCGTCAATCGGCTTTGCCAGCAATATCACAACCGTAGCACAGCGGTAACTTACCATCTGACGACCGGTAATAATGTTTCCACAGGTACGTCCCCCCTTCATTCATCATATCTCTGTTCAAGACGTGTACACCCCCTTCTTGGTCAACTGCTTGTGCCTCTTGGTTCATCAGGCCCTTGCCCTTGGGTACGTCAAAGACAACGATCCCATTGCAGTCATTTGTCATGGTGCGCCCTTTCCCCCGTACGTCGATGGGAAACTTGGCAGGATCCCTCAAGTCGGCAATCACTTCACCCCGGCCGTTTCTCCATGCGTATCCACCGGCGTCGCTATACGCATAACAAATGTTATGGTTGTTTTCGGCCCCGTTTGGTCCCGCCTGCTGCTTGTGTTTGGTATCGAGCGGATCGTCCCACCCCGGATAATCCACAAAGCCTCGATATACCCAAGTGACGTGGAGGACCCCGTCACGGGAGGTCATCCCGTTGACGTATGGATTGCTCTGAATCCCTGTCAGGTAGGGGCCGATGTACTTGTAGCGACCGTTTTTGCCATTATAGGTGTAAAGATGGTCGTTGCCGAGTCCAGCCTTGCCGTCACGGTGGGAGAAGAACATGTCCTCGCCGAGGAAGCCGAATCGGGGGTATGTCACGTCGCGGAGGGGCTTGTGGGTGGATGGGATTCCCGGGAGGTAGTCAAGAGTGACCGAGAAGATGTCTGGACGCCAACTGACGGTACAGGGTTGAGTGGCTACGTCCCGCCTTGAGTAGCGGTATCGAAGGCTGTTCCGTCATTGTATTGGTGTGGCGGTAAACAAACAAAACAGCTGGTGGGAGAAAGGAGGGAGACGCAACTCACATGTCACAGTGATGATCGAATGCGAGGTGGATCGTTCCGTCACCGGGGCAGATTCCAAGCGAAATGGTGTTATGACCATCGTCATCGGTTTGCTTGTAGTCACGAAGCTCGAGGACTTCCCACTCGTAGGCCGATTCTGCCCTGACTTCGTCTTCGTTGTCTAGGACAGGCGCGTCGGAACGGGGCCGTAACTGTCTCCTGGCCACGCAAAGATACAGAGCGTCGCCATCGTCTGGCCCGGCGTTGGACCAGTATGTTGCGTACTGGTGGCCCTTGAAGGTGACTATAGCGTCCTGCTGGAAGGCGTATGCGTTGAGTTTGTGTTTGCGACCTGGGGTGGTAGACTGACATCCCAATTTTGTGATGACGGGTTGAGGCAGCTGCACGTGTGCGGTATCGTTGTTTTGGTGCCCTAGCTTCGGCATGGAGTCGTTGGGAGACATCTTTGCGCGGAGGACGACAGTCACCACCAGTGAACGATAAAATCCCAAATACACCGTGTTATGGATAGTTCATGGGAGGTAAGGTAAAGAGGACAGAAGCTCATCCCATGACATGCACACCTACCAAATTCACCCAGTCCGGACGAGTTAGCTTGAGTGACATTGTAGGATCTTATCGATACTGCTATGCCTACGGCATTTACGCAGTGCTACTTCAATCAGAACACTTTATGCTCCAAGGGGAGAGTGACAATACCGTCACCTTAGGCAAATTGACACATTCTCCAGGAGAAGCCCTACTTTTGCAACGACAACAAGCCCAGCGAATTATCTGATACATATCATTGAACAGCTTTAACATACCTACCTATTCAGCTCGCCAACCCGAAACTAGAAGCCTAACACATCCCCAACTTTGCACGTGGCTCACCTTGAAGTTCTTAAACCTCTAGAGTCCAGCACGCGGCGCCAAGACGAGTCCCAATACCGTCCCCTGATTTGTGGATAATTTACTTTCCGGCCAACTCTCATCGCTTTATGTACCCCAACCCCTAGAACTAGCCTCCAGATATTCAATAGGTACTTTGACACTTTCACCGCACTCAGACATCACCAGCTCACCAGGTGTGTGTCGCGAACCGAGCTCCTGGGAACGGAACGGACTTGGTGATCTTCTTGCAGGGGTGAATACGTACAGTTCGCACTCATTTGGGCGGTTGCAGTTAGGTGTTGGTGATGGTGATGAGACTTCAACTGGGTTCTGACGATATTGATCACGGCGCCGAGCGCGGGGATGAATGGAAAGTTGGGGTAAAGACTCCCTTGTGAGCTTGGTTCCAATTCCCCCACGGGGTAAATCCGCGCTAGGTATATAGATGGTTAGGTGGGGAGGCTTTGGGAGGCTTGACGGTCGAGAGGTTGGAATCTGGATAAATCGGGCGGAATCCAAGGTTTTTGGTACACTATTCTTCCATTGTTTACAGGTTCCATGGTTCACGAACAGCTGAACATACCTACTACCACCTGAAGCTGACTGGTTTCTATCTTTGTCTGATCTGATTCTGGCTGGTGGTGGTTGATGTTACCAAGCACAACCCAAGATACGTGATGAATGTGACGATAGTCTGTGGATTCCAGTATACCTATCCAGGAAACACTTTCACAACCTTGCTCTGGTTCAGAAGATCCCAATTCCAACTTAATTCACCAACCTCGGGTTGCCTTGTTTGAGGTTCGTTTGGTTCATTCCACCACGCCGTAACGTCGCTGGCGGGATGTGGGGTACACCCCCATAAACCCCATGCTCCTCAGCGGGCTTCAGCGGGCTCGCAGTGGATTCCAGCTCGCGATTCCCCCAAGCCCCAGCTTTTCCCCCATTTCCCCGTTTCCCCGGAGTGCGCCTTGTGGATATGGCAACACTCACCACGACGTCCGCCGACTCCATGACAAGCACGAGTTCCACGCCGGGCATCTCGCCGTTCTCGATGAGTTCATCATCTGCAATATCAGATTTCCACATGGCTTCGACCTCCCGTCGTTGTCCTCCTCCAGTCTTCCTCCTCCACCTCCTCCACAGTCCGCACGAAGGATAACCGTCGCTCTTCTCCGCACTTTGTTGATGTACATTCCATTCCCACGAATGACACGGGACCAATAGGCTAATACCAAGCTTCGAACTTGAGCATGCTTACCCCGTGCTTGGCACGTGGAACACCGTTCGTGACCAGAGGTGTTCATCCAGACACTCTTTTCTTCACGCCATCTGATTGGCGGGGCCTTCTACTTTACACGGCATGCATTGTCGGGATTCTCTTCCCATGGTGAGGGGAACAGCCGGTGCGGAGGGCAAAGGGGCAAGGGGGGGAGAAGGCGACTCCATGGGCATCTGGGGAAACATGGAGGATTGGGGAATGGCGGCGGCGACAGTAACACGGTCTGACGACCTCTGAAGCCACTCCAGAATTCCAGCCTCCAGCCTCTTGTTCTTCCCTCCATCTATCTACGAGGTATCTTGGATGCTACTGAAGCATTCAAACAAGATATACATATGCCAGATAAGACGGTAGTAAATACGACACTCTTGCTTCAATGTCCTCAGGCAAAGGCAACAGACGACGAAAAGAGAGGAGCCAGTTGCAGTGCAACGTCCCCCTCTCCTTGGTGGAAAAATGCCACCGGTAGTGGGCGAACAGGTGAGGGGGACAATCTTTTGCCCAGTTGGAAGAAAGACACACTCTACTGTGTAGCTCCAACCCGGTTACCCTTTGAATGCCATGTCTTTACTCGCAGAAAGGGAAACGGGCCGGAAACCAAGCATCGCCATCCATGTTTCTCCAAACCACAACTCCAATCAGGCCTGGTAAAGAGCAACGAGCCATGTGCAGAGGCGTGTGAGCTGTATCCATCTGTGTGATACAAGCCATCATGAATCTGGAGTATGGGGTAGCGTATCTCACTAAACCTACACAGTTAAGGCGTCAAGTCGCCAAGAAAGTGAGACCTACATCTCTACTTATTGACTTTGCATGGGGGTTCCAGAACTGGCCGAACTGGCGTTGCACCGCTTGCTTCCAGACATACAGGAACTACATACTGTGTAAGGGTTCCGGACACCACCGGCACCGTTACTTTCTATTATATTACCCGGAGGCTGGAGGACACTCTTTATTCTCGTGAACTTTCCCTCTCACACATCATCCATCCATCATCCTTCCTACCAACGACCCAGGTCCGGATCAAGAGGTCATACCGTTGAGAAGGCTTCTCACTCATCGGCCGACATCTAGCCAGCGCCCAAAGAGGCCTCGAAGGCTCTTCATCACCTCACCTCAGACACAAGAAGAAGTCAATTCGAACGATAGAGGGCAACCTCACCAAGCCGTCAAGATGGGTCTCTCAATAGGAAATAGGATCCTCCGAAAAATTGTCAAAAATGAGGCCATGGCACAAGATCCCCCAGAGATCTATGGCTGGCGTGTCTATCTCCTAGCCTGTTCTGTGAGTTCCTTTGCCTGAGCAGACAGTATCACCCAACAAGATCTTGCCTTGCTGACACTTTGTATGTCCGTCATCACAGGCTTGCTTCGGTGCCATGTCCTTCGGCTGGGATTCCTCCGTCATCGGCGGCGTCATCGAGCTCGAACCCTTCAAACACGACTTTGGCTTCATCGGCAACGATAAAGCGAAGGCCAACCTGGGCGCCAACATCGTCTCCACCCTCCAAGCCGGCTGCTTTCTTGGTGCGCTGATCGCCTCACCTATAACCGACCGCTTCGGCCGCAAGTGGTGTCTCATCGCCGTCTCCCTGGTCGTCGTCATCGGTATCATCATGCAATCCGCCGCCTCAGGCAACCTCGCACCCATGTACGTGGGCCGTTTCGTCGCCGGCGTGGGCGTCGGCGCCGCCAGCTGCATCAACCCGGTCTTCGTATCCGAGAACGCTCCGCGCTCGATCCGCGGCCTGTTGACCGGTCTCTACCAGCTCTTCATCGTCACCGGCGGCATGATCGCCTTCTGGATCAACTACTCCGTCTCCCTGCACTTCAAGGGCAAATCCATGTACATTTTCCCGCTCGCCATCCAAGGTCTTCCCGCCGTCCTGCTCTGCGTCTGCATGCTCCTCTGCCACGAGTCCCCTCGCTGGCTGGCCCGCCGGGACCGGTGGGAAGAATGCAAGTCTGTGCTGGCGCGCATCCGCAACCTCTCCCCGGACCACCCGTACATCGTCGACGAGTTCCGCGAGATCCAGGACCAGCTCGAGCAGGAGCGCCGTCTCCAGGGCGATGCTACCTACTGGGATTTGACAAGGGACATGTGGACCGTCGCCGGCAACCGCAAGCGCGCCCTTATTAGCATTTTCTTGATGGTCTGCCAGCAGATGACGGGCACTAACGCCATCAACACGTACGCGCCTACCATCTTCAAGAACTTGGGCATCACCGGCACGTCGACTAGCTTGTTCAGTACCGGTATCTATGGTATTGTCAAGGTCACTAGCTGCGTCATCTTCTTGCTGTTCCTCGCCGACTCGCTTGGTCGCCGGCGCTCGCTGTTGTGGACTTCGATTGCCCAGGGTCTCGCCATGTTGTATATCGGCCTCTATGTTCGCATCTCGCCGCCGATTGAGGGCCAGTCGGTGCCGCCGGCGGGTTATGTGGCGTTGGTGTGCATCTTTTTGTTTGCTGCGTAAGTTTTCTTCCCTCGTTTCCCCTTTCCTTTCCTTCTCTCCACTGCTTCTTTTCCCCATTCCATTCCTTCCGTTGCATTGTTCTAACCTTCTACCCCCAAACAGTTTCTTCCAATTCGGCTGGGGCCCAGCCTGCTGGATCTACGCCTCGGAAATCCCCGCCGCCCGCCTGCGCTCGCTCAACGTGTCCTACGCCGCCGCCACCCAGTGGCTGTTCAACTTCGTCGTCGCCCGCGCCGTGCCCACCATGCTGGTCACCGTGGGAGCCCACGGTTACGGCACCTACCTCATCTTCAGCAGCTTTTGCTTCAGCATGTTTGTCTTTGTCTGGTTCTTCGTGCCCGAGACAAAGGGTATCTCGCTCGAGCATATGGATGAGCTGTTTGGCGTTACTGATGGGCCTGCCGCTGAGAAGTCGTCGGTGCAAGGGGGGGATGATGTCGGGTCGGAGATCGGGAAGGGGGATCAGAAGTCGAGGCATGTGGAGGTTTCTGTTTAAGTTTTATTTTTTGGGATTGTGTTTGGGTATGAGAAGGTACCTACGAAGAGATGTCTTGATGAGCTTATGGATGCCGGCTGTGGGACGAAGTAAAACAATCGTCTTTGTCTCCTGGTATAGGATGGATAAATGATGATACCACCTCCGCTATTATACGGGGGAATTATGATACCAGGTTAATAATCATTGACCTTGCTCTAATACCCAATGATGAATACCTGTTAACGTGAATATTCACAACACTTTGTTGACGTTCACAAGACATGTTAACCCAGGCCCAAACAGTGATCGTTTCAGATGTCTGGAAAGAACTGCTTTCGGCTGGTCCCTTGACGCTGTTGAATGAGATGGGGTACTAACATTTGTGCCGCTAGTCCTGGTACAGTGCTGATAGCGTAGTAACTCCCAAAAGATATGTTGGCTCCGACGCTTACAACGGAACATTATGATCCTTTTTCCATATCCACACGAAATAACACCTTCACTCTACTGACCAGGATACCACACATTGAATATAGCATCACCAGATTCACATGCCTTTCCAGACCTGCTCCCCATCCCTACCCTGACCGTAACACACTCGGCACTCAACCTCTCACTCAACTTGGTCCGACACCACCCCTCCGTACTTATCACACAACCTGTTCATATCCTCAATCATCCTAGCCATCCGTCGTCAGCAAGCCAGACAACTCACAAATTCAGTCAGGAGTCACAAATCACTTACGCCTTCATAACCCTCACCGGCTCATCCTGACCCGGAAACAAACAACAAAAATGTAGTTCAAACCGACTTGCCCCCATCTCGTTAGCATTCCACTTCCCACGAGCAACACCATCAAACCTCACTTCGTAAACTTGTGCCCAGCCGGCCGGCCGTCTGCCTGCCGGGCTAGGCCCACTCTCCAGCGCCACCTTTAGCCAGCTTTTCCCCGCGTTCGTTCGTAGCCTTGTCTTCCTTCTGAATACAACAACTTCTCTCTCGCCTTGTTTGTCCCTACTATCGTGACGGTCCAAGATAAACGGAAAAAAAAAGGAGAGAGAAAGAAAGAAGGAAAGAAGGAAAGAAAGAGAAACTCACAAAGAATACAACCTCACCCAATCCTCAAACTCCCCCCTCGGTTCCGCGGCACTGGGGCGGATACAACCTCTCATACTCCCTCACAAACTCCCCTCCCCTTAACCCCCCACCAAACCCACACCGCTCCGGCACCCAATTCCCCAGTTCATACTCGTTGTGCGCATAAAACGCCGCTGGATCAAAGATCACCGGTTCTCCCCCCGTGTCAGCAGTATTGCACATGGTCCCCGTGTTTCCGATCCATAAATCCCCATGCACCAGACACGGCTTTATTTTCTGCTGGCCTGTGAAGATACTGTCTTTTAGTCTGTCCGGGGATAAAAGGTGGGGGATGACTACTTTGCACAGCTTTTCAACAGCCGTTTTCAAATCGTCATTTTCGTTGGTGCTGACGCCAGTAATTTTGGAGTGTAAATCAACCATCCACCGCAACCCTTTAGCAAAAAAGACATCCCATCTTTCTTCCCAGTCGACAAGCTGCTCGATGTTGCCGTTGCAGGTGGTTACCCCAAAAGCAAATTTGCCGGTGGGACTGGTGCCGGTTGTGGATTTGTGCAGCTGGGCTAGGCGGGAGCAGAAGGCGCGCGGGTTGAGCGGGTGGGAGGGGGACATGGGATGTAGGATTCTAGGAAGAAGTATTTCTCGTCGTCGTCGTTGCTGCAAGGTCCACCAAAAGCGATAGGCTTGGGAGCAAATTCCGGAAGGGCCTCGCGCAGCGCCGTCATGCCAGCGAATTCGCCGGTGAACATCTTCTTGGCGATGGGGCCGCGGGCGGTTTTGAGGAAGAAGTAAGCGGTAGCTGGGACGGAATTTGCTGATGTTTGAGGTTGAAGTTTAGTGGGGTCATTGTCGTCGTTGTTGCGTTCGGGGGAGATGGAAGGAGAGAAGGTTGTTTCGATCTTGGCGGTTTGACACCAGAGGGAACCACCGAGGGCGGTGGCTTGGATGAAGGTGTGTCCTGTGGGAAGGGCTTATTGAGGTTATGTTAGAGAGGGCTGAATGAAGCACCGGAGGTTTAAAGGTTGGTTTGAGAGGGAAGCATACCGGCGATGATAGCTGGGTCGATATCAATTCGCTGACCAGTGCTTGGATTTGTCTTCTTGGCTAGTATGGCTGCTTGGTGGTCGGCTTTTGTGTCGACAGAGGGAGGATTCGGAGACGACATCTTGTCTCGCTGGATGTGATCAGTGACGCCAATTCCAAGACGCTGGTAATGTGAGTAAAGGCTCAGGCAGTCATCGAGATAAAGATCTTGTGGCATGCGTTGTAGTTTAAGTTATGGTTGATGCAGGAGGCCAACAGCGAGGGTTGCGATGGAATGCACAACCCCCAAACGACTTGTCGAGCGAGCCTTATTGGTAGGAGCCCTGGCAACCAACAAGTGGCACACTTTCCAATCATCCCGAAGCACCGAACGATATAGTATGTACATATTCGCCCAGGTCAGTCACTGTGGCTATGAGTGGAAAAACTTTGGGATTGTTCATTTCCGGATGTCAAAGTAAAGCGATTGTTGACTATTTGCTCAAGAACCTCAAGATACCGAGCGTTCGGTTGCCTCAACAAGGAAGTCGTCCGTCCTGAATACAGCGCCGATGTTGGTCTCCTTCCAGGGTTCCGCCACATTGGTTACACTCCAGTCAAAATTCCGCATCAACTGTTATCATGTTAGCAAGCATCGTACAAAAGTGTTGAAGAAGAACATGTACATACTTCAAAAATAGCCTTTCCAATTTCCATCAGCGCAATCGGCTTTCCGAGGCACTGATACTTGCCATAACCAAAAAGCATCTCGTGGACCTGGTTCATCTGAGCCAGCTTCTTGGGGTCCTCCTCATTCAGCCACCTCTCAGGCCGGTAGTAATCGGCATCCGCTCCAAAGATCTTCTGATCCCTGTTCAGTCCCCAGACACAGTAGCCAATGTTGGTACCGCCAGGAAGATAGACCGTCTTGCCCTCCACCATGACGGTATCTCCCTCAGGCGGTACCTTCTTCTGGGAAGAGTTGGTGACCGGGGGGTGCATCCGCATACCTTCCTTGCAGCATGCCCACAGATAAGGAAGTTGCCTTTGCGTGGCATTGGAAACAACACTCGGATACGGCGCCGCTCTTCCATCCTTAACGGCGGCATCCACCTCGGCCTGAAGCCTGGCATAGACGCGCGGGTGTGTAAGGAGGTACAGCATGATTGATCGCATGGAGGTGGCAGCGGTCTCGGCGCCGGCCATGAGCTGCAAAATGGACTCGGTAACGAGTTGCTCTTTATCCAAGCCATGACGGAACCACGAGGCGAGCATGTCAGTCCCCTTGGACATGTCGGGGTCGTCCTCGAGACGTTTAGAGATGATTCTGCGAGTGTTGGCCGTCATCGCCCCGAAGCCGGTCTTTGCTTTTTCCGATCGTCCCAAGAGATACATGAGTGGCGTGCCGAGTGCGAGTTCTGTCAGTCCGAAGGCCAACAGATAGGCTAATGCCTTTGTGCCCTTATCGACGTCCTCGATGTAGCCATTCACATCTTGGTCTGAAAGAAGATCCCCAAATGGCTCGCCAAATCCAATATGGCTGATGACATCGATGGCGAGGTACTGAGTTTTCTTTGCGAGATCGAATGGGTTTATCTTGGTCTCGGTCGAACAGTACTTGGTCCGAATAAGTTGGACTAGTTCTGCAACGTGAATATCTACCGAACTCTCAAGGTCAGGGTTTTCCTTGCCCGAATACTGTACGTGGCCAAGTGGCATTAGCGATTAAGCACACGGATTCTTTGCCTGCTAAGGATGTTCTTACTCCGCCAGCCATTTGAGCTCTACGCTTGGTGTGTATGGCTTCGTCGACCTCGCTAAAAATGGTGTCTCTGTTCGGTTGGAAGCGACCAACAAGATACCACCACCTAGTCCGCGTGTATCTGTTTCTCGCTCCATTGATGTGTGCCAGTAACTCGATAGACGTAGTCATCAGCTCATTGGGTCCGATGCGAGCAATGGGCCCTGTTGAAGTTGGGGAAAGTCAGTGTATGCGAACGTGGCCGGGTTCAAGCGCCGTCTACCTACCGTATCTATCCGTGGCCTCCTTGAACTTCATGTGCGAATTGTTGGAAAAGTAGGCAAAGCCATGCCAGATCTCAAACCAGCCGGTGCCGAAGGGTCCTTTGAAATGGCGCAACCGGTAATACTGCTTGATCTTGAGTACCACCCAAATTGCGAGAACAACAAAGGCGAGGAACCATCGGGCCTCGTAGAGGACAGCAGCTGCGCCCATGGTGAGACACAAGTCCTGTAGATAAAAGTAGCCACACTAGATCAAGACTTGTAGGAACATTGGGAACCGCCGCCGCCGATGAACACCGTTTTTCTTATAGCATTGGAAGCGGTTCTTCACCACGTCGGATCCACCTCGGTGTCACCGTGCCGTTGGTTGAAAAAGGGATATCATGATCTGATATTCTCAACGGCGTAACTTTGTCCACTTACTATATCCGGTACTGATAGTCATGGCGGTCTGTTGCATATGGAAAACAACATGATCCTAACCTTTTGGATTTTGGGTCTAGGTATCACGGAGCTTGGCCGGCAAGACTGTGGAACTATTCCGCGAACATGCCATGTAAAAGAGGGGTTCAGGACAGGGACTGCGGGTGCGCTAGGCAACGTCCTCTGCGGATACCTTCTCGTTTAAAGAAGATGACGTGGAGACGGTAAAGTTTCCTGTTCCAGACTCAGTCCGTGAAAAGGATGGAAGTGAGGAGGTTGGTCAACTTGGTGATCTGAACTTTGTTGTTTTGAGGAAATTTGGAACTGTCACATGGAAAGCGAGCTACCCCGCCTCCAGGGTGGCTTCCGCCCATGCAGCCCGTGCATGAGGGCGCATAATATGGCAGCTGGAAGCTCGCACCACCATGAAGCTTTAGCGGTGATTTTGGTCAAAGGGAAGGATCGTCCGGGTACACGGCAGCCGGAGAGCAGGCCGGGTGCAACCTGGAACCGCCCGAAGCTCCACTGACCTAGGGAATAAAGGAGTTTTTCGAACTCAGCTCCATCACTCCTCGATTTGAGGCCCTTTCGAAGCTCTGATATTGAACAGAAATTGCGTATGAGTCTTTATCTTGTCTCACTTTGAAATAATCTTTTGTTCTGTGGGGTCTCAGACAAGACAAGCGTTGGAAACTGCGGCCAAACGCGCTCCTGCCAGATCTACACCTGCTATCGGATGCGAGACATCTCCGCCGGCAGCAGGACTGCCCTTCCTCTTACTCTTTTACTTGTCATACATACAAGACTCTGACACCACAAACAGCCTTCGAAGTTCTCACCGGAATGCTTTATGGGATACTGCATGATGGACGCAAGATTAAAGACTGTTAGGCTTAGCCGCAGTTTTTGTTACAGACATCTCCCAATCTGCGTTGACAAAGGCGTCCGATCATGATGTTTTGTTTTGCTAACTAGGCTGAACTTTGCACTAGCAGAAACAACCACGGACTTGATGGGGAATCTCCGGCATGCTCGAACCAATACGCCGTGTCAATATGACGATCGACGACTGTCGTTCCTGACTGCTTTTCACCATGATATTTCTGAAGGCTCGCTCTTTCCTGTTCAGTTTTGCTTTGTCTCGCCAAGAGAGGTTTGAACATTGTCATTGTCCCGCTCGTTCTTACTCTTTTTTGTAGAACAGTCACACCTCAACTGCCAACTGCCAGCCAACCCATAGGACGTTCTTTCTTGCCCACAATGTTCATTACACCTCAAGAGTCCCACTCGATTTCTGTGCGCGCGGGGCAGGGCGATCTTGCTGGACTTTCCGTTGCCGTCAAGACTCTTGCTCAGCGGGAAAAGGTGACCGAAGGGGAAGTCTTGATCTCGTGCAAGGACGACTTCCAAAGAACGGCGGCGCATATTGCAGCCCAATTGGGACAAAGGTGTAAGGGACAGCATTCATCAAGCCTTCATTTCTCGTCATGCTAGAGACTAATGGAACATTTCCGTGTCAGCTTCCATCGAGACATTGGCAGTCCTACTGGGCTCACAAGAGAACAAGGCCACATACTTCAACATGGCCAATCGCTTTACGGGCGACCGACCGGCCCATACAGCAATGCGATTCGGGTACCTCGACGTCTTGAGAACGCTGGTCGCGCATGGTGCTGATCCGACGGCCAAGAACCGATTTGGAGATACGGTATTAGACTACCCAGGGGATTATGAAATGGACGAGGCTAGGAGCATTGTCGACGAGTACAGGGCAAAGTCTCCTCAGACCGTGGCATGACAGGAGCACATTGACGGATGGATGGAGAAGACGAAAAGTGTATCGAGTGAGAGCATCAAGACGTTGGCCCCTCCTTCCGATCGGGCGGAAGGAGGTCTTTCCCAAGTATACAAGTTGACGTTAGGAACGGGTCATAGCCTGAGAACATATCCACTGGGTGCTCTCCTTCCTTGTCAAGATGGAGACAGGCAAATTTGATGCTTTTCTACTGCCTCATATCCCTTCACGGTCTCGTCGTTCGTTGCCTTCCAAGCAGCAACCATCATTCCGAAGACGGGCTTTTGGCTGACCCATTCGCATAGTATTTAAACCTTATATCAATTTGACCTCTCCTCCATCATGAAAGCGACACTTGCAGCAACTCGCTCGAGGATCCCAGTCCTCCGCGCCGCCAGACACGCCCGTATACCGGTTGCGAAGCCAAGATCACTACCACCCAGAATAAAGATACATTTGGTGAGGATGGTGGACAGGCCTGCCTCCACAGTGCGCAACGGGATCGGAGCCGTCCCTACCAGCATGAAGCAATTAGGCATCTCCAACAACTTGATTATCGAGGCCCCCGGTGTTGACTTGTCCCCGTACAACAAGATTCTTGTCGGCGCTGTTCTAGATGTAAGACTGCCTCCCAAACTAAGCAGTATACACAAGTCCACTCTTCGGCGCTAACTATCGTATCTTCACACCAGCTCTTCGAAGGAAAACCCACCCTCAAGCACCTCTCCCTCTGGAACCCCGATGCCACCTTCATCGACCCTATCACCACAGCACAGGGGTACAATCGATATGCCGCACAGTGGTACGCTCTTGCGCAAGTGCTCGGTCCCGTTGAAATCCAATCCCACGAGGTCGTCTCATCCGGAAACCCGATCGAGGTTAAACTTCACAACAGGTATACCATACCGTCAATCAACAAGCCGCAGGATATTCACAGCCTGGTCAAAATTTGGGTTGACGGCGATGGCAAGATTGACAGAGTGGAGGATAGGTGGGATGGGGAGTTGCCTGAGGGAGCGCTCAGTGAGGTATGTCCAGGTGTATCTGGCAAAGACAACCCCAAAAACCCTTGACTAAGATATGCATGTTTTCGTCGAACAGACAGTGTTTTGGTTTGCCAACGCCGTGATGCGATTGATGAGGAGATTCCTGGATGCTGCATTCCGGGTGTATTGCAGTGCAGCTTGGTGGCTGCCTCCGATTGTGGTATGCTTCGATGATAGCTTTGCGAAGGTCACATGGTTTGCTGACCTCAATCTACCTTAGGCTTTCCGAAAGGTACTCGCAATGACAATGCCCGTGATTGTCAAGGTCCCCAGGACTGAGGAAGAAGACATTAAGATGAGGGCCATCCGGGAAGGGTTCGAAGACGAGAAGGAATAATGATTTTATAATCAGCTTGAAGCAACTGGGACGGAACTTGAGCAACAGCAAACAACAACATTTATACAATATTCGATGCTGGGGCTTCTTGTTCACATTTTACCAGCACCGCTCCTTTCCCAACCCGCTGGATTGCGGGGCTTACGGCTACTAGACCGATATGGGACGTTTGATGTATTTTCTTGGTCGACGATATCTTCCCTATCGCTAATCATAATTCCCCAACCAGACACTTCACGGCCTGATTTCGAGACCTTGCTGTTCCCGCTTATATCTCGAAGCATTTCACTGACTGGTAGCAGACTGCGACTACACATCTGCCATTATTTAACAGCATTAGCATGTACAGGTAGAGGCTACGTCTCGACACTGTGCCGACAGAATTCCTGAATGATTAACTTGTCCTGGAGTCCATTGATCATCCCCAGGTTTTGAAACTAGGTTTTAACAGATGGATGCAGGTCACTAACACATGTAGTGTACCACGATACACGGCATTGTTCGCAAGTTAGTTTCTCTCCTCAAGTTCTGAGGTCAGTGATTGTACTTGATCGTTACTATTCCATGTTGATCATTATATAACTCTATGCAATCTCCTCAGAGACGGTCAACTGTCAAATGCGTCCGGTTCGTATGTAAGTTATGAATCTGTAAGCATTCCGACCCTGTCTCGCTAACTGTGAAGAAAACAAAGGCTTTAACCCGGCTTCATGGTGCCCTCTTTTCGGCAGTGTCGTACAAAGCTTGTATATCACTCTTCCACTGCGTAACATTAACCCTCACCACGCGACGGTCATACGTTACCAAGCCGTTCACCTCGCCTTCCACATCCGTCGTCTGTGTATACACAGCGCCGCTGCACGCATATCGTTCCACCTGGTCGCGCAACTCGCCAAGCAGCACGTGGGTGCGGTAGTTGTACGCATCTAGGTCGGCACTGAGCTCGTATGTTTCGGGAATAGTTGCTACTGCTGCGGGGTCGGGCCAGAGGCTGTGTTCGGGGGCGGGTCTGTTAGTGATGGAATCATCACAAGGGGAGAAAGGGAAAAGCGTCTTACTTTTTGGAATCCGGAACGTGTCCAACTCCTCCGAATTCACCTTGGAAGCCGATTCTGTTGGGGTCATAAGGCGTATTGGGACTGCTATGCCAGGGTGTACCGCACTGAGGGCTGGCATAATGGTGGTTGTCGTGGAAATCACCAGCTCCGTGGTCGAACCAGCCAGTTACCGAATCGATCAGTCTTGTCGGGTCAAGCGCGCGGATGGCGTCAGTGATATGGAATTCGGGGTAGTTGCCGTCGTCGCGGATTTGACCCCAGCCCTCGTTGTAGATCACCCAAGTCACGATACTGGGGTGGTGCTTGAACTGGTTCACCATAACGCTGAGCTGGCGCTCAAATTCGGCTTGTTGAGTGGGATTGGGAAAGTCGGCCGCCTGGATGGCTGCTGGGCGCATGGAGGGCATGTCCTGGATGACGAGGAGGCCGAGTTTGTCGCAGGCATGGTAGTAGAGCTGGGGCTCGACTTTGATCTGGTTAAGTGGGTGAGTGTCTCTCCAACCTTTGTCGTGGTCAACGGCAACTTACATGTTTCCGAACCATGTTCATCCCCAGGCTTTTGATCAAGTCAAGATCGTACAGCATCGCGTCCTCGGTGGGAGGCAAGTAGATTCCATCTGGCCAGTATCCTTGGTCCAGGGGCCCGAACTGGAAGACGAACTTGCCGTTCAAGAGCGGGCGCTGAATTCCGTTTACTGCTCCCTTCGAAATCGTCCTGAAACCGGTGTAGCTCGTGATTTGGTCGTCGCCCATTGTCACGCTGATGTTGTATAGCGTCGGGGAGTCGGGAGACCAGAGCTTGGGGTCGGGGACTTGGAAGGAGAACTCTTGGTCCGACGAGGCATTGTAGGTTGCGACTTCGGTACCATCTTCAAGAACAGAAACCTTCACCGCAGTCGTGTTGTTGCTGCCGGAGTGCACCGTCATGGTCACTATGAGGCCTGATTAGCCTAGACTTCCAAAGCATCACAGGTTAGTCCACTCACCTTTCCCTTCCATATCAGCCGCAACGTCCAGATCCCTAACATAGTTATCCTCCGGGACACTCTCCATCCAAACAGACTGCCAAATACCCGTACACGGCGTGTAAAATATATGCGACGGCGTCCTCGTCTGCTTCCCATGCGGCGTGTAAAAGCCCGGCTCATCAGTCGGATCCCGAACCACAACCTGCAACTCGTTCTTCTCCCCCTTCTTCAACGCATTCGTCGCATCGACCGTAAACCGGAAATACCCGCCCACATTATGCCCCAGCTTATTGTCATTCACGTAGACCATCGCCTCGTAATCGACTGCTTCGAAGTGTATCAACACCCTTCTCCCAGTCTCGTTGATCCAATTGTCGGGAAACTCCAGCGTCCGCGTGAACAGCATCCCCGTCACGTTCGTCTCCGCCAAACCACTGAACCCGCTCTCGATACACGACGGGATCAGCGTTTCCTTCTCTTCTAGAGGCAGTCCTCCCCCTTCTTCAGCACCAGCTTCATCCCCTCCTCCTCCTGTTGCATATCTCTCCGGGATAAGAGTGCTAATATCCACATTCATCCGCGCCGACGACGCAAAGTGAAGATTCCGATACCGCCATATTCCGTTGAGGCTCTGCCACCACTTATCCTCTCGCTTCAGCTGCGGGCGCGGGTGCTGGGCCCAGTGGTTGGACGGGTTCGAGCCCACGGAGGCGGTCCATTCGGTGGTGAGGAGGGCGGGCTGAGGTGCGTAGGGCTGAGGCTGGCTTTCTCCGCTTCCGTTGGGGCCGTTGGGGATTTTGGGCGGGTTTGCTGCGCCTTGGCGGATGGCGGATGCGAGGGAGGGGGGAGTAAAGAGGGTGAGGAGGGTGAGGGATAGGGAGAGGAGGGAAGTTGGTAGCATTTTGGGCTTGATGTGGTGTGGTGACTGTCTACGTTGACGGTCGCCGAGATGCTGAGGAGGATGTAGGAAGGAGTGAGTTCTTGAGGTTCAAGTCTCGAGAACTTGTGGGAGATCAAGTATATGCCTGATACCACCTGCATCGGTTTGCAATGGGCCCCGCCTCTATTTTAACAAGATGGGATGGCACATGTTGTTGGTCTTGGTCCAGGTACATTACGTACTGGCGAAGCATCAAACAGGACGACGGGTTACTCGACTCATGCCGGTCAGATAGGGTAGAGGTACGTCAGTGTCACCAAACAGCTCTTTTGAGATCGCCGGTCTGGGCACCCATCAACAAGGTTTAGTTTACATGCGGACCATTAATGATGAGGAGCACAGACTTTGGATCTAAAGATCTTCAACATCTCTACCTACCTACCTATACCTATCCAATTGCCGAGATCAAGTGCTGTCTTCCCTTTCATGGGGAAGCAACTGAACGACACCATCTCCTCAATTGCCAAGCACGACAACCAAACCAAGCATTCCATCTCAACAAATGATGACTGATCATGGGACGTCAGTTCCAGAACTTCCAAGACCACGGCAGTCAATCATTTACTCAGTCGAACTAGCTCGGCCGAGAACCGGTAAACCGCAGGTTCGTATAAAAAAAGGGAAGCAAGCGAACTACTACCCTTTAACCCACGTTGTGGTGGATGGTGATACCCAGTTTTATGTTGTGCTTCGATGCTGATGCTGATGCTGTGGTGTTGTTGTGGTTGCAGTACGTTCTTCCCACTTGTAAGTATCCTACCCAGATACATGTATGTCATGGGACAGACACACAAGGACAAAGATTCTACATACTTGTGTATGTATGTTATTTCAAACTCGCTGTGTGCCGCTCGTGCCTTTTCAGGTTGTAATCGCTACTCCGTTCAACCAGTTTTTCCATCAGAGTATATGCAGGAAGCCTGCCTTGGGAGGGAGAGGGAACAAAAAGAAGCTGGTTTACATACATACCTTGCCGAACGGTGAACAACAGTGAACAAGGTTAAGGTTACAGTCCGTTGTTACACTCAACCCTAACTTTCCCACGTTCATTCGTTGATGTAACATCTTTGTAAACCGGGAATTGAATCACTAAAACAACCAAACAGAATACATACAGATCAGCCGTTGTTCCAACCCACCTGAGTGGATTGCGTGACCAGAAATCTCACTTTAATACAAGGGGGGCGGGGACGGAAAGTAAATTACTTGCATGTCAGTCCACTTGCGAACTTGGGACATCGATACAAATACACTTTTGCAGGCCACTCAGGAAACCCGGTCGGTCGGATTTACAGGAATGGAATGAATGTCTCGCTTTTCAACGGTCCAATACAGGTGGCTCAGTCACTCCTTCCCCAGAAAACCAACTGAGACATTCCCGCATGCTCTACTCCACATGTGTGTAACCACCAGACCACAACTCTCAAATAGGTATGCAGTATGACGACGATGAAATACAGCGGGGAGGGGGGGAAGGGACATTGGGGATTACGGGCATCTAGATGTGTATGGTTATGTAGAGGTAGTCATGTGGTCAGGTATTGAAGGTCGGTTGTATTGTAGATGATGCCGGTATGTATCAACGAAGAGTGTTGTTGATCTGCCGCTTTTCCCGCTGATCTGTGATCTGAGATGAGGAATGGTGAGGGGTAGGTAGTTACGGACTCTGTTGAACGTGAGGGGGCCACGAAAGGACAAAGGAAAGGAGAAGCTTTACTAAGGAGGTTGGTTGACTGATTAACTTGGCTAACGTCATGTTCAAGGGGGGAACGGTTGTTGGGAGTGAAAGACATCAATTGATCTTGCTCCTTCAGAAACTATCTACAGCATTATCCTGTACTATCCTTTCCGCCCTGATATCCAGCATACAATTCAAGCCAGCCTCACCTCTTGCCCACCACCCTACAGAGACTCCTTGAGCTTCTCCACATACTCCTCAACAGACAACAGACCCTTCTCGGAGCTCTTGGCAAGTTCACCCATCAACCACTCCCTAGCCTTATCAGCCAACATATCCCACTCCTCCCGCTCATCCGCCAACTTGACCTCCAAATACGCCAACACCAAAGCCGTGGCAAGCATGTTTGTGTTGGGAATCGACACTCCATAGCGCTCCTCAACTTTCTTCTCCTCCGTCAACTCGGACTGCCCCAAAACTTCAAGCAATTTCTCACTCCAAGACCAGGAGCCGTCGAAGTGCTGGAGGCTCACGAGGGCTTCGAGCGGCTCGAGGGGTGGTGTCTCGGTCTGGAGTTCGGCGGATTCGTCTGCTAGATCGTCTACACTATGGAAAGTGGCCCCGAAGGCTCGAGTTGCAGCTCCGAAGCCTTGAGATGTGGCTGCGGCCCCGAAGGCTGTAGTTGTGACCATCTGTGCTGCTGTAGGTGGAACGATATCGTCAGAATCAGAATCAGAAGTAGATGGAACAAAAATAGAGTCCAAGGAATCAAGTGGAAAGAAGTCTTTAGAATCAGGAGCAGACGGAGATGAAACAGTGGCAAAGTCCAAATAATTTGGTGGAACAGAAAAAATGTCATCAGAAAGTGCACAGCAAAGTGGTCCAGGAGGAGGCATGAACATACGAAAAGAAGGGTGATCCGCCGGATGGGGATACATAGCCGTTGCCGGCAAATTATAAGAAGAATCTAACTTACCCTTACCAAAGAGCCCCGAGCCAGGAGCCGATGCCAGAGAATATGAAACAGCATTTGGCTGAGCACCAAAGAGGCCTCCTCCGGCAGGAGATGTCGCAGGAGAAGAAGAATCGACATCGAAAGCCTCAAGGACGAAAGCCTCCTCGACGTAATCCTCACTGGCGCCTCGTGCCCTACTTCGCTTTTGAACACGGTAAGACTCGGGGCGGTCAACAGACTCGTCCGAGGAAGTTCCAGAAACCCGTTGATTTACTTCGTGCTCCGTCCGGTCCTTCTCCTCCACCGCGACATAGCTGCACCACTTGCTTCCCACCTGGAAGGTGACTCCCAACCTGACGGCCTCTCTCTCCACCATATCGGAGAAGCGGCCTTCGTACTTGTCCTTGAGCAGTCTTTGCTCTGGATCATTCGAGTCCTTGGCGTGGTGTATCCACCCGCGACCCTCTTCCAGTTCCTGAACCGCTTTGCGGGCGGCGAGCTGGTGGATCGTCTGGCCCTTCTCCTCCAGCACGGCAACTGGGATCTCAAGCTCGAGGGGCCCGTGGGCGGAGGTGGCGCGGAGGACGACTGATCTGGGTATTTTCTGTGTCGTACCGGGGGAGAACAGAAGGTACACGGTGGTCCTGATGAAAGGGTAGAGCGGGGGGATGGTGAAAGGCGCTTGGAGGATCTTGGGTTCGGGGACTGAGGGAACGTGCGAGAACTTCCCTCCAGAAGATGTGTCGGCATCAGCATCAGGCATCTCGATGTCGAGATCGGCTGAGGTGTCAAAGAGGGAAATTGGCTTGACGGGCTCGGTTGGCTTGGCCGCGCCGTCAGAAGTCTTGTCCTCGGCGAGACGGATGGCCAAAGAGTCGGTGACCTTTTCAACGATTTCAAAATCGTCCATTTCCTCGTCGATTGTCTTCGCTCCGGCGTCAGAGTCCTTGTCGTACTTGATCTCCAAGGTGTAGTCCTTGACGTGAGGCGTCAGACCCGCCTTGAGCATCCTGACTACCTTGGCGTTCATCTTTTCATCGTCGGTGACGGACTGGGCAAACCCGTTGCCAGCACGAGCGACGCCTTCGATGAGAGCATGGCTGACATCATTGCCAATTCCCAAGGTAAACAAGCGGATTGCGCCCTGGGACTTAGAAACCTTCTCGTTGATCATGGTGAACAACCGTTCCTGATCCCAGATCTCGCCGTCAGTGAGCAAGAAGACTTCCAGGTCCATATCTTTGTAGCGCTGCTCGAACGCAGCTTCGAGTGGTTGATACATCTCGGTGCCTCCAAAATCGGCAGACATCCAATTTACGTACTCCATTGCTAGTCTGAGACTCTCCTGGTCATATGACCGAGAGCCATCTCTGAACAGGAACTCGTGAGTGGAACCGAATGAACAAATGTTGAACTTGGCGCCCACGGGGATGGACTTTAGGAAAACTCGAAGAGCAGACTTGAGGCCTTCGATTCTAGTACCGCTCATAGAGCCAGAGCGGTCACAGACAAAGACGATCTCGGGGCGCGATGAGGGGAGATTGAACTTTGGCACCAGTGTCGCCATCAAGGCCCGCTGCTGGGAAATATTAGGGTGTGTCTCCAGCAGGGCAATCGGATTGCCTGTGTTGGTGGCAACCACTTGCAAAATGAAGTCCTGAGCAAGCTCTGCGGTGCCAAGGGCCAAGGTAGCGGAGACTTTCTGCAATGACATATCAGTGCCGGCAGCTGCTCCAGAGGAGGTGTTACCGATGGTGACAGAGATGGGATGGGACGGAGACTGGATGCTCTTGATGTTTGAGCCATTCGGCGTCTCAACATCGACGGTGATCTGGATACCAGACTTGGTAACGGCTTGGGGAGCATCGAGAAGGGTACCAGGGAAATCACCGTAGCGAGGAGCAACAGAAGTTGGAATGGTGTACCGGATTCCATCCACCCCGGCATCATTCTTCAGCTCGCCCAGATAAGTGATCTCCACCTTGAGAAAAGCACCAGCAGGGACGTTGCCGACGGTGGTGGTGAAGACATCACTGGCATTGGGAAGCTGTTCCAGCAGGCCGGCGGTTTCGCCCCTGTCGACGGCTTCTTGGTACTCTTTCCGAGCCTCGGAACGCTCCTTGACGACTCCGCGAATCACACGGTCTTCGTTGATGGTGCAGACGAAACCAACGACGGAGACGCCATCATACAGCGGGAATGTGTACCTCAGCTCTGGGATGCTCTTTTCAGCAGAAGGGTTGACAAATGTCTGCGTCAGAGTGGTTCTGCTTGACGAGCCTACAATGTGTGTGTAGACGGAGAGTTCAAGTTGGGGGAGATAGTGTCGTTGGAGATGCCATTCATTGACGGCTTCGGTGTAGTAAAGACCAGTAACATGGCCATGGCTAGCATTATCATACATTCCAGGTCCTCTTGAGCCAAAAGGCATGGTGTGATGGGGTAGGTGTTGAAGTGATTGTATGGGGTATCGTTGTTTGGGGAGGTCTTTGATGCCGTGTTGTGGAGGGGATCAACTAGGGAGGGAAGGATGATAGCAGCAAGAAAAGATGAGGAGTTGGGAGAGTTTGACTAGAAAGAAGTAGAGACTGGACGTCAGTCTCGGTCATTATATACCCGTTTCCTTCAGACATTTTCTGCGTGACGGTGACTCAAATGATTGCCATCGTTCCTTCGGTGATCCGTCGGTTGGATGGTTGAAGTTGAAGTTCAACAAGGAAGAGGCGATGAAGTGCCTAGGTTTTCTTGGCATGTATTTGCCCAGCTGCCATGCACTTGGCCAGTAACATATTCTACCAATCACGCAATCAGCAATTGCCGCCGGCAGAAAGCGACAGCTGCTAGGCATGGCTTAGACGGGAAATACTCCGCTTTATCAATGAGCTAGGCAGTGCAGAACGCGTGTGTTCTATAGGCTCCCTCCTACGCACTGCCATGCTTTCAACTCTGGCCTCTGCCGAAACACAAAAACATCAGTAGAAACGTCGCTTGATTTTCAGAGCAGACTCCAAGCCGCCGGAACAAATAACATGTCGTCTTTGCCATGTTCAACTTGCTTGTGCGTGAGAGGGAAAGCAGTTAAGCAGGTATGCTTTATCGGTATCGCCGTCTGCCTTTATGACCTTTGTCATGCCAACTTCAGACATTCGGCAGCCAATCCTCTTGGTAATTTGCAAGGGAACAGTTCAAGCTGCTGGATTGTCGACAATCTGAAAGCCTTTATACAATCCAGCCCTGGTTTGTTTGTTAGTGTGGTACAAAAGAGCCAAAGCTTTACTGGATATAGGTAAGCGTTCGGCTTTCTATCGGGTGAATACCGTGAAACCGATATCTTCCAATTTTAAAGGCCTTGAGGGAAACGGAGAGAGGCATAATAGGGCACCTATAAAAGGTTTCTGTAGCGTCCTAAGCCCTTACCATTATCCCATATCGCTTCAAACGGAGGACAGTTCCTCTCTTCAAAGGCCAATGAGAACTCCAAAACTCTGCTGTTCAACTCATGATCGAAGAACCAAACTAACAAACAAACCAGTATCGAGTTGTACATTCAGTTTGGTGACACTCAGGGAGTGGTGATGTTTGAAGGTCGTATAAAAAGACAAGATAGCGTCCAAGTAGAAGACGGATCTGTAGACGAATCTGTAGATTTGTATAAGTCGTCTCCGTGACCCCTTGACAACCACAAGTAAACATCACCACCGCCAGTTCACACACAGTTAGGCGCCAACCCAACCAAAATGGCAACAATGCTCAAACCCCCTCCGCCCAAGAAGCCCCTACCAGACCTCAACCTCCCCTGGTCCGAAACAGACGGCATCACCTTCCGCGCCCTCCTCCAAGAAGTCGACCATACCACCACCACCACCACCACCACCAACCCTGAAGCCCCTTCATCCTGTCCCGGTCCTTCGTCTTCTTCTGCAGCTCCAGCTCGGACTTCAGGTACTCTATCTGCTTCTTCTTACTTATCACGCTTTCCTCAAGAAGGAGGCCGTATTACCACCACCTCCACAACCAAGACCCAAACCCCCAACCGCTCAACAAGACCCAACAAAACCAAAAGAGTCATAAAAGGGAAAAAAGAGCCCGGTCCGATTCCCTCCTCCCGTCGTCGTCAACAAACCCGAAGCCGAACAACCTCCTCCTCAAGTTCTCCCATCAGTCGAGGTCTCCCCACCCCCTTCTGTGCGACCTTTAGTCCTTTTAACCCCAGCCAAGACCAAGACCAAGACCAAGACCAAGACCCAGTCCCACGGCGACAACGACAACGACCATGGCCCTGTTTTCCCTCTCTCCGTCGAAGTAGTTTTGACGGTTTCTTCACGGAAGGTAAAGGCTTTCCACCGGGGGCTGAGGGAGGGAATCAGGAGGCAGGTGTTAAAGTATTATTGGGAGGAGGGGGACGATGTCACCGCCGGTGGTGGTGGTGGTGGTGGTGGTGGTCGTGTGGTCGACTTCTTGGAGGAGGGCGCGGAAGGTGATGACGAAGCGTACTACACTGCTGTGGCCGAAGGTTGGCAGGTTTATCTCGAGAAGGTGCAGATTAAGTGGGAGAAGGCTGCCTCTGCTCAGGAGCATAACCCGGCGGTGACACTGCCGGTTAACTTGCTCGACAGGAGAAGGACGGACGAGGAGTTGGATGGGTATTTGCATATGATGCACCTCCGAGGGTATCGCGACTATGTGGAGGTTTGGTTTCGATGGGTTAAGGGTGAACCTCGAGAGGCAGATGATGATGGTGTTGAGGGTGGTGAAAAGGGGCAGTCAAGGTACATAGTCATAGAAGATGATTAAAACGATGTGGGGGACGGCAGTTGTTTGTGGCCGTTCGAAAAATTCAAATTAAGTTTATGTACCTAGAATCCCCTCCAGGATAAAAAGCAAGAGAGGGTATCATGATCCGTGAGTGTACTGGTATTACATGCAGTAAGAATTGGGGAATATGATGAAACCCGGTAACGAGAGAAAAGGGGGAAACGCCTCCCCATCTCTTCGGTGTTGTGTGTGTGCTTGTGCTCGTGCTCGTAGGCCTTCCTCTTCTTAAGATTCATTTCCGACATCCCGGCCATATGTAACGAGAGAGTACCCTTATAAACCCATATTTCAACCCAACCCGTTCGTTCGCTTTGAGACCATTCGTTAAAAGATTACATATCACCGCTGTACACAAAATGTTGTTGTTCGTTGTTCTGTTGTGGTTGTTGGCGTTGCCCTGTGGGCTCCTTGTTCCACAAAACTTCGAACCGTGCTGAAATAAGCACAACCATGACGTCAACCGTCTCGTATCGCCCTTCGAGACATTGGGACTGATCGCTTATTTAGTTGGGCTTGTGCATCCTGAGGAAGTGCAGGAACCAGTCCTCAATGGGGAGGAGGTTGAGAAGTACGTGGTTGAACTTCCAGGCGATCAAGCAAGCGCAAGCTCCGGCTACCGCATCCAGAATGAAGTGGTTGGCAGTCGCGACAATGGCCGTAAGAATGATGCCAGGGTAAATCATGCCGGTGAAAATGGCGACGAGTCTCTTCCAGCCGAAGCGGCCTTGTCTCCTGAGGGGAACGGTGGCAATAGTGAGGCCGACGAGGAAAGAGTATCCGAAGTGCAGGGAGGGCATGGCAGCTAAAGACAAGAGAGTTAGAACGAGCAGTTTCATTGTGATTTATGGGTAAAGATCAAACATACCGTATTGGTTGCAGAATTTGTTGGTAGTCCAGACACTGCTATCACCGTCCTTTCCGTGCACGGTATCGACAAATCCGTACGACTTGGCCTCCTTCGCGTCCTCGCCGTTGTAGGTGGGGTCGCTGAGGAGTCTGGGCGGCATGCAGGGCCAGAAGGTAAACACGATAAAGGCCAAAAGGTTGCACATGGCCATGGTACGTCTCCGGCGCTCGTACACATCCGGGCCGAAGTGGTTGACGAAGTTGCGCCAGTCGCGGACAAGAGCACCTCCACCGTGGTTCTCGTGGATGCGGGCCCGAGGGCGAGTGGTGGTGACGTAGAAGAGGACGATGAGGAAGAGAATGGTGCCGGGAATGTGGATGAAGGAGTAGGTTCGGTTCGTCCACTTGAGGATTGTCGGGTGTCCAAGGAACCAGCCCTGGAAAATGGGCTCAACAAAGATGCGCAGGCGCTGCTCCATATGAATAATTTGAAGGGCATGCTCGCGCGCAGCGTCGACTGTGCTGGCCTTGAGAGTTACAGCTGTAAAGGCTCGTCCAAGTTGGTAGACCTGTCATGGCGCCATTAGTTTCGACTCGTATGCAGGGGACGTGATGCGACGCGACAAACGCGACAGCATGGAGTGTTGGAGTTGCATACCCAGTAGATCAGAGCCCAGTACCACACCTCGACGAGGAAGGGGAACTTGCGCAGGACGCGGCTCAGTAATCGGTCGCGATGAATCTCGGTGTCCGGCGTGACGACCTCACGTTCCCAGCCCATAAACTTCAAAGTGCGGAACCTCTTTCCATATGGGAGACTCTTTTCGGCAGCCTGGTTCTCTACCACCGTTGACGACGAACTGGACCGCGACGGACTCCACGGCCTCCTGCTATCACCGGCGTACTCATCCTCGTCGACCTTGGCTTTCCTTCCTCCTTCGAAATTATGCTCGTCGTTCAGAAGCGATGCCGATGGTTGCGCTTCGGGGTCGGTCTGATCGAGCGGGTGCCATGAAGCTCTCCGGCTCGAGGCAGTTGAGCTTGTGTAGGTAGTGTTGCGGTTGACGAGGGTACCACCGGCGAGGAGACCCACGACAATGCCGGGCTCCAATATGGCTCCGATCGCCATTCGTTCGTTCGGTTCGGGCGGGCCTCGGAGTGGAGAATTAGGTAATAGGTATAAGGCTGAACGGTAGGACTGCTTGACGGCCCGAAAATAGAAGACGGATGTCTAAGGCTGTGAGTTTCCTCGGATCCAACTGGCGCGACCACGATAGCGAACTCTACCAATCCAGGAACCACGGGCAAAAGAAGGGGGGATCTCGCGGTGTTGTTGGCGTGGTTGGCGACAAAGGCGGTATAGAAGCCGCGATCGTGGGTGCTGGTGGGTGCAGTAGATTGCGCTGTGATTAACAGTTGACAGCCAAGTGCACGGGGCAAGCAAGGCGACAGCGACAGCAACAAGAACAACCAACAGCGAAAAAGGGCAATGAAAAGCGCAAAAGTTGGAAGGTAGGCCAAAGGGAAAAGTTTTACTGGAGATGGGCTCGTTATAAAGGGCGGGCAATTCCAGCCTACTACTATCGATCTTGGTGCTTGGTGGGAGCAAGGAAAATCCACCAAACGGGGGGGGGAGGTGCTGCTATGGATCATTCACTGCATCAGAAGACCCAGCGGGTGGTGTCGATGATCCCGCTTACAGCCTTGGCGCTTGCGATGCCCCCAACAGGCATCGGCAGGAGGGAGTGGACGGTGGAGCGAATGGAGGCGCTGGATTCGATTCTGGATGGAAAGGTGGAAAGGTGGGCGCGCGGAGGACAAGGGGTATTTTTTCAAGGGGGAGATGCTAACAATACGCGGATCTAGTCCAATCTTGGGAATTGGTAGTGTGACGGTGCACGGCGAGGTGGGAGAGAATGCCCCGATATCTGAAAGATTCGGGGCAGAGGCGCCAAACTCGTCCGGGTCCCCACAGTCAAGCGGCGCCCGGACATTTACCTAACCCCGTCGGGTAGCCGTTGCCCTGCGACTATGGGCAGGTGTCACATTCTCAACAAGTGCATCCAATTGCGTCGGCCAAGTCGGTGTTTGCAAGTCTGCACAAAGGGCTGCCAAGGCACAAAGCCCCCTTCTTTCGGCGAGATGCTTCACCGGTGTTAGGGGAAACGGACCAGACAGAAACGGCCAATTTTGTGAAAATACAACAGAGTGGAAGACGCGTGTTGGGAATTTGCGACAATACAGTTGTGGAGGCCTCTTGGCGATGGGGAAGGCCAAGAAAAGATCGGACTCTCTTTCTGCCCGTGTGAGGCCAAGAGGTCGGTGTCCACTCGTGGGCGTCGTCATCCCATTTCCGGGAGCTCTTCGCTTGCTTTTGTCGGAATGAGCACAGTTTTGAGGCACAAGATGCACAAGAACGTCCTCCGACAGAATTTTGAAGCATTCCTCTCCTTACCGCAACCATGCGGATACTTCGAGGATGCAATCTATAAGTAACCAAGCCAACCAATCAGCTGTTGCGATTTTCATGCATATAAAGAGCAATGCCTCACGCTGCCTACAGGTATGCATGCCCAGCTTTGCAAACTCGGATGATGATTGATAAAAAGACTGGACAGCCACCTGCCATCAACCTTTAGTTGTTGAACTTTGGTGATATAGACAAAGAATCTCTGGATCGAAGCCGCAAGAACGCTGTTCTATCGAACTTTCGATTCTCGAGCGAGCGGACGAAGCCTGATAAGGTAGGGACAACCTTGGCACGCGAGCATCATCGTGCTGGCGACTAGGAACGGACACTACTTGGGGGCTGCGGGGCGCCAAGAGCTTATTTTGACGAAAGAGTGGGGGCTTAGCTTTGCCGAGATCCGTTTCATGTGCCTGGCTGCCCGCCTGTTGAGGATGGCCAGGCCAACCCTACCTCTAGATTTTCCACTTGTCTCCGTCGCCGACACCCCGACCCCGTCGGCTGGCAGTCGGTGTTGCCATTCCCAAACCGCCGCGGCGGGGAGGAGCAAAGGTCTGAGGGGCTGGGCTGAGGAGCCTCCCTTTCCCCAGCCGTGTGGTTTACGTCAGAGATAAAAGGAACCGGGGGGATGCCGGCAAGCCGAGAACATTCACTAACTTTAGCATCAACACCCAAATATTGTCCGCAGAAACAAAATGAAACTGAAATGTCAAAGGGGCGGTCAATCCTCGAGCGAATGCCTTAAACAGTAGGTATTGCACAAGTCACCTTTCTAATGCACGAGCCCAGTTGGCTTGCCCCGTAGCTCTGCAGGGTATCATCGTCACAGAAAGGTAATCGTTGCGGGATCACGACAAGTAGGACCTCTGAAATGAAGGTTTTCAAAGCGATCAATGCTTCACAAGGGAACATATAGTCAGCTGCCAGGTGGTTTATGGGTAAAATGGAGTAGTCGACGTACAGTACATTACATTACGCGGCATAGCGTCAGGTACAATTCCAAGTTCCATCATCTCGTGCATAACAATGGTACGTCGTCGACATAACGGTATCGTAATCGTACAAAACTTGCATAAATGAAACGGAGACCTTCCGCTTAGTGATCCATGGCGTGCCAGACCCCATTCCCCTGGAACGGATCTCCAAGGAACATTGCCGCGCTGTCCTCGATGTCTTCCATTTCACATTCGATTTTGGAAGCACTGCTTGCTCCATTCTCCCAATCCACCACCTCGTCATGATGCCAGCGGATTGTCGCATTGAAGATCGCGGGTCCAGAACTCCAGAACGGACAGTGCCACGTTGCGGCAACATCTGACGACGCGGAGATTTGCTGCCAGGTTCTGGGGCTTACCATGTCGCCCATGTTTCCAAATGTTCGACTTTGCTGACGGGCAGCTGACGCTGACGAGGGGATGGAGATCCCGTTATCATTCAGCCATCCATCGGAAAAAAACATTTGTTATCCAGCCAACCAGCCAGACATTCGGATCGTTTTGACTTGCACAGCCACCTCGTTCTTGGGTCGATTTGAAAATCGATGAGTCCCATTTCCGTGCATCCGTCGGTCCCGCTTCCCCCTGCGTCTGACATTCGGGGTCTCTTCCATGGTCTCTTCCAAGCTTCGATTTCAATATTCCAACTTCCAACTTCATTTCATTGACGGCAATATGTGTACATGTAAAGGCTTTATTGTACCTCAGTCTCAGGTTAAAGTCTAACGAGACAGGGTCGATGATATCCGGAAAGGACGCATTCGGCATGGACATCCAACCCAACAATAACTATATATCGTTCACTTTACGCGAAGGGGCCATCAGCTCCAGGGTGTCGGGCCTGGTAGGACCGAGTTCAAAGCTCTTCTGTGCCTTATGTTCCGCCAGCAGTTATATCTCTTGGGTCGCCCAATCGTGTCTTGTGTTGTCCACGTCGGATACAATGGTCATAGGAAGTACTCCAATGTCCCAAGTTCTTCAGCCTGACTGTTCATCCGGGTCTTAGCAAGTATCTCTCAAGACTCAAGACCACATCCTTCTCTTACTTCAGTTCAAGCCCCTGCCTTAAAACTCTATAACAAGTCCTAAACAACGAACAACCCAAGTCAGCCATGATTCTTTCCAAAAAAAAATCCCATCTACCAACACCAACAGTGACAAACAAACCACCACAAACCACACCAAAACAAGTCTTGGAGACACCAAACTGCAAACTGTGAAGGTTTTTTGCAAACCTCACAAACCAAACCAAAACCAAAACCAAACACCATAAAGAATCAGATCAAGAAACAATACACACCCCCGTCACCGATCCCTTAGGCGGATACTGATGCCCTTCCTTCTCGATCTTGGGCTCGCACTTGCACCACTCGTCTTTCGGCACGCCGTCCATTATTTTGGGGACGTGGTTGCCGCAGCCTATCCAGGTGACGCCGTCTACAAGATGTTCAACAACAGCCAAGTCAGCAGAGTCGGCAGAGAGGAAGATTAGTTAATGTGAGTCGGTGAGTGACTCAGTGAAGATGGGTACATGTATAGGTAGGTAAGCGGGATTGATGCCCAAGTGGTAAGAGGGAGAAGGGGAGGGTGTGGGAGTAGAAGTTTGTTGTGTTAGTCGGTTGGTTGGTTGGTTGGAGAGTTTGCAATCCAACTAAGCAACAAACAAAGGTTTATTCAGGGAGCGGATGGCTCGGGAGTGATGGAAGGGATGGAACTCAAGTGATAGGACGGCAAGTCAACTTACGGCAGACGGGACATGCTGCTTTGTGGCACATTGTGGGTGAGATGAGGCGTGGTAGGTTGCTGATTTCCTGTAGATCTTCAAGTTCGATGGTGGCAGTGGTTCGGCGAATGAAGACTTTCTTTCTTGGGTGGTATCTTTCACAACGATGCACCTTACCTAGGAAATGAGACGAGGTGTATGTTGATGTCCAGCAAGCTTGATGGGAAAGCCGTGTTCTCGGTGTAAACAATTCCACTGCCAAAGCAACCAAGCACTTCGCGAAGAGCTCGATTGGAAGTATAACTCTCTTGGTACAAGTTACGGATGAACGACCGAATCATGACGTATCGGTGATGAGGTGTACCAAAGCTTTGGGAACTCCGCTTTACGAGTTCAAATCCTCTGGGTCTCAATGAAAAGACCAAGTCGTGGAACTCTTCAACACATGAAAACTGATTTTTTGCTCTCGGATTTCAGTCCTCTTCTCATGACTAACGGGCTTCTTGCCCACTTACGCGTTCTTCTTGCCTCCTTTATCAGCGAGGTCCACGATGTCGGTCTGGACCTGGAACAAAATGTAATTTCAGCCACTGTTGACAAGATCCAGCTTCAATACTTTACAATCTCTGGTAGGCCACTGATTGACGCAGTGTGATATCCATTAACACTTAGCTGACGAGTCCAAAGTCTCTCCGAAGAACAGTTCCTCCGCATCATGACTGGTTGTTCCACAAAATCCCAGGTTCCATTCTTTTAGACTTTGGTTGATTACCTTAGCTTGGTCCATTTGAACAGGTGATCTGTACATTCTCTGTTAGATTTCAGCTTCAAAGGTCAGAGTGACCGCGATGTATCCTACCGGTTCCTTCGCTTTCCCAGGGCCGTTAAAGCTGAACTCCAGGGAGATGGGCAAATCACCTCTTTGTATCGCTTCAAGGAGCTCTTGGTTGAGATGAGATCAAACTTTCGGCAGACAGTGGAGCGATGACAGGAGAGCTTGAAGAGCAGCCAAGTTATCCAGGCATCTGAATGGGAAAGACTTCTTGATTCTCGAGCTTGGTTCTCGAGCTTAGTTTCGACTCGTGAGAGATGTTGCTTGAAATTGCTCTGAACCCTGTACATAACATAGACACATACTGATTGCTCTCAGTCGGTATACATGTTAAAGTGTTGCTCTTGCTTCTCGTATATTCCTTGCCATGTTCCACCTGGAATCGAATCGCAATCTTTAACCGTAGCATCTCAAAGATTGATGGTTCCAAGTGGCCTGTAGCCATTTGGGAGCTGGTTGTTCGCCGCAGAATTTCAGGAATCTCTGAAGTCAACTCAAACTCAAACGCGGCGGCATACAAAGCAGAAACAGTCTACAGGTGAGCTAACACTTTCATGATCTGGTGCTGCTATGCGCAATGGGATCAATGTTTACAAGGCAACTACCGAGCAACTTGCCTACGGTTTGTAAACCGGCCCTTTCAAGCAGTTAGGTGAGACGACTAGACCAAAACGGATGATCAGAGGGTATATGTTCTACCGCAGATTGTGTGTGTATCTTAACCACTAATACCTAACTGAACCCAGATATTTTGCGCGGCCGTGGGTGTAAATCCTCTTTCAAACACCAGACGCCTGTCCCAGATGCAAAATCAGATTTAAGGCAATCCCTTTACAGTTACCGCCCAAGAGACAAGACATATAATTAGACAAACCAAACCATCACTCTCGCTCGTTTTTGCCCTTAAACCAGGAGCACAGCGTTCAGGCAGCCGTCGTTCTGTTGGGAATTGAGGATTAGCATTTCGTCCATGCGAAGTTCAATGGAACGTTGGGTTAAGCATACCTCAGGGTTGTTGGTGATCTGAGCATAACGACCCCAGGCAATCTTGCCCGACGCGGTAACCATACCGAGATCGGAAACGTTGACCTCGATGATGGTACCCTTGGACAGAACACCAAGCTGGGTATAAAGGGGGTTGCTGGGGTTCTTCTTGACGCCGAGAATGGGGAGCTGGACCGTGACGTTGAGGGTAGGGTGGGTGACGTTGGCCTTCTTGTAACGGAGACCCATGGGCCGGATGAAGCGTTCGTACTTGACTGGGCGTCTGGTGAAATCGGGTCCGACGAATGTTGGCTTGGTGACGACGCGCTTCCAGCCCTTCTTGTGCACCTTCTTGCCCGTCTTGACGACCTTGAAAAGCTCCTCTTCGCTGATACCCTTGACCTTGGGAATGGGGACCGAGAAACGAGCGGCCTTCTCGGCACGCTTGCTCTTAATCTGGGAACTGCACAGAGAAAACGGTCAGTCTCTCGTCGTCATATGTGACCCTCTCCAATCTTCCATGACCACAGCCATCGCCTCCGCCTCCGCCTCCGCCTTGGCCCTGGCCGTTCGCTTCTTATGTGTCCTCCTTTTCAAATGACGTACCTCAAAGCCTTCGCACTCGTGGGGTTCGAACGGTCGAGCAGGTAAGCGGGAACGGGGTTCGAAGGATCCTTCTCCTCGGGGGCGCCCTTGACGTTGCGCTCCTCGTGCTGCTTGATGGCCTTGCGCATCTGGATCTTCTGGGCATGACGCTCCTTGGCGAAGAGCTTGGCCCTCAGGCCGCGCAAGTTCTGTGCATTCTCGCTCTGCTTGTGACCCTCACGGGCAGCCTTCTTGCGTGCGCGCTCCTCGGTGTCCAGACGCTTACCGTGAAGCTTCTGGGCGCGTTCTGCAAAACGAAATGATCGGTTAGGGATTGGGAAGAGGACGATGGCGATCGGGATCGGGTCTGGAGGGAACTATACCGATATATTCGTTCTGAGGCTGTATTGGGGCAAACGTCGGTCAGCATGGTCTGGTCCTAAGTATTCGGAAGGGGTCATGGATGTTGAGGAGAATGGCTGTGGGATGTGAAGGGCGCTTCGAGGACAAGAAATATCCGTACCATATTGGTGGTTTAGGCCCCTTGAGGGTCTTGGAATTTGAGATATGTGGCGACGCAATCTGGCTTTTAGATGTTGTAGGGCGACGAAGGGCGACGAGAATGACGGTGCGGTTTGGGTGTATGCTTCAGTATGCGAATGCCTGCTGGACGGACGTCTCTCGAAGCCGATAAAAAAAACATCAAGGCTAGCTTTCCTTATCGGGCGGCTCCTCCAGTGGTGGAAACAAATAAGGTGGTGGACTGTAGTGGGGCATTTTCAAGACTCGTCATTGGCTGGTATTTCCTTGACAGATCCAGGCCATGTCCAAAACGTGGAGTTCGGATCACAAGGTGCCAGCCAGCTGCAGGGCACTGAAGTGCACCGCGGCAGTCAGAGCCGCCCGTTGAGGACGAGAACCTTGATGGAAGGCCAGTGGACAACTCCTGTGTAGCTATCAGATCACTTTACCATTCGTAGAATGGCTCCTGCAACTAGGTCATCACCAAGGGGGGCTAATCGTGTAGCTCACATAAACCGCTTCAACGAGGACAGTAGGTATGTCAACAACGGAAAGGTAAAACCCAAAACGTATGCTTGGGGTATTCAGATATCTAGATACGCTACACCGTGTCATGACAACCTATACTATAATCCGTCCGACGGGCTCTATTGCCAGCCAACGCCCGCCAATGAAATCGGAATCCGCGCAAAATGATAAAACTCCAGACGCTGATGCAAAATGTTTCTGGGCGTCCGTCCTGTCTTCCAGCCAACGCCATTGCAAAACCGTCTCCAGAAAACGCAATTCTGCCTTGAAATCATCTCGATGCGCCGAAACCTTCCCAATTCAGAGGTAAAACAAAGAGGGGGACATGCCACGCAACCATGACACATCAGCGGTCTCCGGCTCTGGACTTGAGTTTTGCAAGTGCCGCCCGCTTTCTTTCCTCCTTCTCGCGCTTCAACTTCTTCTCCAACGCCTCCTGCTCCATGTCTTCTTTGCGAGCCGCCATCTCTGCCCGGCGTTCCTCGGCGTCGATGTCGGACAATCCTGCCTCCATGTCTGAGTCATCCTCTTCCAGTGACTCGTAGCCACCGCGACGGCCGTAGCCGTAGCCATCGTCCTCATCTTCGTCATACTCGATAAAGTCGTCCAACTCTTCATCCTCCTCTTCGCGTCTCCGGGGACGTGAAAATGAGGCGCCATAACCGGACATCCCACGGCCCCTACTTGCGCCTGCAGAGGTGGATGCACCTGGCTTTGTGGTGGTGGCCCCTGGGCGAGGACGTGCCGTGCCTTGGTAACCAGTCGTCGCTAGAGCGGCCTTCTTCACCTTCTTCTCCTCGACGGGATTTTGGCTTGCCTTGGACTTGGCGCCAGCCGGGGCTGAGGGGGTGGTACTCCGCTGACGGTTCACAGTCGTGCCGTTCGTGCCATTGCGGGTTGGCCCAGCTGTCACACCGCTCCTCCCGGTAGTCGGTGGCCTTGCATCCTTCTTGCCCTTCTTCGCTTCCTCGGCCTTCAGTTCCTTGCGTTCCTTCATTGTCAACTGCTTCTCCACCTTCTTGTGCTGAATTTTCCCAACGGCTGACAGCATAGGCTGATTGGCCTGGGCCCTTGCCATGATCTCTGCATACGAACGTTTCTTCGGAGGTCCAGAGCCGGCGACAGGAGCGCTAGGGGCGGGTCGGCTGACGAGCGGTCGCGAGAGTGGAGCCTTGTTTCCATTCGAGCTTGTTCCTCCCACCCTTGACTGTGTCGATGTGGTCTTGGATGACACCAGAGCCGTTGGTTTCGTCGACGAACGTGGTTGCGCGGTGCCGGTGTAGCCAGTTGTCTTTTCTGCGGGACGTGTTGGGTTCGCATTTCCTGTGGGGCGCTCCGTCGGTCGCTCGGCGGGGCGCGCTGTAGAAGGTTTCGTTACGTTTCCATTCGGCCGGGCACTTCCATTTGTCGCGGGCTCGGTACGCGGGGCCTTTGGCGCAGAACCTCGAAGGTCATCGTCCGCCTTCCGTTTAGATGCTGCTGGGACATCTTTCGTAGAGGTCGATGATGACGATGGCTTTTCGCCCGTTATCGATGCGAGCAAATCTGAAATCTGCAAACGTGTCAGCCAGCCTTTGGGGGCAAGCGCAACTAAAAGAACGGCAACTTACCGGCATGGCTGCGGTTGTACCGGTGGAATAACCTGCTTCGTACCAGCTTTTCTTATCCTTCTCCTGCGTTCAAAAAACAGAGAGTTGTTCAGGCATCGAACAAGAGGAGGGAGAAGTAGGTGGCAGGTTTTTATATGTGTTCGTCACAGATCGCCTTCCGCTTACAATGCAGATGCACAGTGGGGCAGGCTCGAATACTTTGGCAAAAAGGACGGCGAAGAATGAGCGCGAGTGTGCGAGGTCACCAGGCGCGCAAAAGTGCCGAAAACGAGAGTGAGAACTGGGCGGAAGATGGGTTGTTGGCGAAGGAAGAACAAAGAATCCTGCGTGATCGGGGACTTAGTTTCACAACTTTTGCTGGGCAAAGACAGAGAGCCAGGATGGTCAACGTAGTGAACGACCCACCCAGTCACTCCTGGTCGGAGCGGTGAATCGCGGTCTCCGAGGTGAAAGTCAAAGGTCCAGACCTAGCAGTCGTGCCAAGTCGAACTTCACCGAAAAGTTATGCTTTGTACCAAGAGCGCCAAGGCCTTATGAATGAGCAAACCTTTTATGTAATCGCAAGCGGCCGGCAGGCAACGGAAAGGAGCTTGGAGAACGCACGGGATCTGCCCTAAGTCGAGTGGATTGGTCAGGTGATTTGAGGCTTGTGGACTTTCGTGGGGCGCAAAATTGCGGGGCTTCACAGGAACGAAATTGTAAAAATAATCCGTGATCGGGTCCCGTCCGCGAACTTCTTTCCGAAACAGTGAACTTCCACCCCCAAGAACCTAAGAAGAGTCTTTCTCCGCCACAACTCAGCGGTTAAACTTGATTGACATCTCTGGTTCTCCAGCTCAGTAAGTTTTTGGTCCAGCCTTCCACAGCCGTAGGATTTCCGTCTAACAACGCAACCTTCAAGACAGACAAAATGAAGCACTTGGCCGCTTACCTCCTCCTCACCCTCGGTGGCAACACCGCCCCCTCTGCCGCTGATGTCAAGGCCGTCCTTGAGTCCGTTGGCATTGAGGCCGACTCCGAGCGCCTTGACAAGCTCATTTCCGAGCTCGAGGGCAAGGACCTCAACGAGGTACGACCATCGTCTGGAGAGCAAACTTGGGTGTCCGGCGCACATGGCTAACACGAGACATTACAGTTGATCGCTGCTGGTTCCGCCAAGCTCGCTTCCGTCCCCTCCGGCGGTGCTGGTGCCCCCGCTGCCGGTGGTGCCGCTGCTGCCGCTGGTGGCGCTGCTGAGGAGAAGAAGGAGGAGAAGGTTGAGGGTAAGGACACATTCATTCCCTTGCGCAGTCGCCTCCAGCTGCTAACTACTTGGTACAGAGAAGGAGGAGTCCGACGAGGATATGGGCTTCGGTCTCTTCGACTAAGCGTCTCCTACCATTGTCCGGTAACATGGCATGGTATTTTCCGAGAAACCTTGACGGATTGTACACGCGGTTCAAAAGTCACCTGCATCACATTCGCCTCGACGGCGACGGCAGAGCTGGAGTTCTTGGGATTACAAGGGCACGTCTTTTATAAGGGCGTCAAACGGCACATAGGCGGAACAATACAAGTCGCAAGGCTTTCTTCGGACCTTTTTCTCCCTTCGTGATCATTCGTGCGTGCTGCGCTGTTCTGGACATCTGCGCCTGCAGCTAAATTTGTCGAGAATATGCTGCCTGGAAATGCGTGCGTTGTGAGCTTTCTTTTGGGTCTCTGATATCGCACTGATATGGCGTCCCAGCGGAGCCCTGCGAGAACGTTGGTAAACAAACCCCTTGACTTTGGCATGAACCTCCATCGTCGTCTCCATCAATTTATCGATACGCACGGTTGCATATGGCTTCTGAAGGTTGGGCTTCCCTGTTGTTGTAAACAAAGCTTAGCAGCTTCGTCGCTGGAGTGTGCCTTTCCCAAAGACGGGACCCATTTTAGCGGTTGCCGCGAGCAACCATGCAACATCATCCCGTGTTTTGATTGGTCGCAGCTCCACAAGTCAAAATACTCGCTCCTAGCGGGAAGCCAGCAAGCACCCAGAATCCCAATCCAGAGCGAACCCCATCGTCTCCTCCAGCTTCCGTCCACGACATGCTTCGTCCGCGCCGCGTTACATGATTTCTTGCTACCCTCGTTATTCTTGGTTCCATGCGCTATTTTGGCACGTAGATTCGCGATCGCCCACGCAGCCCTGTGCTCATTAGGTATTATTTGCTTCGATTTTTGGGCTGGATTCGAAAAGGCGGCAAACCAGGCGCAAAACAAGAGCAGGACAGTCCGTGGCTGGGAAAGACGGGCAAGGTTCCAAAGATCGCCAACAACAGGACGAAAAGTTAGGTCCATCCAACACCGAGCCAGCGCATTTGCAACCGCAACCAAAACAACAGGGGCGGTAAACAACACACATGAACGACATGTCGTCCATTTCGCCAACGCCAATGGGCGCTGGGAGCCACTTTACGTCTATGGGAAGAAGGACATCTGCTAGACAAGCTTTACGACGCCCGCCATCGCGACCCATGCTCAATCGCAGCGAGTCGAACCCCCAGTCGCAATCACAACAATATTCCAACCTCAACGACAGCTCGGACGACGAGATCCCCGTACCCATGAAACTCAGCGCCTTAACCAAGGCTCTGCTTAACGACGGCCATGCATCCGAAGCCTCATCCTTTGCGCAACATGGCGCCCCAGAGGACCTACAGTTATCACCTCCGGCTCGACCACCATCACGAGTTACTAGAAGAAGCGCGTTGGTATCATCGAAGTCGGAGGAAAGGGACTCAGCAAGGGAAAGTGTGAGGACGCGGGAAGCTAGACGGAGTATCAGAGGAGGAAGCCTGCAGCCCATCGACAGGCCGACGTCGCCAGTCCAGAACGACAGCAGTAACAACCGCGACGGCAGCCCAGTGCCTAGGAAACGAGTGGTCCGCCTCAGCAATCCCGTGCAGGGCCCGGTTAGCTTTTCGGGAAATGTCCGGAGACTCTCATCGACGACGGCAAACCAGAGGAGGACCAGAACGGAGAGCAGGGAAAGAGAGGTCGAGAAAGAAATCCCATCATTTCTACAGCAGCAAGGCGATCCAGGATCAGATTCAGCGGGAGATGCCCACACGCCCGTGATCAGGACGGTCAGGATTGCGGTTGGCTCCGGGTCTTCAGGTAGCAAAGGTCGGATTTCGCTAGGTGGAGGAGGAGGGTCGTCGGGTGGTTCGTTTGCTGGTGTTTCCGGGAAACGCGGCACAGGATATAGTGATCACGAAATACCCGAGGATCCTGCAACCATTGGACGGTCACAGACGGTAGCACCGCAAAGCTCAATGCGTATCAAGAGAGTCGCAAAAGTTCCAGGAAGCTTTCTCAGCGGCCCAGCGCGACGAGGGCGGAGAAGGCAGAGCGATGAGGACGAGGCAGCGCATGGGGAAAATGAAGCTATGGGCATGAGCCAAGACAACGACGGGAATTACGAGAGCCACATGCAGAGTCATGTCGAAGCCGTTATGGGCGAGCAACAATCGTCGTTCTATGCGTCCAACAATAACTACCGCGACTATGCCGCATCAGGAAGCCCGGTCAGCGGTAGAGCTGGAGCGGTTCGCAGGCGAGAATCCAACTTCAGAGAGATGGACAGAGATAACGGGGAGCTGGGCTACAGGATCCCCGAGCCTCATCCGGATATGCCCATGAACAACGACAAGGAGAACGAGGCCCCGCCGACCTTCAAGAGGGCGAAACTGACACCGTCCATAATGCTTGATCAAGAGATCCCGAAACCGGTGATCCCCGAATCGATGGCCCTCGACATTGGGCGAGACATTGGGCGAGGCCTTAAGAGGCTGTCGATTTCCCCAGACCGCAAAGCATTGGCGCATAAGAGTCAGAACACACCACACAGGCCGGCGCCCCCACCTCCACCAAAGATGTCAGTCGTCGAGACGGCAACAGCTGCGGCTGGAGCTTCTGCGACTGCGGGAGCGGCCAAGAAAAGGCAGGTCCTTTTGCGAGTGAACGGCCGAACATACACCCGCATTGACTGCATTGGTCGAGGTGGCTCTGGAAAAGTTTACCGTGTTTCGGCTGAGAGCGGGAAGATGCTGGCCTTGAAGAGGGTGTCCCTTGAGCATGCCGATGAAAACACCGTGAAGGGATTCAAGGGTGAAATCGATCTGTTGAAACGTTTGAACGGTGTGGAACGGGTTATTCAACTCATTGACCATGAGCTAAACCTGGAGAAGCAGGTGCTCAGTGTGGTAAGTCATCCATCAACCCCAAAATGAGTGATACTGAGTGCTAACGTATCGCAGCTCATGGAAGTAGGCGAACTTGACTTCAACACGCTCCTCAAAAGCCGCCAGAGCACCGCAGAAGGCGCCCGTCTCGACCCAACCTTCATTCGGTACTACTGGAAAGAGATGCTCGAATGCGTGCAAGCCGTGCACGCCCGCGACGTCGTGCACAGTGATCTCAAGCCGGCCAACTTTGTCCTTGTCCAGGGCCGCCTCAAGCTCATCGACTTCGGCATCGCCAACGCCATCCAGACGGAAATGACGGTCAACGTGCACCGCGAAACACAAATCGGCACGCCCAACTACATGTCGCCCGAATCCCTGATGGACTCGAACCAGTACGCCTTCACGTCCGCCCAGAACGGCAAGTTCTGCATCCCGCCGCCGCTCAACCACCGCCAGCACGGCGCGCCCAAGCTCATGAAGCTCGGCAAGCCCTCGGACGTCTGGTCGCTCGGCTGCATTTTGTATCAAATGGTCTACGGCCTGCCGCCCTTCGGCAAGATCGCCAACCAGATGTCGCGCTGCCAGGCCATCATCAACTGGTCGTACCAGATCGATTTCCCCGAGGCCACCGAGGACGGCAGCCGCGTGCCCCCCTCGGTCATCCGCACCATGCGCCGGTGTCTCAACCGCGAGCAGCGCGAGCGCCCCACGTGCGACGAGCTGCTGGCCGACACGGATCCGTTTCTGTATCCGCAGGAGTTCGACCCGTCGGTGTACGCGGCGGCGGAGCATGGCAAGGTCCTGCCTGTCACGGAGGAGCTGTTGTCTAGGCTTATACAGAGCGTCGTGCAGAGGTGCAAGGAGAGGATGCCCACGGAGGCGGAGGTGGTGAATACTTGGCCGCAGGCGTATTGGGCCACTGTGAGGAAGGCGGTTATGGGTGCCGGTAATAATGCTGGTGGGAGTGGGAGTGGCAGCCACCAGAGGTAGTGACTCGGCGGCCAGTTTTTTTCTCTCCTTTCCTTTTTGTTGTTGTTGTTGAGGCATGTCATGTCGGACACGGTGGATGGATGGATTATTCTTGTTAAGCGTTGTGGCTTGGATACGATACCCTTGCTTTTGTCGGCAAGTTCTGGTTCTGTTGGATACCCCCCGATTAGACCTCGGTTGGTTACTGGGAGTTTTGTATGGATACAAGACGTGTGACGGACGGTTGGGAAGCAAGCGATTGCGTCTGGGAGCGGCTACGTTCGGGTTTGTTCTGTGGCTAATGATTGATGGATCAAAAGAGCTGTAGATGTGTGTTTTCTGAACACCATGTCTATCTGGTCTCACGCAGGAGTTGGATGATGGTGGAAAGATGGCGGCGGTCTATTTTCTTTGTTCATTTACTTGCTTTGTTTCTCGTGTTATTACTTACTGGTGACGAAGATTATGACTGGAAGGGGTGCATTGGATTATTGGCGGGCGGGCGTTTCCTTTCTCTGACTATAAGCTTTACTCCCCTTTTATGTGCTTGGACTGATTATAATGCTATTGTTCAGGAGCTCTGTATCAGGTCAAATCATGGCAGCGTTTAGTTATTCGTTCCATCACATCTCCCCCATTGAAGGTTAGATTCCATGTACATGTCATAGCGAAAGGCGCGGCTTTCTTTCATGCCTTCAAGGGGGCCAGGAGTATAAGCCAACTTCGGTGATGATGGTTCGCGGATCAGTAGTTTTGTTGATGTGCTAGACCGACGCCGGACACCATGAAGACCGCCAAGTTCATTATGCACGCCTGTAGTATCCATGATTCCAATACCCGTTTTATAGTATGAACAAGAACAAATATGATACATGCCGTGTACGTCGGTATATCCCCTTGATCTTACACAACTAGTCCAATAGTTGATCCGCAGTCACTCCTTTTCTGATTCGGAGGATAGACAGATGTATGGAGGAAGAAGCCAGGCAGGCCTTGCTACCCCTTTTCTGAGAGAACAGCTTGGCTTCAAGAGTGGTGCTCAATATCCCACCACGTTCCGCCGTCTGTGGCACATTGGCTGCCCATCCATCCAGCACTAGCAACGCATTTGAAACTCCTTTCGTCCCTTTTTGTCAAGTGCGTGCCCATGCGTGTGCCATGCGATCGGTTGTTTATGGCTCAACTGTTCTGTTCCGTATCGGCCTGCCCGGGGTTGTCGGCTTCCTCCCCTCCTCCTCCCCTCCTCCTCCACTTGCCCACCACCCCTGCCCCATCATCTCCTCTCAACGGCTTCGTTACAACCTCACCGTTTCCTCCCCTCTCCCCTCCTTCCTCTTTGGTCCTTCCCTTCGCCTCATCAGTAGCCACCCCTCATACTCAAAGGTTCGACACATCATTGATCTGCAACTGGTTGATCCGCAAAACCGTGTACTTGTGCTTGCTGAAAACATGCTTCTTCTTCCTGTTCCTCCGCTTCTTCTTGATCATGACGCGCATCGGCTCGCTCTCGGTGCCCATGACGATGGCGCGGCACTCAAACAGGCGCTCGTCCACGTACGGCGCGCCCTGGAGCGTCAGGTCGCGGCTGCCGATGACCGAGGCCCGGTTGAGGCGCAGCACGTCGCCGGGTGCCACGCCGGGCATCTTGAACGGTAGCTTCACCGTGTCGCCCTCGGTCACGAGGTACGGCTTGCCGTGGATGTGGATGGTGGTGTAGTGGCCCGGCTGCGCAGCGAGCACGGGGAGGAGCTCCTTGACTTGCTGGCTTATCGGGGGTTGTTGGGAAGCAACGGCGGCGCCGGCTGATGGTGTGCTGGTGGGAACGGCGGCGGGAGCCTCTGGTGTTGTGGTGGTGGCCTTTGGTGGGGTGGCCTTGAGCAGGGTGGCGGCGGCAGCAGCAGCATCGGACTGGCTGGTGGGCTCAACTTGCTGAGCAGTCTGGTGGAGGAAACGAGCGGCGGGCGCGGCGACGGCGGCGGCAGCGGCGGGACGGAAGGGGAGGAGGAAAGATGGAGGGAGGCGCGTGACGGGAGTGCGCAGCTCCAGGACGGAGCGCAAAAGTGCCCTGCTCATGGTTGCGACTGGCGGTGCGGTGCGGTTCGGGGCGCAACGAAGGGGAAGTTGTCGAGAGGTGGTGACGGAAGCCGTTCGTTCGGACTTCGGTGGTTCTGGCTTGGACGGAGCTCCGCAATCCCGCGACCTGACTGCGTCTCGAAGCTGGCGAGGAAAAATCGGGCCCCGTTTCTGGAGCGAACGTCGTTGCACACGGCACCGCTGCGCCGGCAGAAAATAAAGCGGGGCTCCGGGCGCGCATTCACCAATCAAAGTCACGGTTTTCACCTAGGTGAGCACTTTCAAGATCAACCACGGACGAGTCGGCGACAACACTTTCCCTCTCAGCTCTACATGAACGAAATAATAATGAACAAGCTCACTGAGACACAATGGCTGGAGCTTGTGCTAATCTGTTCCCAATGGACGAGCAAAAACAACAAAGACAGCCACAGAGAGCCGCGGGGTATGGCCCGGAAAGCTTCACGACCCCCCACCTCCCGTCGACCTGTAACGAGACAGAGAATATCCAATGGAGAGAGAGAACAGCAATCTTCCGTTCCGTAAAAAGAAAGACAAAAATGAGTCGAACACCGGGACATGGGCGCCAACAGTGTCATCAGCAGCAGCGACAAAAAAAACGAAAAAAGAAGATTCCCCTCGACCGGAATCGAGCCGGTGACCTTTCGGTATACAATCTAGACAATTACAGCCGAACGTGATATCCAACTACACCACAAGGGGTTTATTTGTTGGAAGACTGCCTCAAACAATCTCTTCTTATACACAGTCTTAATGCGAGTGATTCTTCCCCTTTTTCAGAGCACAACGGCGACACTGATAAACAATTCGGAAGGCAGCAGCACCACGTCCACGAAGGAACTCTTGTCATTTAAACATCCGTACGAGGTTTCAATAATAGCACTTAGCCATTCGGAAAACTTAGGTATGTCTACGGGTCACTTGCGGCGATTTATCCCAGAGTGTCTTCTTCGCATTGTCTTCACATTGCACATGAGCACAGATTGAACGTCAAAGCCAAAAAAAGACCAGTAGGAATGTTTATTAATTTTATCTTGTAGCACAAGATTCCATAACCCCCGTCCCAAAAACCTCTACCGTTTCTATGACATAGCCAAAGACTTCTTTGACCGCCACCGCCCGTTACTAACCTCCGCCCAAAACAAAGGAAATGCCCATAAAACAAGAGACCACACGACACTTTTTTGTGAGCTTTTCCAATATATGTTTATTCCAACCAAACAATGTAAAAATCACAATCAACAATGAACAAAAAGCCGGCCTAGCCCGCCGCGCCCATCCCGTGGCACCACATGCCACCTGCCAAAAAGAAGACGGTTCGGGAAAAGTACCTACCCAGCACTTTCCCACCTTCTTTTTTCCACACTCTACACCTACAGCGCACCGTGCATGTAATGGTCACCTGCATGGTAACTAGTTCGCCTTGAGGTTGTCGTGCTCGGCTGGTGTGTGCTCTCGCCCCTCTCGATGGCCCTTGAATCGGCACAAGCCCACGACTCATCCGAATCGCTATCCTCATCATCATCGTAACCAAGACCAGCCCTAATCTTATTCATGAAGGAGCTAGCGGTGCTTGGCTGCTTTTGGTGCTTCTTGCCGTGGTTCTTGTCATGCTTGTCGTGCTTGAAAGACGCAGACCTCTCGCGGGTCTTGCTGGCTGATCTGCTGCTACCGCCGCCTCCGAAAAAATTGTCAGCAGCGTCGTTGAGTCTTGTCTTTGACAGTTTTCTGCGAGGTACGGGAGCTTGTATCTCGACGTGGCGACTGGCGTTTGGGGGGTAGTGATGGGGTTGGGATACTTGCCCTTTCTGTTGTTGCCCCTGGTCATGAGGCCTGAAGCCAACCTTGATGTAGGGCTGGTGAGACGGCCGCTGCTGCTGCGGCACCGGCTTGGGATGGGGATCCCGGCCCCTTTCCCTTTCGAACTGTTCTTGTCTAAGTTCCGCGGCGATGATGTTGGGCAAGTCGTATTTGTAACAGGCCTGGGGCACGGGGTAAGGGACGGGCGGGGCCGGGCCGGGGTTTACGAACCGTTGCGATTCCCGGAGGGGGGCGTTCTTGTCTCCCCTCGGTAGCCTCGCCTGGGACTCGGAGGGTCGACGGGGTCGGAGCGGCGCAGGCACCGCTGAGGCTGCATTGTCTGGGATGTAAGGGCCGTGGCGAGGCGGGGCGACTAAGGGGCGGCCGTTTCTGGAACTGCTTCTGGAGGTGGAAGTAGATGATCCCACGATCTTCGAAGACTTCGAAGAGTTGGGGGGAAGAGGGGGCAGCGGCTTAGTCTTGTAGTTGGTGATGGATCCCCTTGGCGGGGGAACTGCTGCCTTGTCATGAGGAGGTACGGAGGAAGACCTACCTTTTCCCTTGTTGAGGGCTTCCCGAGCAAGAGGGCGGGCAGCGAGGGGAGGGGGAGGACGTCTCGAGGTGTCTTTGGACTTGCCTTTGGATTTGCTTCTGGACTTGTCTCTGGACTTGTCTCTGGACTTGTCTTTGGAGATGTCCTTGCTTCGTCCTCTTGAGGGTGCCCCTTCTTGGAGGAAGAATTCGTGCCTTTCTGTGGCTGTTCCCTTCACAAGTCTGATGTTTTCGTTGTGAGCAGGGGCAGGCTCCCGGACGGACGCACTGCGACCAAGTGGTTTTCTAGACTTGCTAGCTGATCTGTCCTGCCTAGTCTTACTGGCTGCTCTCTCCCGGCACTTGTCGCAAAGGCCCTCAAACTCCTTCTTTTCTTCTCGGGGGTGGGAGCAGTACTTGGGCTTCTTGGAGAAGCACGAGTCCCAGATGCCGCTGGGCTCCCTGGCCTTCTCACAGGGACGAGAGGTCGTAGTGGAATGTCCACATTTGTATTCAGTCTCGATAATCTTACACATATTGAACTTTGGATGTGCTTGAGACGGTCTGTTGAGTTGTTGCTGGATTTCGTAAGTTGAGTTGCTTTGTGATCAGAGTGTCGTCGATATCGTTTGATGCTTTTGCTTTCTTGTTGGACTCAAGAATGCAAAAGAGCTTGTTGATTGACTCCTGAATCATCTCGAAGTGGAAAGATCTCTTCCGTACTTATATGCAATCTCATGGCTTTTTTTGTTCTTGAAAAAAGACCCTGTTCCGTGTACAAAGGCTGTCGTCTTAGACAGTCTTTCGAGCTCCTTTGTGTGTCTACACTTTGACTTAGAACAACCCCATTGTCTAGCCCGAAGAACAGTTGGACTGTGCTTAACCCAGTTAGCCTAGTTCCCGCACAAGAGACAATGCTCATGTCCCGTCCCTATGATATTCGGCAGACACCTTGCTCATTGACTTCCGAGTGAGCCGTTTTGTTCCGCTTACTGCTTCAACTTCGAGATCTATGTCCTTGATGTCTTTCATTGTACGTGAACAGTCGTACAAACAGAGTGACCCGCGGCCTCATCAGCCCGCTCCACGCCGGCACTGAATGGCTCACCCGCTGCAAAGACAAGGGGTCATTGAACTTGCTTTCACTCGGCTTGTAGCGGCCGCGATTCCGCGTATTTTCATTGACGTTGACATGACTCATTTGTTCAAAGTATGGACTCCGTAAACACCATGGTGGGCAGGTAGTCCGGGTCTGAGGCATGGGCACGAGGTGATAGGTCATGAGCATGTTCATCTTGTCAACTTTGGCTAATTCTTCCTCATTCCATTCATATGACTATGCGAGCAGCTTGATGTATCACGGAGGAACCCAGAGATCGAAGACTTATTATAATAGCAAATGTAATAGGGAATACTGCAACTAAACCCCCCTAAAGCTATACTTCTAGGTTATGTCAGTGTCCTTTTGACAAGGCCCTCGAGCCTTTTAACTCCAACCAAACAGACACGCCGCGCTTCATGTAAACCGGCTTAGTAAACGTCCTTCTCTTTCATGCTGAACCCCTTATGCTGACCGTTCGCTCAATGGAACGGCATCAAATAACTCGCTTGCGCCTTTCCGGTTCCTGTCCTCAAATATACATTAATCACAACATGTCCAAACTCCTTACGGCGCCTACCCGCGCATGCAGTAAACCCCCAACGTAAATGCTAACGCCGGAACACCTTCCCTCGCTATACCAAATCATCCATCATTGCCATACATCTGCCTTCTCTTGTCTGCTAAGCAAAAGCAAAATGGCGAAAGGCCAAGAAGCCAAAGCAAAACAATAATAATACCAGCAACCCCGGTAACGATGATGGCTTGTGTGGCGGGCATTAGCCAAAGCATACCGCCCTGAATGAGATCGACTCCAAACTCCTTAGCTCCTATCCCCCAACCAGCTGTCTTAGTAGAGGCTACCCCGAATGTCCTCGAGAATAAGCGCCTGCATCATCAAGCCCTAGTCGACCCGGATATGTTCCAGAATGAGGCGCTCCATCTCAATGGCATGCCGAGTGCTCGGACGTCCGGTCTTCTCGACAAAACTCTTAACCATTGTCATGTGTAGGCTGGGCGGTAGGCGATTCTGGCTTGGTTCCGTGGACTGGTAGATGCGAATTTCTTCCAAGATCTGACGGATGCAGGTCTCTGCAAAGCGAGCAAGCTCGGTCGTGGGCTTGCGGCGGGTGGTATCCTCAGTGCGGTTGGCGCTTTTCTTGACCTTCGGCGGCTGGAAGACAGCCCAGAGCATGATTGTGCCTTGACGAAGGCTAGCTTCCTTGAAAGCCAGGAGACGTTCCCAGCAATCAACATCGGCCATCAGGGCGGGGTTCTCGGCGGCATAGGCTTGGCCAGCCCAGGCGAGAAGATGGAAAAGATAGGCCAAGTCGAGTGGTGATAGGGAGCGAATGTATGCCAGCTGGCGATCGTGAATCTTAAGCATGGCCTCATCGGCATCAAGCTTCTGGCTGGAGTTGCCGTTGGCGGCCGGCTGCATCCACATCGACATGATGTCTGCCGCGCAGTCTCCCAGCCTGTCGACCAACTTGCAGGTCTCTTTAAGGCGGGCCATCAGCAGCTCGCGTTCGACTTGAGGGAGATCGAGGAATGTTCCGGGCGTCGAAAATATGGAATCGATCTTGCTTCTCAGGGGTTGGCCTGGACTTAGAAGAGTCTCCGTGCGGGAAGTGCGGATCTTGAGCTCGTTGAGGATATCGTATCTCTTAGGATACAGATACTCGCGCTCAACGTTGTGCGAGGAACTGATTGCGCCTGAAGGGGGGAACAGAGAGGAGTCGCCGCCGGTGTACAACGCAACGGCGTCCTTCACGATGGATTGTTCGTACCGAGTCAGGAGCTCGTAGAGGTGCTTGCTGGTGCACATCATGGTGACAATGGTGTCGATGTCGCAGAAACTCGCAACGCGGAGAAGAACGTCGTCGTTTAGGACCGGCATCGTGTCGAGTTGATATCCTTTCGACGTCGTTGGGAGAATTGTGTGTACTTTCGAGGCTGTTCTGGCTTTGGCAATTCCAGAAAGACCGGAGGTTGCTGAAGGAAGAACTGGATCCAATGCCAACAGGAATCAAGGGGAGATATAAATATGGAGAGAGGAAACGTATAAAATAAAGTACAGGAGACACTAAGGTTCCAAGATATCCAAGTGAATTGTGTCCAGGTGATGTGTATCCAAGTGAATGTGCCGTGAAATCCTAAAACTCGACCATGTTGGGTACTCAAGGTTTATCTGCTGGTGAATATATAAGATCCGGTGAAGGAAAGGAAGAAGGAACCTCAAGTCGGAGACAGAACTGGAGGTGAAGGTGAGCGAGGAAGTAGTTGCAGGGGTCTACTCTAAGGTTGTCCATGACGATTGGTACATGAGACAAATTGGGGACCTTGACGGCCCCTACCAGTCATGATAAGTGCTTTGGGTCCTTGGGGTGCCCAACAAGGTCCTCATTCGTCGGCAGGCACAACCTAGAAACTGGGGCAGAATGACCTGGAATCCCGCCTTCCGAGGGGAACAACAAGTCGAGATTTGGGCCTTGATATGATCCACGATAAGTGACTCGCCTACCCAATGTGAACCCTACCATGTCACCCCATGCATCCCTCTCGTCTGGCTGAGCGACAATAGGATGGCAAGAAATGTTCGGCACATCATAGCGCGCATCTTTTTTCCAATGCACCCTTATGGACAGAAGGCTGGCCATCAAGGTTGCTGGTGGAACCCTTTTTTGTAGAGAGGTGAATGATGTTGACATCTTCGGGACGGAAAGTGATGGTGTCATGTTCGGACGGCCTGGACAGGTGACGAGCACGCCATGGCCTTAGCGATGTACTAGGGCGAAATGATTGATGTATGGGTGAATGCCCTTTCTTCTCTTCCTTTCTGTTCTCCCATTCACGCGCCTGAACCTACAACACCACCACAGGTTCTCGAGATTCTCCCGCTCCATCCAATCTTCTGCTGATAAGCCTAGATATACGTACGCATGAGCCACGACCAGCCATCCTAATGCAACGCCTTATTATTGAGCCTATCTCACCTAGTGGCCAAGGCAGGTAGGTGTATGCCGATTCTTCCACGGTTTTCGATCTTGCAGGTATTGACACTCCGTATAAAGGTGTCGCCTACAGAAATGTTGTGTTCGGAGTCACCCCTTGACTGTAGCTGGCGGTAACTCCTGGGCCTTAAACAACCGTCAACGCCAGTAATGCGGTGAAATGCGTCTTATTCCTTCCTTCCCATTATCGATACATGCTCTCGAACCGAAAGCCGTTATGGCGCCACGATACCCTAAGCCGATTTGGAGTGCTTCGTCACTGTGAGTCGCTTCCCCGCCAGTGACATGATCTTCTCGATCAGCGTTTCTTCCTGGTCAAGCTTGGCAATGTCGTCGGAGCCTCCTATGCTTATCCCGCCGACAAGAATGTTGGGAACTGTCTTCCTCCCTGTCCTCTCGCCGAGCTCAGCCTGGATTCCGGGGCCCAATGCATGTTGGTCCAATTCGACGACGTAGGGCGCAGGATCGATTTGGTAGTCATTCAGCAAGAGATTCTTCGCCTTCTTCGAGAACGGGCAATAGCTTTTGGAGAAAATGATGACTGGTAGCAAAATGGTTAGCGTTATTTCTAAATCATGGAATCGTGCATTGGTTGTAAAAACGTAACGCCTTGACTTACTTGGTGACTTCTTGAGAATGCTCCTAAGTTCCTCCAGGACCGCGTGGTGCTCCTCAGTCTCGCTGGACTCTCCCTTGTCGAGATGGTTCTGTCCGTGTGCCGAGCTGCCAACGCCGACGATGTCTTCCGGGGCGTCGGGCTTGTTGGGGGCCTTTGCATTGGCATTGTTCTTTGCCATTTGTTCTGCTTTCCGGAGACGCTCCTGCATAGCCTTGGCCACGATCGCATCGTCCTCGTCGATCTCAATCTTCTCTGTTCCAACCACCGCTTGTCCTCTCCTACTGCCGCCGCCTATCCTTGTCCCTTCCATCGCACTTTTGGTCTTGTGGTAGAAATCTTGGATCGAACGGGCATCGGGCTCTTGCGCATGGCGGGCACGCGAGGTGAAGAAGAGCAACGTGATGAAACCGGCCAAGGCGATGTATAAAAACGCCCTCATGCGTCGTTGGGAAGGCATGGTGGGCGAATTTGAAAGCTATAATCGGGAGGTTGACGATGGACTAGCAATAAGCGTTTGACGGGACTGGTCGGCGACGCAGCTAGGGGTGACGGCCAGTTATAGGCGTAGTGACGATAGCGTAGATGTCGTTTCGTTTAACGATAGAAAGGAGCGCAAAGATATGACATTCTCCGCTGCGTCAGGAGAGGTCGTACCGCAGCTTAAGTATGCCGTGTGCCTATGTTTCCAAAGGGCAAATGGGCTGTTGATGCTGAGTGTGCTTGCTTACGACGACAAATACAGTATATGGATGAGGGGAGTGGCTGAAAGAAGTCGCGGAGCGTTCGTGGTATGTCGGGGCCGAAAGAGCTGGATCGAAGCTGGGGACGAGAGAATGTCGTCGGCAAGGGGCTTCGGTTGACGTTCGGTTCCCAGGCAGAGCAGCACCGCGGGGAGAGGAGAAAGAACCGAAGTGGAAAGAGACTGGAGAAAGTGGAAGTTTGAATACGCCCTGGTAGCGCGACATGGAAATTGGGACTTTGGAGGAGTTCCCGCTGTATTTCCCGTCACGAGCCCGTAACCACCGGTCAAAATCGCCCTGCATTTTGGCGACCCTCTTTCTCACAGTGCGCAAAGTGGTCTTCTGATCACCTGCTCGACTTTTGGTCTGTCCTTGCCGAGACATTGGAGCTTGTCAACGTCAGATCGAGCACCATTCACGGTCAACTCGAGCATGGAAAAGTTGAGAATGAAGCATTTCATTGATACGAGGAGACACTTAATTGAGTGAGAGAACGATTCAGAAACGTCGAGATCTGGTGCTGACATGCTTACATGGCAGGAAATACTGCACAGCTGAAGGGTGTTTCGAGCGCAGTGAGTTGATGATAGAGGGGACAGTATGGGGTAACTGTGCTGAAATGTTCCCCGCGTGCCGCCGATCATGCACACTATCGTTCCGGCTGCAGGGGAAAGTACGACAGATCGGGATTGCCAGCCTGGGGATGGTTTATTTTCAGAAAGAAGCCCCGAACATCTTGATCTCTTTTCCCTGTCCACCTCAGACAGAAATTCCAAAACTCGTCTTTGTTTGATCGCCAGACCGCCAACCGTGATATAACCGACCGAGAAGCTTGTCAAATCTTATGTCGGGTGTCTCATGTCAAAGCTCGATATCTTTAAGTTGTTCAAAGTAACGAAGAAAGGGTCTCCCTGGGCTTGTGTCCAAGCTTCGATTCCTCCCTCATATTCATATCATGAGGCAACCATATCACGCCGTATTTGCAATTGAACTTATCAGAGGACGATATTGCTTCTCCTGGGCGAAGCAGCAATATAGTGCAAAGATCAGCCTCATTATCGCAAAGACCGAGAGAGCAAACATTGCCAATCCACAAACAGAAACGCAACAAATCTCCGCCGTTCTGGTGATACGTCATTGGGCATCGTACAGCCAACTGCTGTTTACCTTATATACCTCAATAACATTGCAACACTAAGGCAACCGTTAGAATCCACATCTGTTCGATTTCTTCCTTCCCATTTTACTAATCAGCCAGGGAAATATTCTTTACTAATCAAACAGACCAATGTTCGGAAAACGTCATGGAAGTTCCTTGCATACACCGGTTGAAAACAACGCAACTGCATCGCGCGTGAAGATCATGAATTATTCTATCCAGAATAAGACCCCCCGACCTGGGAGTTTGCGACTGTTGATACTTCCTTTTACAGACGAAAGACTCCCGTCCCCCGGCTCGGCACTCGAACCGCAAAAGGAGAACCGTGCTGTTACTGAGGGGTTGAACCAAGAACATGGATACTGAGCAAAGAACCATTCCACATACCTACGTCGTTGTGGATTGCCACTTTTGGTTTCTGTCGGCTTCCATATGAGGGTACAAAATTGATATGTGCTTAGAAATTGTATACTTTGCTGAATCGTGAACAAAATCCCTTATAGGAGGGAAGGTTAAGTATTACGTGAAGAAACAATTCAGAAACTCAAGTTATCAACTCCTGTCAAACCTTTTGTTCTCAACCATCCTCTTCCTTGAATTGTCAACCACTCACAAAGGACCGACATAACAACCACCATTGTTCATTGCTCCAACAACAACAAAGAACAAAGCATACACCTCCCTCAAGCCTGAACCCAAACTCAAACCCAACCCCAGCAAAAGCCATGGCAACCACCACCCCCCTCCCACCGGGCATCCCCCCCACCCACCCAGCCGTAGTCATCACCGCCCCTCGCGCCCCCCTCGCCATCCTCCATCGCCCAACCGAACCCCCCGGGCCCGGCGAAGCCCTCGTCCACGTAGAATGGACCTCCTCGACGCCTCTCGACCTGCACCAAGCCGACGGCGGTCTTCTCATCGACCCTCCGCACGTCGCCGGCTCCAGCTTCGGGGGCACCGTCGTCGCCCTTGGCCCCGCCGACGCCAGCACCGCCGCCGCTTACCGCAAGCTGAGTGTCGGCGACCAGGTGTTCGGCATGGCCTGGGAGCAGCCGCGCGAGCGCGGGTTCCAGACGTTCATCACGGCGCCGACGTACCTGATGAGTAAATTGCCCGAGAACATCACGATGCAAGAGGCTGTGACGGTGTCGACGAATTTGGTGACGGTGTTGCATACACTGACAAAGGACTTGGAGTTGGAGATGCGGTGGCCTCTTTCTTCTTCTGATACAAACGCAAACGAGGAGGATAAAGGGGATAAGGATAAGGAAAAGAAGCAGTGGATCCTAGTCTGGGGCGCGGCGAGTAGTGTCGGCCAATACGCCTTGCAGGTGTTGAAGTATGGGGGGTACCGCAATGTGATTGCTGTCGCGAGCAAGAGACATCACCAGGAGCTGTTGGCGCTCGGTGCCGCGGTGTGTTTTGATTATGGCCAGGAGGGCGTGACGGATTTGATTCGGAACCATGTGGCTGCTGCTGCTGCGTCGTCGTCAGATGATGATGCGACAATCCCGTTGGTGCTCGATTGTATCGGGGATTTGGAGGGTACGCTGAGGCCGCTGACTAGGCTGGCGGAGAAGGGAACGAAGGTGGCTATCATGTTGCCTGTTATCATCAAGCATGCTACCGAGGATGAGCCGCCGGAGTATGAGATCGATGTTACCAAGGTTTTGAAGGGGGAATGGAAGGATGGCGTTGTTTTGAGGGGGGTGAGAACGCATTTTTATACGCATGTGAGTTTCTCGATGGAAGAGCCCCTAGGAGTGTGCTCAAGACATTTGCTGACCTGAATGACAGGACGAATTCATGAAATATCATTGCCAACCGGACATCGTCCCGGCTTTGTTGGAACAGGGAGTGGTCAAGCCGAACAAGCAGAGGATTGTTGAGGGTGCCACATTGCTTGAGCGTGCTACGAATGCCCTCAGGATCCTTAGAAATAGAGCGCAATCAGGGGAAAAGCTTGTGTGGAGGGTCGATGAGAAGTCGGCTCAGGAGCTGTTCCCGGATCTCTTCGTCTCGAAGGCTGATCCCACAAAAGTCGAGACTATCATTTGAATCGCCGAGTATGCCCTACTTTCTGGCATAGGACGACTCGACGACTACCGAGCTTAATATCAGCACTACGCCTTGTGAAGACTGATTGAATATAAAAAAATTCTGTTTGTCACTCACTGCTTAGAGCTTCCTTGACATTGTCCCCATTGTGAGATCCAAATGCCCTATTAAAATACTTGGTTTAGGAGGATTTGCCTACACCTATGGATAGGTAATGACCATTACTTTTGCAAGCCTTATGACGTGGCTTCAGCCCGGAACATACAAGGCCGGGTCCTGATGTAGTGACTGAAGGCTTGGCCAAGAGTACATAATATGGCCCATCATGTTCCTGATTACTCCAATCGAGATGTTGTTCTGTGACCGGGTAGAGGAGCCAGCAAGTGAAAAACACACGAGACAGGAAACAGAGCGTCGGATCCAAAAGCAAAATCCCGAATCACTCTCTCGGGAATCGGCTCAGTGTAGTCTCGAGGTGGATTGACGTAGCATTGATGTTTCGGCTGTTCCAAGCCGTATTAGGAAATATGATGAACTCCTTCCGGGAATTTGGTGTCCTGAAGAATCAAACGAAACATTAAAGGACCGATTTCCCGCCAGAATACCACCATCCGCGATGTCACCCAAAATTCCATCAATCAGGCAGTGGTGAAACACGGTCTAAGGAGTATGGCGATGTCACCGCCGCTTGACGGTGACGGTCCTCTTAAAGCCAGGCATGTCCGCTCCGGCGTCCCTAAGGAACAGTCAGGTTGTTATTCTCGACAGGACCCCGGGTTTTCCACAGCTGAACATCAACCATGCTTCTTTCAGCATTGTCGGCCGTCCTCGGCCTTTCAGCCTCAGCGGCTGCTGCCCTCGCCTACAAAGGAGTTGACTGGTCATCTGTGGCTGTGGAAGAGAAAGCCGGCGTCTCTTATAAGAATGTGAACGGTGCTGCCCAGTCCATCGAGCAGATTCTGCGGGACAGCGGCGTCAACACGGTCCGCCAACGGGTGTGGGTAAACCCTTCCGGGGGCATATACAACATGGCCTATAATGTCAACCTGGCCAAGAGGGCGAAGAAGGTTGGGCTTGGTGTTTATGTCGACTTCCACTTCAGTGATACTTGGGCGGACCCGGCGCACCAAGCGATTCCCTCGGGATGGCCAACTGCCATTGACGACCTGGCCTGGAAGCTATACAATTACACACTCGATGCGTCGAACCAGTTCCAGGATAATGGTGTGCAGCCAACCATCATGTCCATCGGCAACGAGATCACCGGCGGCCTCCTTTGGCCAACGGGAGGCACTTCCTCGTGGTATAACATCGCTCGCTTGCTGCACTCGGCATCTGCCGGTATCAAGGACTCGAGGCTGAACCCCAAGCCCAAGATCATGATCCATCTTGACAACGGATGGTAGGTTCCCTTGCCGTTTGACAACTGGATGCTGTATTAGCGCTAACTCTGGTCAACAACCGCAGGAACTGGAACACACAGAACAACTGGTATACAAATGTGCTGAAGCAAGGGCCTCTGGTTTCTTCGGACTATGACATGATGGGAGTCTCGTACTACCCCTTCTATTCGGCCTCGGCAACTCTGTCGTCCTTGAAATCAAGCTTGACAAACATGGCCAACAAATGGGGCAAGGAGCTCGTCGTTGCCGAGACTGACTGGCCAACCTCTTGCCCCAACCCGGCCTATGCGTTCCCGTCGGACGCCAAGAACATCCCCTTCACGGCCGCCGGACAGTCGCAATGGATCAAGGCCGTGGCAGACGTGGTGGCTTCGGTACCCAAGGGCCATGGACTGTTCTATTGGGAACCCGCTTGGATTCACAATGCCAACCTAGGCTCATCGTGTGCGAATAACTGCATGTTCTCGAACTCGGGGCAGGCCTTGTCCAGTCTGTCAGTGTTCCATAACATCTGAAGAGGAGCGATTGAGCGCGAGAGAGATAGCAAGGATATTTGAAGATTCCGATGTGGTAGATAAGATAATAAGCACAATGCGAGGTTAGTTGCCTCCAAGAACGTGACGATGTAAAAAAGGACAAAAGGCAATGCGTGACCCGCGAACTGCTGTACGCCTAAATATGTATGAGGCCAAGGGTAAAAATGAACTTCGACTCAGTGTGGGTGACTGCGTAATAACGGATGTTGGGAAGTGACTGATTGTAGTCATTCGTTAACTGGCATCGTGCCGGGATGACACAGCGAAGTGACTGAAAGTGACGATGCTTCATTCATCCAGTCGCGACGGAGACCGCGTCACCGTGGTGTGCACCGTGATGGCTCGCGCCGCTGGTTAAAGAGGTTATGCGCCACAAGTTGGCTCATGCATGCACTGCCAAAACCTTGGTTGCCCAGCCACAAGTGCAGCTCCAGCCACAGCACACACCAATCGCGCAGGGGCGGCCCGGGCGGGGCTGTTGAGGGCACAGAGCCCTACGAATTTTCCCCGGTGGGTCCTGCGGACAGAGGCGACCGCCCACCCGCCCGTGCCACTGGCCAGAGGTTTTGCTTGCTGTGAGGGCCGGAATCCTAAATCCACTCCCATCATCGCGACAGTCAGATTTTCGCTCTTCGATACCCCGACGAACAGCGAAATCGTGATCACCAACCACCTACCGCAAAGATGGCTGACGAATACGTACGTGCCCTTCATTTTATGATAGCGATGATGCTACACACATAGCATCGGGTCCTTCCCAGCGGACGGTGGCCATGATCGAATTGGCCCCCCGACGACGACGACCACACACACAAAATTGCACATTCTCAGAACGAGAATGAGGAAAATGGGGAGAACGAAAGACTGACGATGCACGCTGCAGAACGCCGAGGAGGCCGCCGAGCTCAAGAAGAAGAGAACCTTCCGCAAGTTCTCTTACAGGGGTATCGATCTCGATGCGTAGGTTCTCCCGCTTTTTCGCCATGTTGAAGTTCCAAAATCCGAAGAGAGCAAGCCAGCCAGTTAGCCAGACGACCAAACCGACCGACAAAGGATATCACGAGACATTCCGCGACAGACATACGACGTCATTTCAACACCAGGAATCAGGGGAAAGGGGAAGCGGCACTCACTCGACGACAACTGGGGGAATTGGCAGTTCTGGGATGGCTCGGCCGGCTTGCTCGGCTTGGATGGCCAAGGGAACATATCTTGCACTCACAATGCGCCATAACACACGAAAGCACATGTGCTGACAGCAACCTCTTCTGTGCAGTCTCCTCGACCTTGGCTCCGATGAGCTCCGCGATGTCGTCCACGCCCGTGCCCGTCGCAGGATTAACCGTGGCCTCAAGCGCAAGCCCATGGGCTTGATCAAGAAGCTCCGCAAGGCTAAGCAGGAGGCTAAGCCCAACGAGAAGCCCGACCTCGTCAAGACCCACCTCCGTGACATGATCGTTGTCCCCGAGATGATTGGCAGCGTCATCGGCATCTACTCCGGCAAGGAGTTCAACCAGGTTGAGATCAAGCCTGAGATGGTTGGCCACTACCTTGCTGAGTTCTCTATCTCCTAGTAAGTTATCCCCCGCTATCTAAAGAATTGGAAGACATATATACTGACCCCCCTTACAGCAAGCCCGTCAAGCACGGTCGCCCCGGTATCGGTGCTACCCACTCTTCTCGTTTCATTCCTCTCAAGTAAATGCTCTGGGAAATGGGTAGTACTTGCATTCTGTCTCAAATCATGGGTTCGGCGAAAACGGACGCGGGTTTGCTCATTTGGTTATGGCATGGACAAATGTGCCAGGGGCTATCTTAGTTTTGACGAGATAGTGCAAACGAGTAATGACGAGTGCGGGATTCTAGGTGATCAAACACATGGCTCTCGTCCGCGGATTCCTTGATTAGACTTGAGACTTTGCTGAATGAAAGGAACAATGAAAACAGAACTCCCATGATCATCGTGTTCCAACATCACGCTATCCTATAAAGTTGTTCATGACGCTTAAAGCATGAGACCCAGCCTTGGCCCACTACCCTCTCGCTGATTGATTATTTCTTAGTATCACGACTTCAACAAAAACGAAAACACACATATTCGCCATTACGCCATTGGACCTACCCTCGCCTACCAGGCGAGACAGAATAAGGCCATCCCGCAGCAAACCAACCTTATCAACCACACAAGCCCTCTCGCCTCCCCATTCAACACTCACCACCCCCTCAACCACCTCCTCACCTCCTCAACCCCCAAAAAACACCGACGCACCGCCCCTCACAGCACGCCGCAATAAGACCCCATAAACGTATCCCTGCACGTCGCACATTCACACACGAACCCTTTTTCCCTCTTCCCATAGTCCCACGTCAGCTGCTCGCCCTCTTTGATATCCCTCTTGGCCTGCACGCAAATGTATTTTGGCTTGACAAAGTGGGCCAGCCCCGAGGCACCGATACGCCACTCACAGTTTGGTCCGCGCTCGGTGCGCTTGCGCGTCACGTACGCCGAGGAGGAGGAGGGCGGGGTGCAGCAGTGGTTGATGAGGGAGCCGAGGAGGTAGATGCAGGCGTCTGAGTTTGTTGTTGGTGTTGGGGGTTGGCTTGTTGTTGTTGAGACGGATGATGGGATGGGGGTTAGGGTGTTGGTGGTTGTTGTGGTGGCTGTTGTTGGTGATATCGGGACTGGGACAAGGGGTGGTGGTGATGGAAGATGAGGGATGTTGGCCGTGGGTGGGATGATGGTAGCTGTCCGTTTAACCTGAAAGGCGTAACGCTTGAAGAAATCCAGACAAGCATTTTGTCGGTCTTCCTCCGTCGGTTTGGCAATGAGCATCTCCCTCACCCCGGCCACGTACGTCTCGTACTCTTCGCGCGTGATGATCGAGCCGGCGAACCGGCCGTGCACGAGGTTCTTGCCGAAGAATTTCTTCTTGGAGCCGGCCACGTCGGGTTCGGCGGACTCGGCAGAAAAGATGGGCTCGGCGTCTTCCCAGGAGGCAGGCGGGAAACCGTTGCGGGCGGCAAGCATGGGGAAGGCGAGCGTGACGACGTCTTGGCCGCCGTCGGCTAGGGCTGCCTTGTAAGCCTGGTGCTGGCTGTGCATCAGGGAGGTGGCGGCACAGAACTTTTCGTTGAAGAGGGCCGTCATGAGAGGCGCCTCGTGGAAAATGAATTCGTCCTTGGTCAGGTCGCGGGCGGCGAAGAGGCCGTAGCCTACGCCTGCGCTCACCAGACCGATGCGTACAGCCGGGGCATCCTTGGGCGCATTACGTAGGAATTTAGCTGGCAGCTGTGTAGGTGAGAAGATGGAAGGTGTTAGTTATATCACAAGTAAAAAGATCATTGATGCTGATGATGGAGTGTGCGATTACGACTTTAGTAGGAGACTACACAATGAGAGACATGTTTGAGTTCTTGGCAGGAGAAGCATGTGATGATGCCTAGGATGTTGACACGATTGAAATATCCAACATGCCTTGGCCTGCTTCGCAGCATCGAATCCTTCGTCTTCGTCAGAGGTCTTTGTTTGTCTCTTTGATCGATGAGTGTTCGCCATACTGGTGTCAGCTTTGAGCCCTGACCTGAGAAACCAGTAGGACGATTGTGCGCATGAGAGAGTCTAACTAGATCGCGTGCGCACACCCAGGCGCATGCGTAACTGCCGCGCGATGACTCAAAAGCTCAAGAAGAAGAAAAGCAACCGGCCAGGGTTTGGCTGGAAGAAATACGAACAGAATGGTATGGAAGGGAGGAAAAGTGAAAAACCTGTGATGATTTCGGCAATTGACGTTGGTGGGTTGATGGTGATTCCCGGTGTGCGACTATGTACACGTATGAGGAAGGTAACTTTCTGAATGTTCGGCCCCTTGTCAATAGGACGGGAAGGAGGAGTCTAACGTCTAACGTTGGGAGGAAGTATGCAATCATTGCACAGCACTTGTCTAGTTGGCCGCCGCCAGCTTCTTCGCCTTGCGCTCCTCTTCGTCAAGGTGCTGCTTCCTGTAGACCTCGACAACCTTGTCCAAGCGGATATAAGTACCGGCCGGGACATTGCGAGCGCTACCGTGCTGAAAGATTCTGTCACGTGGTCAGCTTGTAGGTCGCACCAATGGCATCTTGTGTTGTGTGAAGCAGAAAAGCAAGGATGGGAGGCACGATGGTCGATGGCAAGCTGTCAATCCATTCCGCAACTGCCTGCGCATTGGAACGAGTCCCAGACACACGAAGCATTGATGGCGTCCAATGCCAAAAGGACAACATCTCGTTGCCTAAGCCCGGACCACAAGCTCCGAGAGCTCTCCATCTTGTGTAACAGCAGCCTTGACCTATCGATGTGTGAAAATGGGCAGAATGCCATTGGGATTGTGGTGTTGCGCAAAGTTGGATATGGGAGAGGGATGAAGCACATCTTGTGTCGCAAGGCTCCCCCGTCCACTTTGGAGCTTCGTAACAAGAAATTGGAATTAATAACGTACTCGGGATACTTCATCTCGTAGTGTCCGCTCCTCAGTTCGCCGGCATAGTAGAAAAGGTGCTTGTCGTGAGCAGCCTGCTCGAGAGCCGCTGTCATGAGAGCGTTCTTGTCGGCCAATGCCTCCCGGTGCTCCTCCCACTTCTGCAACCACTTCGTAATGCTGTTTGGCTGTCCGTCCTTGCCCGGCCGAGAGAAATAGTAGAGAGCACCGAATGCGGGGATGGCGCCGAATATCACGTAGAAGGCAGTCTGTAACCATCAGGTTAGCCTCCAAGTTGATATAACGACATGCTCCCCAGTTCCCAAGCAATAACAGCAAGATGGCCCTGTTCCCCACACTGTATTCATGAACGTACTCCAAGCTCCTCGTCGGCAGAGGCGTGGTGGTGCTCCCCATGGCCGGCAGTGCTGTGGGCGTGGTCGGCAGGACCGTGGCTGTCGGAGGCATACCTCCTCGTGTTGCGCACACAAGGGGCCCGAACCTGACGGGCGACCCTAGAGGCGCCGAGTCTGAAGGAGGACATGGCTGTCGTCGACTTATATCGTGTAATTGACAAGTGCGGAGCGCGAGTCGTGCGTCGACGGGGATAGTGGACCCTTTCTCTCCTCCTGGCGGAGTGACCCCGGGATCCTCTTTCTGCGGGGAGATCGATAAGACGTTGACCTCGAAGTGGTCTCGGGAGAGCGTGGCAATTGCACAAACAAGATATGCGCCGGTTATCGAGGGTCAGAGCCGTTCGGGCTTTGAAGAGACCAGAGGCGCGAGCTGCAAACCAGATCGTCTTCGACGATGTAATGCGCCGCCAGTAGCTAGGTTGGCGGGCAGGGCAGGTACGTAGCCGAATTGCGAGGTATCTGCACGTGATTTGAGATGTGGTTGGAAGCCGGCCAGGAGGGCCCTGCCTCGAAAAGAGTTCCCGCGATGCCAAGCCCTGCCTCAGTACAGTCCAATGCTGGTTTGTTTGTTAGCTTGGTACTCTTGGTATATTGGACGATATCCATCCCGAATTGTCCCAAACTTCACAAGGACAAATTGTTAACAAAAGATTCAATATGACATATTGAACTTCGGAAATAGCATATTCAAGATAAGATTACGCTATAATCATGAAACCAAACGAATCAATTAGATATAAGAACACCTAGGGAAGTTGATCCGAGGTCTTGAGCTAACAAACAAACCAGTATTGGGCTGTACTTCCAGGCTTGGAGCCACGCTGTCGGGATGGAGGCTCACAGAAGCCTTCAGAGCGCTGAAGTCGATGGAATCAGACAAGGTGTTCACAGACGGGAGGCAAAAACCCACTCGATATCCAGACACACTGTCCTTTTTATCGACTCGACTCATCTTTGATTTTATATAAGGTAGCCCAAACAGCTAGCCAACCTTAAAGTAAAGATTCTTATTCTTCATTGACACTGAAACTTCAACAAATCTCTGGTTAGGCTCTTCAAGCCTACAACTTCAATCTCACCATCACACCTGGCAGCTCTCGCTTCCCTCGCCTTTAACGCTAGGCGGGTAAGAGGCTCAAACCCACCAACGTCCAAGACACTCACTTCTATCAACCAAAACAACACTCACTCAGACATACACAATGACGAAGCTAAAACTACACTCCCTCCCACTGAGTCTCTTAGCACTCCTAGGAGTTGCCCTAGCCGGCGTCTCAGCTTCAGCTTCAGCATCACCACCAGCCGGCGAGAAGATCCCTTCCCCCTCATCAGCAGTAGCAGACTCCGAAGTCGAACTCATCTGCCACACCTCCAACCCAGCAGAATGCTACCCCAAGATCTTCCAACCCACACACGAATTCCAGATTGTACAACCAGACCAAGACCTTCCCCCAGGTCTTCACGTCCGTCTGAACATCTACACCGGCCAAAAAGAAGCCAAAATCAACGTCCCCGATGAAGCCGTCGACCCGTCCCTCGAAGGTCTGCCAGTCGACACCTCCATCATGATCGTCGACCCAGAAGATTCCTCGGGATCAGAAGAACAGCAGAGCCAGCAGCCCCTCAAACCACCCAAAAATGCCCCAGCCTACGAGCCACACGGCAAGATCAAAGAGCCCAAGAAGGAAACCGCCGAAGCCAAAGATGAAGCCTCAGCCTTCTACAAGTCTTTGACAATCCTCAAGAAGGGTCTGGACATCGACCAAGCGCTGGAAATGCTGCAAGAGATTTCCCACGACATTTACTACGGGCTCAAGATCGCTGAGGACTACGACACCGTTCGCGAGCTTTTCTGCTTGGCTAACTCGCCCTCCATTTTCTCACCAGAGACACCAGAGGCAGGAGGACCCTCCGAAAAAGACCTCACCCGCGCCCGCCTAGCAGCGCTAATTCTCTCCAACACCGTTCAAAACAACCCCAAGGCTCTAGCGGAAATCAGCAAGCATTGGTCCACGCTTCAACAAGACTACTGCACCAAGTCTAAGGACTCGGAACCCCTCCAAATCTCCACTTTCCGTCTTCTCCCATCATCCCAGGGCAACAACTCAATCCCCCCCTCCCTAACCAAGGCCCGCATCTCCGCCATCTCCGGCCTCCTCAAGTCCCCCTCCATCCGGCAATCCTTCCTTTCGGCCAACGGCATGGATCTCCTTCTTCAGGTCCTCCTTGACACCACTACCGCATCCCAGGGTCAGGGAGCCGCTGAGGAATGGGAAAAAGTCCGCCGCCAAGCGGGCCACCTAATCCTCGACAACTTCCTTGACGAAGACATGGGAGCCGTTTTGGGCGAGTGGCCTGACGCTGTCAGGGATGTGCAGGCTAGTGATAAGGAGTGTGCTAGCCGTGCTGCTAGCCGTAGTGATGGGGAGAAGAAGGAGGGTCAGGGTGACTGTTGGGATTGGCACGCCAAGCAGCTTGCGGATAGGTACAAGAAGGAAGGGAAGGGAGGGGACGGGCATTGGAGCTGGGAGTTGTGGAATAAGTTGAAGGAGCAGAGGAAGAATGCTTCGAGCAATAAGAAGAACAAAGGTGGGAAGAAGGATGAGTTGTGATGGAAGCCTTGATTTGGGTCATGGTTGGAGTTATGTTTTAGGCTCATTGAAAGTGTCATGTAGAAAAACAGTTGTATACTCCTCAGGTTTTTGTGATTTCACGAACGGACAACTTCGTGGGACATTTGTGCACATATTCGTCGATTAACTTGTAAGCGACGTATTCCAAGCCTTGGAAGATTGCTGTCTTACTGTACACATACATAGTCACATTTACGAAAGCGATCATTCAAATCAGGACAAGTCACGCCCATACATTAATCTACAAAATCTAACCTTAACGAACTTCCCTTTTCCTTCTCGCACTGATGAAAGCAATGAAATGAACTACGAGTGATATAGGCGCTTTTGTTCCCAAGGACCGATCAATCGCTGGTTGAACGCAACCCTTGCGATGAATTCCTAGCCAGCATGCAAAGAGACTTCATGTGGAAAGGGTCGACAACAAAACGCGATCGTCCCCCCCATCTGTCCTTGCTGGTCTGACCTTAACGAACTTTACCCGCCCTATTCTCGTCTCTGGACATCAACGTCCGCCAACCTTACTGCCGCGGTTTATGCCGACTTTGAAGCACTCGCACTCGTTATCTTTTTTTTGTGTGTTTTCCTTGTTTTTCTTTTCCTCTGTCATGGTTTGTCCGTTTTTGGCCTCAGCTAGAAGTGCCAGTAACGACGACAACTTCCTCTCAGTCCGCATGTAGCCGTGGATGCCAATGAGATGATTGTTCATGAACGCTCTTGAGTGGCCCAGCGGACATTCAAGTGGTGTCTTGATTCGTGGTCCTCCTTCTCGTTGACTTTCATGACGACTCTACCCAGCTTGGTGAAGGTTGAAAGAAATCATGGGCGGCGAACTTTGCGCCTACATGCTTGCGACCTTTGAGAGCCACTATTGTCTGTCTTTTGAGGTATGGGATGCTCCGTCTTCAGAGAAAGGTCGCTCTTGAGGGCACATGCCCAGATTGTCCTCAATGAATAGCTCCTCCGCTGCTCCCGGTGTCCGGGGTAGGATGGATAATGAAAAAAAAAAAGAAGGGGACCTACAGCCAAGGCCGACTTGGAGATGGCTGAGAATGACGACGTAAAACTGTTTGGTGCAACATGAAATAAAACAGACTGATTTTCTTTCTTCTTTGAACTGCCCTGGCGGTTCTTTCTCGGACTCGCTTGGTTCCGACGAATGATGAGAGGAATGTCTGGGCACTACTTGTCGTTAGGTCGGACGCCGGTATTGCCGAAACCGCTCAGATTCCATCCAGGATATTTGGACGCCGATGCGTTTCCGTTGGGAGCTTCGGGCTGCGGGGGAATGCTAGGGAGACCACTTCCGGGTTCCCTCTTCAAGGGGTTCTGCGGGAGCGATGCAGGCCCTGTAGCCGGAGGCTGCCCGTTGGATGTCGTAATACCACCAGAAGACTGATCCAATGGCTTTTTCACTTTGTAAGCACCCTTGTCCTGGAGGTACTTGATAGCTTGGACAATGGACAGGTCCTCCTGCTCCTTGTCGTTTAGGAGCAAACGCTGCTGGAGGGTCATCTTTCCTCCGTTGAGTTCGCGTTCTTTGAGCGCCTTTTCGCGCTCGTTAGGGTCATGTACAAAACGGCACTTGCCCCGCTTACCACAATTTCCACCAGTCGAGTAGTACTTGCAGTGCTTCGACTGGTCAGCCTTCCTGGCCACCGGGGGGACTACTGTTTCATCCGGACGAGTAGTCAAGACTTCCGGCTTCTCGTCGTCGGACTTGGAGATTGTTGAGGGCGATGAGGGCTCCGAATGGCGCATCTCGTCGCCTTCATCTTGCTGCTCACGCTTCCTCTTGATGCTGGATTCGACTTTTTCCAGCTGCTTGCGGAGCTTCTCCGCCTTCTGTTCTTGTCTCATCAGCAGAGAGGCCTTCTCGTCAGCGGCCTTTGCCTCAGCAGTCTGTGCCTTGACAGCAGCTCTCTTGGCTTCAATTTTGGCCTTTGATGGGAAGTTGGCCCTGCGCTCGGCAATCCAGGAAGCAAGTTCCTCGTTCGTAGTCGGGCTGGATCAAAGGTTAGTGTTATTCTTATCAGACAGTAACAGCGGGAAACACTTACTTGGGGGCATCAGCACCAATCATCTCATTGAGACGCTCCTCCTCATTCTCATCGTCCTCATCGGACTCATCACCCGGGGTCAAACCAAGCGTGTTCGTCTTGCGCTTCTTTTTCTTACCGCCAGAAGGATCGGGCTTCTGGTGGTGAGTGGGAGGGCTGTGAGCCTTCCCGCCGCGGCTGTGATTACCGCCGGCATGACCATTACGGCCACGAGCTCTGTCACCACCAAACTGGGGGCGATGACGAGGGTGGCTGTTTTGATGGAAGCCTCCTCCACGTCCATGACGCGGTGTGCTGGCGGCGGGAGCACCATCATAAACAGGATGAGCCGGCGGCATGTAGGCGGTTGGAGGGGGATACGGGTATGGGGCAGGAGCATAAGGCGCCGCGTGAGGTGCACCATATGGCTGCGGTGGATAAGGGGCCGGAGCGGGCGGCTGCGCAGGTGCGCCATCAAATCCCATCCTGATAGGAGGTCCCATCATCTGACCCTTGGGGCCGGAACGGTCACTATGTGAGCCTCTGCCACCTCGGCCACTGGTGTTGAACGAAGTTTGGGGTGGGGGCGGTTGATGATGACTACCCCATGGCTGAGGAGGCGGACTAGCCTGCGGAGCGGGGGGAGCATACGCCGGGCCGTAGGCAGTTTGTGGCGCGGGTGAGTAAGCGGGTTGCTGAGCACCGTAGGGCTGCTGGGCCTGGGGGTAATGGGGCTGTGTGCCGTAGCTAGGCGCGTAACCTTGAGGGGGAGGAGGGCCAGGAGGCTGTTGCGGGGTATGCTGGCCATGCTGCTCTGAATGCCACTGCTGTTGCGGCGGAGGGTAGGCGCCGGGCTGTGGCTGGTGAGAAGGGTATGGGCTTGCCGGAGGCGCCTGTTGACCGTACGATGAGGGTTGCTGGCCATATGAATAGGAATGCGACGACTGGTGATACCCGCCACGATCTGAGCCACCACGGCCTCGTCCACTATAGCTGCCGCGCTGGGGAGCAGCCGGCTGTGGCTGCTGCTGATATGGGGACTGGCCATAAGTGGCGGGGTAGCCAGCAGGCGGGTTGTTGGGCGGCGCCGGTCCCGGCGGCGGGGGAGGCGGGCCGTAGTTGTAAGCCATGGCTTCTGCACGAAGGAGAAACGGATATGGACGAATCTCGATCTCGCAAAGTGTACCTCTTGTTGTGATGTTCCCTGGGCAACAGGGTGTTTGTTCCTCAACTGGTATTAAGCAGCTGTCTCGTCCCTGGAAGTTGGACGTTTGGATTTTACTCGGAAGATGAGGCGTAGGCAAGAGGAATGGCAGTTATGGCCTCAAGACAGTTCGGACGCCGTGTCGATGGTCAAGCGGTAGGAGTGTCGTTTGGCAGCCTGGGCTTGGAATGATGGATTGGTTTGGACTTTTTGGACTCCGACGCTGCAAGCTAGGCAACGTGTGACCGATGTGAAGTCGTTCGAGTCTTGCTGGCGATGCCGAGATGGAAGCAAATGCAATGATGCCTCTGCGACTTGGGAATGACAGTCCTAATCGTCAAATGGTTTTCGACGACAGGAACTGATCCCTTTTGACACGGGCAAGATGACAAGCTTTCACTGGCAATGTTAAATGCCCTTGGACAGCAGACGTTGTCGATTGTCAGGATTTTAGTATCCTTCACTGAGTCAGGGTTGTTGGCAAGATTCAACTTGGCGTCAAGCAGCAGTGTTGGCGAGATGTTACACCTCAACCGGTCGCAACTTGGGCTTTGCTTCCCGAATGTGAACTAGAATTTGTTAGATTGAATGAACGGCGGACGTTGCGAAAGAATGTAGTTGGAACGAAGTGGGATTCAGTCCGACGACCGCGCCTCGCCGTACAGTGGCCTTATGGTCACCGGCGAGTTAACTTGCTTTGATGGCGTGGTGAGAATCCGACGACGTGGGGAATGGAATCAAGATTCAAGGGCCGACTTCGACCAAAATCTACGGGCACTTGCCTGTTCGTCACACACACGAGGCAAGAAAAATACTCACGGTTTAGGCTTGGTTGGTGATCACGGTCACAAGTGTGTACCGGGGTCGAGGAGGATGAAGTAGACGTGGAACATGGAGGGGTGAAGTTGTGAAATGGAGGTCGAAGGGTGAAGGAGAGAGAGACGTGGACTGGAAGGAGATGCGCGTTGGTGGGTCCACACTTAAGGTTCCCAAATCAAGGAAGGCGGTCAGCCGATCTACGGCAGGGGTGGAGGCGGCAGAATTCGAATCTCGAACTTCCGTTTGCTCAGGGCAGGCTCGAGGGTCCGGGTGTTGGCAGGTGCGCTGCTGCCCGCGGCGTTGTTGCAGTGGTGTTCGGCGGACTTTCAGGCTCCAGCACAGTTCGACCGGATTGCAGGTGCGCAAACTTGTGCGGCAGGCAAACCTTTTCGAGTCCCAAACGCTGCAGTGACAGTGGGGCATTCAACTCTCACCTTCTGATTACACCAGGCAGGTGCGCGATCCAGTGAATGGTGATATTGAAGGAAAGACTGTGAGGCCGACGAGGGGACTTTTACGTAGACCTTCAGATATCTTCTCGGATTTTGCTTAAGACATTCATCTTAATTGTTGCATAAAAATTTGACAGATTTCACGATCAAAGACTGCCAAAACAATCATTATCTGATATCGTCAAAAACCGCAGAATTTCCGCCCCTCGCCAAAAGTTTTGCATGCATTGACATTTAACAACACTTCTATTTGAGCACTCGGTCTCCTCTCATTCAACCACTTACATCCGGCCGTCACATTTTGCCCAAAACGGTTACCACACCATCAAGCTGAGACTTTGTCCAGTAACAATCCATACCACCATCAAGACGTCCAGTCTGGTCAAACCCATCTCGAGAAGAAGAGCTCGATTGTACTGCAAAAGAAGGCTTCTAGCACCATGTTCATCACGGTTCGTAAACTTTCATCCCTCCAGTGCGTTTGCAGTTGATGATCAAAATGAGACTAAAATCAAGATAGACGAAAATTGCCGACTTGGTGCAGATTGCACCTGAAGACTTTAGCAAAGAGAGTTTTGTCGCCATCGAAGACAACATCAACGCCAAGTATGCAAACAAGGTGGGTAACAATATCTTTGAACAAGCACAAGATTCCATCCATCTAACTGCTGTTTTTTGGTCCACAGGTAGTACAAAAAGTCGGCCTTTTCGTCTGCTTGTGGGATGTCACCTGGACATCAGAAGGTCAGATCGGTCATGGCACTGGTTTAGTCAACGTGAACGGTAAGATGATTATATTCGTATCCTATTTCTCTGCTGTCATCACTGACATGGTACACAGTTGAGTTTGAGATGGTGGTCTTCAGGCCATTCAAGCACGAAGTTATCCTTGCACGCATCACCCATCAGACCGAGGAAGGCATATACCGTCAGTTCAACCCATCAACCCCTGACTCTGTCATCTTTTATTACCCAACTTGCGTCTAACACGTCTTGCCCCTTGCAGTTGGTATGGACTTCTTTAGCGACATCTTTGTTCCCGCCGCGGAGCTTCCAGACAACTCGGAGTTGTGAGTACCAGTTCATTTTCCCTGGTGTCTTTCTGGGACATGCTAACATCTCATCCTCAGCGACACAACCGAGAAGGTCTGGGTATGGAAGGAAGAAGGCCAGGAATTGTACTTCGACAACAACGAAATGGTGCGGTTCCGCGTTATCGGCGAGGAGTGGCACGACCAAACACCAACAGGCCCGGTGGAAGTCGACCAGGCTGCAAACCAGCTCCTACCGCCGTATAAGATCACGGGTTCCATGAAGGAAGGAGGACTGGGATGTTGTCTGTGGTGGGAGTAGAATGGCCCACTCCGTCACGCACGCGAGGATATCGAGGCCAAGACCAAGCATTGAGAGGGCGTTTTGTTTTATTATCCAATTATATTTCTGCACCCTGAAGTGATGGCGGCGTGTAGCATTTTGTGTTTTTGCTTTCCCGGTATGTCAGGTTGCACCGTTCGCTGCTTTGGTCTATACTGTAATGCCCTCTAGAAGACGGTCCTCAACATCATCGAGGACCGAGTAATGCTCGATAACTGCGAGGTTCTCAGCCTCGGCCTTGAACTGCTTGTCGGGATCGACGCCGGGGCCGAACATCTGGGCTGGCGCTGCGCCCATTCCTCCCATCTGCTGAGCCATTTGACTCGCGGCTGTCACAATTATTAGCTAGAATCCATAGCGAATAAAGAGTCGAGAACACTTACCATTGTCGCTGCCGAGCAAAAAGTTAAAGACTGACTGAAGACCGAAGATACAGAGGAAGTACCAGCTGATGCTGGACATCCATCTGGGATCCATATCCTTGGTCATAACTCCTGCCTGAAGCATGCTCTTGAACTTGATAGTCAAGGGGAAAGGAAGTTTCACTGTGACACCCTGTTAGCCACCACAACGCTCCTATAACACCCAGAAGACCTGATCACAACCACGTACTAATAACATAACCGCTGAAGAAAGCATTGATCCAGCTCATGATCAGCGTGTTGGGGATAATCATGGCCATCTGGTTCTTCATCATGCCCATCATGCCCTCCATCGAGCTAGGGTCGCTCAGCGGGTTCGGCTGGCCCTGTCCGGCACGCTCAGGGTCCTTGAGGTAGGCGCCCGACTCGAAGGCCGTGACGAGCGCATCGCGGCGTGTGGCGAACGACTTCTTGGAGAGGGCGTGGAAGTTACCGCGCACGTTGATGCCGTGGAGGAGGGAACGCTGTTCGCGGATGGCCTTTTGGTCGAGCTTCTTGGGGGCGGATTGCATCAATACGGATGCATAGTGTCGGAGTACACCCGTCAGGATCTACATGGTCGTAGTGTTAGAGGATGAACTTGTATTGTAGTTGAAATCCGCATGGTCGGGTCAGAATCGGCCGGTCCGTACCATGACAATCGTGATGGGAAAGAGGATCCAGTAGCTACATGTTGACAACACCAAGCAGTTAGCATTTGGACTTCCTAGCTTGCCATTCCGTTGCTTAGCAGCGTACTTGGGGGAGCTCACAATAACTGGGGATCCCTATGGATCGTTTGAACCGGAACTTGCGCCATTGTCGCGATATCTGTTGAAACCGTTGGCAGACAAGTCTTGTTGATATCGCGGAAGACTATATGAGATGTCGTTGTTGTCCAACGTCCAACGTCCAAGTCGCTGTTGACCGCGGCGGGACGGGGCGCTACTGAACCCTGTCAACCATTGCATCAGCTCCCAGTGCCCCTGTCTACGGGGAAGGTACGTACCTCCTTAAAGCTTGCGCACTGACCACAGGATAGCGCTTTATCACCGCTTATCGTGCCTGCCGGCGCAACGACCATTCCACCAAGGTGGCCTTTCCCTGCCTGTCATCCGTCAGCCAGCCAGCACTCCAGCAGGCACCTCTTTGGCTTGACGTTGTGGGAGCTTCCATTGACTTTCAGCCTTCCCGATTTCAACAGCTCCCACTTCTCGGGCACTTCACCAGCACCATTTAACCTATCCGAGACCCCTTATCACAGCTACAGGGACAATCCGTCCCTAAACCATTTCAAGCAAGATGGCGTCAACAGAAAAGATCACGGTCTACAACGTAGCCGGTAAGCACTTACACGAACCTACTTACTCCAGCCCCAGCATATCAGCTGCTTGATCTATCATATACTAACACCATCTCCCCTGTGAAGACCTGCGAGCAACAACCGACGACGCCCTCCTTAACTACCTCAACTCGCTCGGCCTGCGCCAATCCCACACCCTCCTCGACACCCGTCTCGCCCTAGGCTTCTCGGCCTTCCTCCTCTCCGCCGCCTGCTTCGCCTGGGACTATAAGCTCGGCTTCGAGTCCACCAAGCAATACACTTTGATCGCTGTGATCCTGTACACTTTACTCAATGGCGCCCTGACGTACTGGATCATGTTCGTCGAGCAGGGAACCATCTACGCGGGATCGACCAAGGACGGCAAGACGCGGATCAGAGTGATTAGCGATAGCAAGAAGCCCCAGCAAAAGGGGGAGGCGCCGTTGTATAAGTTGAGGGTGGATGTGGAGGATGTGAAGACGAAGAAGGTGCAGAAGATTGAGTTGGAGAGGAGGTTCAGCGAGTGGTTCGATGCTAGTGGACGGTTTGTGGCCGCGCCGTTCCAGACGGTGTTGGCGCAGGGGATTCCGTTGGTGGGGAGGTTGGATCCTAAGAGGGCTGTTGCTGCTGCTCCCGCTTCTGGGGGACAGGGCATGATTAAGGAGCAGTTTGCGGAAACACCGGGTTATACGGCGGAGATTTTGGATGCTATTGCTAGTGGCTTGGGAGAGAGCTCGACGACGGCGGCGACGGGGTTTAGTGCGAATCAGGATGCTGGGAAGAAGAGGAGGAAATAGAGATACCGTCGCTTCGAACCGTACCATTTTAAGGCGGCGTATGGTTGTCTCTCGGCAAGGAAGGGAGGGAGTGGGTGGTTGATGAGTTTGGGCCGGCTTGGCCACGCCTTTGTTATATCGGGTTGCATCGTCAGCGAAAAGTATGATAGGATGGTATCTTTAATTCACAGCGTCTGTGTTTCATGGTTTTGCTTTCCAAGTTGTGGTTAACATGGCGACTGGACCAGTCAGTGAGAAGGAGTCAAACTAGTTCACTGGGGCATATCTCCTCGCTTCGGTACCCAAATGCTCGACGGAGGTCTATGGAAGAGCACCAGCGCATAATTCAAAACGAAACTCCATTGTTCCCAACCCGCCCTGATCTCTACCTAATATGCATGCCTTGACGGCCCATATATCTATGAATGCATAATCCGGAAAGCCACTACCCACTCAAAGCATCCATATGATACCCAAATCCCTCTCAACTCTCTACACAACCTTGGCCCAATTCTCCCTAGCAAGCAACGCCACCTTCCTCGCCTCTCTGCTCTTATCCCCACTAGCCGTCGCCAACATCCTCTGCATCGGCAGCGCATACGGCAACAAATGCCTCTCCTCAAACTTCTTCGGCATCGCCCCCAAAAGCTGCAGCGTCAACTTCCTGACCGCCGCCAAAGCTCTCGCCACGTTCCCTTTACTCGTGTTCTTGGCCGCCTCCTCGTACGTCTTCATGCCCGCCGTGATGATCGCCTTCAGATGTCCCTTGAGCGCCTCGGGCTCGTTTGCGAGGATGTCGACGAGGACTTCCAGAGAAGTGGCCACCTGCGGCTGGGTGATGTCGCCCGAGGCGGAGGAGTTGTTGAGGGTGGTGATGAGGAGTCGGACTAAGTGGGTAAGGTCTTCTTGGTACACTTCGAAGGGACAGTTGCTGACGAGCGAGAGGATGGCGGTGGTGTACCGCCCGGCGGCAAAGGCGGTGTCTTCGTCGCCTGTGGGTAAGGCCAGGTCGTAAAGGGGTTTGGCGAAGTGCGTGTAGACCCATTGCTTGTAGAAGCGCTTGACGACCGCGTGGTTTTCGGGACTCAAAAGCTCGTTGGTCTTGACGAGACCGCCGATGGTGCGGGCGACGATGGCGCCGTTGGGGCCTGGGCTGGCGATGGCCTCGTGCAGGATGGGGACTAGGGTCAGGACGTTTTTGTCCTGCCGGGCACAGGCGCCGGCAACGGTGTGGACGGCGACGGTGTTGTAGACTTCGAAGATGGCTGGGTCGATGTCGTCGGTTGTGGTGGCTGTCTTGATCTGCTCGCCCCAGAAGTTGAGGACTCGCTTCATGGTTTCGGACTCGGGGTCGAAGGTGGATTGGCCGCCTTTGTACTTGTTGGCTAGGACGGCACAGATGGTACCGCGGATCTCGCCGACTGCTAGCAGGACAGTGGCCATTCTTGATGTGTCGCACATAAAGGTCTCGGCAATACCTTGTGGTGCGTACTAGGGGGAGACGTTAGTGCAAGGTTCACAGTAGGGGGGGTTCCATGATACGTACCAGTTCGGTCATTGCTGCAGGACGAAGCCCTTGAAGGATTCCGAGGGTCAGCAATCTCCTGAAAGGGGCAAGCCGGCTCGGCCCAGACGATGAGAGGTCCTCGGAGAAGAAGAAGTTGAAGGCATTTAGGGCCAAGTTGCAGGACTTTTGTAGGTTCTCGTCGAGACTCCGAACCACGAGTGCTGCCAGGTTGGCCACTTGGGCAAAAACTCGCTCACTCCAAGGAGCTTGCTTTCCGTAAGCAGCCTCTCTGTAAAGATGTCTGACGATGAACAAGCAGATCCTGAGGAACTCGCGGTAAACCTCGGGGTCATCCTCTTTGATTACCACTCCAGACGAGTCATCCTCTCCTTGGAGTTCGTGCAGCCAGTCCTTCGGTAGACCTTGGAATTCCTCGAGCCAGTTTCTGTCACTGCCCGAATACGCTTCCAATACCTTGGGTTCGAACTTCTCGAGACAAGCGTCGCGGAAGTGAAGTATACCGCCATGTAGCGCAGAAATGACACAGGAGTTTGCCAACGACTCCTTTTCTGAGGTAGGGAGTGGAGACAAAGGGAAGAGATCGTGCATGGCTGTTGCAAGTCTGATGAAATGCTGAAGGGGCTTAAAAGGCTTGGAAGATTCATCATCGAGAGCAATATTGAGGGGAATACGTGAGCATCCAATGAAGGCAAGTCGAGACAGGATGTCTTGGAGAGCATTCAGCGTGTACTTCGATGGGCTCGTCCAGTCGCGTTTCTCGATTTCGGCCTTTGCTCTCTCAACGAGCTCTGCATACCCGTCCGTGTAAGTTGCAACAACTGACTGCAGAGCCAGCACCGCTTCATCTTCCACCGCAGCGTCGGTGGAGTTATCGTTTTGGCTAAGCGCCAAACCCTTGGTTAACGTATATGTCAACAAGGAGCAGATCTCGGAGCAAACTGAACGAGAAGCCAGCAAAGAGATTTGTCCATCGGGTCGAAGAGTCTGCTGAGTTGCGAGCAATGCGAGACCTTGGACGACCTGTTTGAGAACCTCTGATGTAGTCTCTTCCGACTTTCCAGTCCAGGTTGGTAGGTAGACATCGTGATAGAGAGCTACCAGATGATCACTAGACTCCGTCTTAAGAGCCTCCTCGTCCTCGGGATGACCTTGTTTCCTGTTCTTGAAAAGATCCGCCCGAGACTTCAGGGTTGAGTTCAGAAGAAGGAGCAGGTCCTTTGTATGAGATGGAGACTTTGGTTGACGGAGGTTTTTCCTGATGATGTCAATGAAGGCCGCACTTTCAAGGGTATATGCACGGATATTAGTAGTGATGACAGTCATCAAGAGAAGTCCAGCCTGCTTTGTGTATGTCGGGTTCGCCAAGTCATCGCGGCAGTCGTCAACTACAGTATCGATGTAGTTCTTGAGCGAGGATACATCAAACTTTTGGGTTTTTGTGCCGTCAAGCCTATTAGCAATTGCCCGCAATACATCCAGGGTAGCATCGATAGTCTCCTTGACCTCCCCGTTTCGTACTTCGTACTTGAGAGAGTTCCAGATCTTGTTGATGTGCGGGACAATGCTGGTTTGTGGGTTGTCGTACTGTTCGATACAGGCCTTGACCGTTTTGAGGATGTCGAGCTTTACCGAGACCGTTACTGCGTCACCCTGGTCGAGCTTTCCAATGAGGAACGGGAATGCAAGCTTGGCTACTTTGTAGTGAGATGCAAAACACGCCCTTAAGGCGTTCTTGAGGTCGTCCGCAGTGATGCCGATCGGGGTAGCCGAGCTCCTCAATGTGATGGGGAAGTATGCTGAGAAAGCCTTGAAGATCTCCTCGGTTACTTCGTCGGATGTCGAATACTCGGTAAGGAAGATAGGAAGCAGTTTGAACCATAGCATGAGATTCCTCGGGTCCCTCTCGTTCTGGCATAGCTGAAGGATATCGATGATGAAGCCGCTAGATGTGCCGTACTTGTCTTGCAGTTCATTGTTCACTGACTGGTCTTGGATGAGACTGAGGAATAGCTCGTAAATTTCGAGTCTGGTGGCTGCCGTTTGTAGTTTGAAATCTTCCTTGAGTTTGCAGACGTCCTCGATCATCTTGACACCGACTGCAGGCTTGAATCCCTTCATGGCGTAAAGCTGGCGCAGTGCCTTGGCCGAGGCGGTGATGCCGGCCTTGTGGTCGTAAGAAAACATGGCGCTAAAGAAACCAACGAGCCGGATGACTTGTTCAGGCCGAAGTAGGCTCTTATCCAAAGCTTCGAGAGTATCGGCAAGGAAGCCCAAGGCCTTGGCCCGTGCTATTATGTCACCGCTGCCGCTGTCGTCATCGTCGTCGTCTGAATTATCATCGTCTTGTTTGGTGATGGTTATCCATGGCTGGATTGAGGCAGCCCAACTTCCCACAGACGCACTGCTGGCCCTTGTGTTCTCGATTTCTGCCCATAAAATGTCAACACTCTGCTTCTTAAGACGGGCTGAGGTGAGGGTCTCATAAGCTACCTTTTGCCGCCTTTTTGGCAATCTCACTCTGAGCAGTCTCGTCGTCTGAGAGCACGTATTGAAGGGCCCAATCCTTAAAATTCGACATGGTGAAAGATTGAGATGATGGTGGTAATGGTGATGGTATTTGACGTTATTTGGTGTCACAAGCAAGATTTGAGAACTAGCAAGATGGATTCGGGAGAGCGCAATGCAGAGCTGTGAGAGAATGAACGACGAGAACCTTCAAAGTTTAACCTGGACCTCAATGGATTGCCGTCGGTGTGGTTTAGTTAGGGGGTGATGGAAGCTTGGGCCAACTCCTCCCTATCCAAACACAAGGTTATGGGTGACGGGATTGATTGTTAATGGAGTTGTTTCTAAACTTGTCACCCGGTCGACTAACAGAGCGAATAGAGACTAGTCTTGGTCAGACAGCGACAGGATAGTCAAGACAGACAGACGGTGACGGTGACGGTGACGGTGAATTGAAGATGCCGTCAGTGGCCGATGCCCCTGGCCAAGCCCCGGACTGTGGGTGGGATGGCCGGGGCAACATCATCACGCCGCCGTTATCGCCCTGGATTCCCCGCCGACAAGTGGCAGAAAACGGCGTTATCGCGGGCGGTGAGGCTGAAAGCTATGGCGTTTCGCGGGATCTGATCGTGTCTGGGTACCTTGAGGCTCACGCTAAGCCGGTTTCGGCAAGAGGGGCTGCGGCATGGATGTGTCAGTCTTAAAATTTTTGAAAGTTTTGTTTGGATATCGGAGGGGGCCTGTGACTCTTACGAGTGCACTGTAGAAGGCCTGGAGTTACGCGCCTCGCTCCCTGTGCCTCCATGTCACAAATACCCACGCAAGAATCCACTCGGGTCGCGCTGAAACGACCTGGATTCCATCAAGTATAAAGACGACGAGAGGCCCCCTGTACAAGAGGGACTCAGTCGGCCACGCAAGATCGTGGCCCTCATCCCATACTTTTACACTTCCAATCCATACAAACATATCTTACTGCCGTCTTGTTCTTCTCCTCATTTCTGTTGGAAAACACCAATTGGCTCGTCAAAGGTTCATCTGAAGCATGTAGGTACCTCATCTCAACTTGACAGTTGGGGAACCGCGGGGTACCTCAACTTTCACTTCACCCACGTCAACTTCCCCAAGGCTCAGGCTGTCCGTCTGCTTGGACCACCTTCAAACGAGCTCTTACAAGGACAGACTGAGGAAATTCGAGCAATCCTTTGAGGATATGGCCAATTGGCCATTTGGGATGAACCTCAGAAATGCGCCTGATTAGAACTTCGGCTAACTTGTTTGTGCGACTCTCCTCCAGACAGCCTTCTACGACGACGAACATCCCAAGACCACCACCAGGGGCAGTCTTCAAATCTCACATCGACATCATGGAGGCACAACAAGTACCCAAGACCTGCAAGGTCATCCTCGCCGACACCATCGCCAAGAAGCTGCTCTCCGAGGCCCGCGAGACTCTTGCTAAGATCCAGGGTCCCGATGCTTCCAAGCCTACTCTGGCTGCTTTCCTGGCTACCGATGACCCGGGCGCTCTGCAGTATGCCGAATGGTCCAAGAGGACGTGTGAAGAGAAGTGAGTATCTCGCAATCGCTCAATGGGTCAGTCTGGACTTGCCCCAGCACCAGGGTCTAATCACTACCCCAGTGGCTTCAACTTCGACCTCCGCAAAGTCGACAAGGAAGACCTCGAGGAGGGCATCATCGCCGCCAACAACGACGACCAGGTCGACGGTATCCTCGTCTACTACCCCATCTGGGTCGGCAACCACAGTCAAGACAAGTACATCAAGGAGACCGTCGCCCTCTCCAAGGACGTCGAGGGTCTCTGCCACACCCACCTCTTCAACATGTACCACAACGTCCGCTTCCTCGACGCTCCCGCCAACCTGAAGAAGTCCATCCTTCCCTGCACGCCGCTCGCCATCGTCAAGACCCTCGAGCACCTGCAGATCTACAACCCCATCCTGGCCTACGGCAACCGCCTGTTCGGCAAGACCATCACCGTCATCAACCGAAGCGAGGTGAACGGCCGCCCTCTCGCTGCTCTGCTCGCCAACGATGGCGCCACCGTCTACTCGGTCGACGTCACCGGCGTCCAGGTCTTCACCCGCGGCGAGGGCATCCGCCAGCTGCGCCACCAGGTCCACAACAAGGAGGGCTGGGAGCTCAAGGATGTCTTGCCGCTCAGCGACGTCGTTATTGGCGGGGTCCCGACCGAGAAGTTCAAGGTGCCTACCGAGCTGCTCCGCGACGGTGCTGTGTGCATCAACTTCTCCAGCTTCAAGAACTTTGATGGTCCCGCGGTCAAGGAGAAGGCTAGCATTTATGTCCCCAGCACTGGCAAGGTTACCATTGCTGTGCTTTTGCGCAACCTTGTGGTGAGTATTTGCTGCCCACCCCTTGTGTCTCACTACCAAGTTACACCCAACTATACATCCGTTGATAAGACTCGCTGACAAAATTATGTCTTTAACAGCGCTTGATCGCCAACCGTCCCCGTCCCGAGGGATCTGCGCCCGAGGACCCCAAAGATGCCAAGGCGCGTAGCGAGGCCTTCATCGAGGGTTAATCGGAACATTTCCCCATATACCCGCTACAGATTTGCATATATCCGTGTTTATACAGTTTCCTTTCATTTTCTTGAGGTTTGGGAGGTTTTGTTTTCTCTGCTAGGTAGGAAAAAAAACGGATGGGTGCTTGGTTTCGTAAGGGTTGGGTAGGAAGGGAGCAAGGGTTGGTTGATTGCACTGGATGGTTGTCAAAAGTACATAGAGAAACAATCACATACACGAAAAAAGGGGGCTTTGTTTACGATTTCGAGCTTCAATGTCTATCTAGAGATATAGAAGGATCTGGAGACAAGAAAAGGGGGCTTGAACACCACCCTTCAACACAATACTATCAGAATAATCTCGACAAAAAAAAAGAACCAAATGAACAGATAAATGTCCACTTCCGTAGCCATTGAAACCCACTGTGGATGGAATGGTACTTTTTGGGTCAAGGTGGTGGTTGATTAGTAGAAAAGTAGAAGAGGAGAGACCCCCGGAAAACTAGGTATAAATACCCCTCCCAGTACTAAGCGCACAGCGCACCTTCCCACCATCTCCATTCAACTTACCAATTTGCAATGCTCTCGTCTGCATCTTCCTCAACATGGAGAAGCAACTGTGACTCACTTACACGAAAACCGTCGAGTCACGAACACAGGGCACTAGCCGGTGGGGCCGCCCATGTAGTCTCGGCTCTCTACCCGGTAGTGTACATCTCAGCTCCTCCGTCTCGCTCCGTCCGGCTCATGCACCTTGCGAATCAGATCCCCGTAGCGAATTCCGGCCCGGTCATCGGATCTCATCAACCAAGTACCCGGGATTGACCTTATATTTACAGTAAATACAGACCTATGTACAAGCATAGAGTACAGGGCTAGCTGAGTTGCGAACACAACTATCCAGCACTGCATGAGCGTGTCATCAAGTTTTTTTTCTGGTGGTTTCTTTGATGAAAAGTGCGAGAACTTGGGGGATCGGAGATAGATGTTGGAGGGACTTCGGTCTAGATGTTTAGGAATTATGTAGCAGAGGTGGAATTCCCAAATACATAGATAAATTTCCTGGACCTGGATACCGTTCGCTCCCCGTAGTAGAATTACTCGTTTGGGCTAGAAACGCCCTTTAGACCCAATGCTGCGCATTGGGTCTGGTACATTGAATTGCGAATGCAAATTGATTCGCGAAAATTTCGGTACTTCCCCGCCCATACAAACTAGTTGTATAACCATGTCGCTCTCTTTTTTTGAAAATTGGTGCATACATGCATGTAATATCCGCCAAACTAGTAAACATCCCTATATTAGACTAGCAATACCTCAAAGCAACGTCGATAATTTTTTTATTGGGAATTTCGACAATTTCAACATCGCCACTTTCTGGTATGATGTTTTGCTCTACCATGGAATCTAGCTGTATATACTAGAGTCCTACTCTTCAACTGGATCAGAACCAAAATGCCCTCCCCTCAACGCTCTTAGATCGAAGAGTTGAGCGTTTTGGAGGTTCATGACGGATTCATGTGGTTGTGCAAGTCAGGTTGCTTATGCTGGGTATGCAAAAAAACAGATGTACATTGATTTGCTAACAAAATTGCAGGGTTGGCCATGTACCCAGGTTTTTTCGCGAATCCATTTGCATTCGCGATTCAATGTGCCACACCCCTTGGCCCGGCCAAGGGGTGTGACAGGCGTTTCGAGCCCACACGAGTACATAGCAAAATTCCACATCATGTCATATCATATCATATGATGTCCCCAAAACCGATCCGCTCAAATTTAAGAACAAAAAAAAACCCCCAAACAAAATACAACAAACACACCTATGATGTAGTACCTAGACCGTACCTAGACCTGACCGTACCTATGTATGTATGCATCGCTATGAGAATATGAAGCCCCCATAAAATAACATGAGCAAGTGAAAAAGGAAAGCGGTCTAAATAAAAAAAGTGAGGAATACCGATATACCGACGAGTCATAATATGAACATGAGAGTTGAGGTTGATGAAGAAGACTGTTCTCGAAAACAATAAAAACCCGCTGCCGAACCCCCCCCATGTTCCCCAATCCGCCCGTCCGTCTGCCCGTCCGCCCGCCTGCCAAAAAAAAGGAGAGACCAAAAAAGTCCCGGATGTTAGGATCTTCGCTCCCATACACCCATGCACCCATACACCCGCCTACCATACACTCATCCACCCATCCATCATAGTCCCAGTTTCCGATTTTCGTCTTGATAAAAACAAAGTCCTGCCTCCCGCCCCGATATGTTTAATTCCCAACATCTATGATGATTCTTCTCCTCAGACAAACAAACTCAACATAGGTACTTATTTCTCCTCCTCGTCCTCGTCCTCCCCCTCCTCCTCTTCTTCCACGTCCCACCCTTCCTCCTCTTCCGTTTCCTCCTCCCACTCTTCTTCATCTCACTCTCTTCTAATCGGCACCGACCCATCCATATTCTCAACCCCAGGCTTAAACCTCTCAAAGCGCGGCCCAGCTCCCTAAGTCAGAGCTTCAACCCGACAGCGCATGCAGCACTACTGCACCTTGCGACTTTCAAACAGCATCAGGTTCACCGCCGTGTCGTTCTCCCCGACCTGGCTGGTCGGCTCGCTAAGCATTTCCCACTGCCGGAAGTTGAAGGGCGTCAGTCGCTCCTGCGGTCCGCCCATCGTGGGCATCCAGGAGTAGCCTCCCCAGGGGTTGGCTACCATCACCATCGCTGGTCGCGCTGGGTTCATGGGGGATGAGGTGGGCGGGTTGCTGCTGTTGCCGAGGTTGAGGTGGGTGAGGTTGGTGTTGATGCTGATGGCTGGTGAGGGCATGGGGCCTGTGCCTCCTTGTTGTTGTAACTGATGATACTGTTGTTGCTGCTGCTGCTGCTGCTGCTGCTGTAATTGTTGCTGTTGCTGCTGTAGTTGCTGCTGTTGGGCGGCATGCCACCCTTGTGCTTGAGCCTGTTGCGTATGACCGGGAAGATTGAAGTAACTTCCACCATTACCACTACCACCAGCACCAGCAACAGCACCAGCAGCAGCACCAGCGTTCTGTGGCCCGGTTGCCTGTTGCCCGGGAGTAACGCCTGGCGTGTGTGTTGGGGTAGTACCAGGGGCCGGCGACCCTGTGCCGGTGTTGGTGCCCATGGCCATCGGTGTCGGCCTTTCCTTGTGACAAAGCATCAGGTTTGCATGTGGGTTGTCCTGATAGCTGAAGATGTACCTGAGCTTGACATCTGAAGGAGACTTGAGAGTTTGGATACACTGCAACCGCGCGTCCTCAGCAAGGTTGTCGGCCAACACGCAAGCCAGATCGAAGATGCGTCCGCCCAGTTGACGAGTGTCGAATTCAGGCCCGTGGATCAGGTCGAGTTCCCTGATGAGGCCAGCGCACACGATGAGAGCTCTACCACGAACTTCGTTTCCGGGCTTGCTGGTGTCAAAGGTCTGGGCGTGGAGGGTGAGGAAGTTGAGAAAGAGGGGAAGCCAGTGGTTGAGAATGTCGCTTTTGAGATCAGTATGATTGTCACCGCCGGCGGCGGCGGCACTGACGCCTTGTCCTCCCCATCCTCCTAGACCACCTGCTTGGCTAGGGAGTGGTGTCAGTGTTTGTAACAGCTCCAAAATGTCTGTGAACCTTTCCACCATGACCGGAACCAGTTGGTGCTGACGAAACCCCATTGGCCCGCTTCCGCGTATGATAGTATCCATAATGGCGAGAAAGTTCTCAGCTTTTTGCAGGCGCATCTGGAGCGTCGACCTGTCCAACGTCATTGAGGGCGGGTTTCTTGACGACGGCAGAAGGTTCAGAAACCGAGTCTGGGCCTGGTTCTTGAGATGGTGTGTTAGGTCGGGAGAGAGAGAGGGGAGCATTCCGATCCATGAGACCCGCTGTGCGTCCATCGACTTTTCCATGGCGTTCATAAAAAGCTCTACGTTCGATGGAACTCGTTCGCCCGAATCTGCCGCGTTTTGCTGCTGGTCATTGGACGACAGGCTCAACAGTAGCTTAACATGGCAGAAGGGGAGCGTGAACTCGTTAGTGAGGTTGAGAACCTGCTCGAACGTCACGCGTGTGCCCTCGCAACCGGCAGTAACAAGCAGCTTGGTAGTCATGCGATCAATCCAGCCGGCAACCTGGGCGTCAGGTCCTCGGATCTGCAGCGCCTTGGCAACTCCTACAGGGTCTTTCAACACAAGGAGCTTTAAAAGCTCAAGAAGACGGTCCTGATTAGCTTCCTTATCCAGGGGCAGTTCTTCCAGATCATTTTGAGCACGAGCATAAGTATACTCAGCCAAGGCGAGTTGGATCAAGCAGAGCAGTTCTCGCGGACTTTCCTTCTTGGCCTGTTCTTGAAGTATGCCAAAACGATAGCGTTCCTCTGGCGTCAGTAAACTTTCGGACGAGACTGGCGCCATGAAGAGTTGAAGCACTTCTTGCATATACCTGGTCCGAAAGGTGGTCTGAACAATCTGAGATGTGGCGACAGCTGATTGAGGGTGTCGTGAATTGCCGGCTCCGGGAGCGTTTGGTGACTCTGAAGCTGTTGCCAGAAATGCAGGCATTCCCAAACAGCCTATGGAGACCAGCAGGGGGTATAGGTGCAGGATCGTTGCTCGTCTGTTGAGCCCCCGTACGTAAAGAAGCCATCTTGCCATGAGCTCGTCGAAATGCTGTGGATCGAACATCCGCAGGCGCTTCATGAGAATACCGTAAACCCTCTGCTGTTCATCTCCCTTGGCCCAGTACGCCTGCAGTCGCTGAATCACCGCACTAAAAAGCCGATCCATCGTATTGCGATCAAGACTAGTACCGTTAGCCAGAAGCTTCTCCACCTCTTCATGGAGATCGCCATCGTTGTCTTGAAGACGAGACACCATGTTGTCACTAACAGGTGAACAGGCGTCCACAGGATTGTGTCGGTCGCTCACAGCCAAGTCGGACTTCAACTGCGTAGCGACTTCGTCCATCCCAGGCACCCGTGATGCCAGGTAAGCGAGCGACGCAAGTAACGGCCGCGC